GAAAACGCTCATAATTTGCAAAAATTGCAATTTTCAATTATTTTATCAATCTTCCTCCAAAAGTAAACTTTCTAATTTTTTTGAAGATTTTTCAAATGTTTTATAACGACTAAATATCGAGATTCAAATTCAGACCTGCAAAGCTTAAATAATAAAATCATTGTAAGATGTCCGGAAACTTAGGGTCAAATGGGGCTCAAATGGAAGCTCTGATGGTCGACTACAAAAGTAGAAAATTATTTTTTTAGGAATGAAATTAATTTATAGTAAAATCTTGAATATTAATAAATTTGTTATGATTCCAAGCAAATGATTTTTATGATGGAAAATAGATTGTTTATAAATTATTTATAGAAAATGCTCGTAATTTGCAAAAATTGCAATTTTCAATTATTTTATCAATCTTCCTCCAAAAGTAAACTTTCTAATTTTTTTAAAGATTTTTAAATGTTTTCTAACGACTAAATATCGAGATTCAAATTTAGACCGGCAAAGCTTAAATAATAAAATCATTGTAAGATGTCCGGAAACTTAGGGTCAAATGGGGCTCAAATGGAAGCTCTGATGGTCGACTACAAAAGTAGAAAATTATTTTTTTAGGAATGAAATTAATTTATAGTAAAATCTTGAATATTAATAAATTTGTTATGATTCCAAGCAAATGATTTTTATGATGGAAAATAGATTGTTTATAAATTATTTATAGAAAATGCTCGTAATTTGCAAAAATTGCAATTTTCAATTATTTTATCAATCTTCCTCCAAAAGTAAACTTTCTAATTTTTTTAAAGATTTTTTTAATGTTTTATAACGACTAAATATCGACATTCAAATTCAGACCTGCAAAGCTTAAATAATAAAATCATTGTAAGATGTCCGGAAACTTAGGGTCAAATGGGGCTCAAATGGAAGCTCTGATGGTCGACTACAAAAGTAGAAAATTATTTTTTTAGGAATGAAATTAATTTATAGTAAAATCTTGAATATTCATAAATTTGTTATGATTCCAAGCAAATGATTTTTATGATGGAAAATAGATTGTTTATAAATTATTCACAGAAAACGCTCATAATTTGCAAAAATTGCAATTTTCAATCATTTTATCAATCTTCCTCCAAAAGTAAACTTTCTAATTTTTTTGAAGATTTTTCAAATGTTTTATAACGACTAAATATCGAGATTCAAATTCAGACCTGCAAAGCTTAAATAATAAAATCATTGTAAGATGTCCGGAAACTTAGGGTCAAATGGGGCTCAAATGGAAGCTCTGATGGTCGACTACAAAAGTAGAAAATTATTTTTTTAGGAATGAAATTAATTTGTAGTAAAATCTTGAATATTAATAAATTTGTTATGATTCCAAGCAAATGATTTTTATGATGGAAAATAGATTGTTTATAAATTATTTATAGAAAATGCTCGTAATTTGCAAAAATTGCAATTTTCAATTTATTTATCAATCTTCCTCCAAAACTAAACTTTCTAATTTTTTTAAAGATTTTTTAAATGTTTTATAACGACTAAATATCGAGATTCAAATTCAGACCTGCAAAGCTTAAATAATAAAATCATTGTAAGATGTCCGGAAACTTAGGGTCAAATGGGGCTCAAATGGAAGCTCTGATGGTCGACTACAAAAGTAGAAAATTATTTTTTTAGGAATGAAATTAATTTCTAGTAAAATCTTGAATATTAATAAATTTGTTATGATTCCAAGCAAATGATTTTTATGATGGAAAATAGATTGTTTATAAATTATTTATAGAAAATGCTCGTAATTTGCAAAAATTGCAATTTTCAATTATTTTATCAATCTTCCTCCAAAACTAAACTTTCTAATTTTTTTAAAGATTTTTTAAAGGTTTTCTAACGACTAAATATCGAGATTCAAATTTAGACCGGCAAAGCTTAAATAATAAAATCATTGTAAAATGTCCGGAAACTTGGGGTCAAAAAATAGTCAAAGTACTTGGATATCTTCAATTGAAAAAATCATTGAAGAAACTGCAAATTGTGGGTACGTCTGGATGATGAGTGCCTCATGCAGTCTCTCGTTTACTTCGCGATTGTGAACATTATCCTCGAGATTTAATTCTATAATATTTATAGTTTCGTAGTTTCATCGTCCCCCGACAGTTGCAGTTCTTAAGATTAACGAAAAAATGGGTTGAATCACTGCTCGCACCTGGTACACTTTGGAATAAAGCGCCATGCAGCACAATTGAAGCGTATGCGTTCGTATTACCTTATATACTTTGTTTTTTCATGAATTTTGCATAATTGGTATTGGTGATAATCGTTAATTGAGTACGACAAGGGGATGTATGACGCATAATCATGAATAACGTTGAGTATTCAGTAGTTCTGTACATGAAAAAGATGCAGAGAGTAATTAATTTCAATTCTAAGAAACATTCAATTAGCTTGAATAAATGCATTCAGATTATTTAAATAAATCATTTATCAGAGTGCGATTCAAACGGATTCCCAGAAAAATGTCCACTGAATTCAATAGCACGTTTAATAATAATCCAGCGAAGATAGGATATCCGAAAAATGCAGCCAATTTTATGGAGATGTTTTCACAGATTATTGAATCCATTTAGATCCTTTAGATCGTTTGCAAAATTTGAGAAAACCCAGAAGCAGCGCAACAACAACATAATTTTTACTGGATTTTATTCTAATTATTGAAATGATATTAAAATGCGTCTCGCGTTGGTGAACCTGTCGAGTGCGAATATTGTTGTGCATTTTTTTTTACATTCATGCAAATTCAAAAATATTTTTCAAGCACTAAATATTGAGACTGTTTGATACTGTTGCAATGAATAACGCATCGATCTCAAAGGAAAATATTATGTTATTAAAACCATTCAAATAATAATTAGATATTAAATAAACTCGAGAGCCTCTCCCGGCCAAAAGATCATACACTCCATTAAATAACGTTCATAGAACTTTTTGTTGGTACTAGTTTTTAAGGTTTGTAGATATTGTAAATACTATTGAAAACACGGTTAAACAAAAAAAAAGCATTTTTTTGTTGCTCACTGACATTTTAATCACGCGCCTGCGCGTGAGGTCGTAATTTCCCCGAGTCTCATAATTTTCCGAATCATTTATTCAAATAACTTTCTTATGAAATCAGAAAAAAATCAATACATGTTCACCTGCGAAATTCCAAAATACTCAATTGAATTCATGCATGCCCGTCATACTCCATTAAAAGTTGACATGAAATGTCTCCAAAATTAAACTAAACCTGCATAATCAAATTGTAAAAGTTACCACCTCCCATAAACTCCCATCAACTGAAAAACTACTCGCAACTTCGTCGTTCAAAAATCGTTTTGCAACCCACCAGTACCTTAATTCCCCCTCCACCATACAGAATAAAATAAGTATCAACCTACCACATCAAGGACGAATAAAAAAAAAACATGTTGATTTTGTAATTGATTTGACATTTTATTAATCTGTAAAATCAATAGAAACGACTTAAAACATTGGCCGATTAAAAAAGAGCATAAAATTCATTATTTCCAGTCGACTCTGGTCGATTGACTATTCACACTAAATAAAAAAAGTGATTTATATATAAGGAAAAATGTAAAAAATATATAAATACGCACATATTGTTCATCAACGCGTGAATTATCATCTGATGAATATCGAAATTATTTAATCCCTGTTTTTGTAATGAATAAATCGATAATAAAGAGAAAAAAAGGAATAAGCGAATGGAAAAAATAATAATAATCAATACGAATCGATGGCAGTATGAACAAAAAAAATTATTTGTATACAGTGTCAGTCGAATTCGCAGGAGAATTTACATAAACCCGCTCGAAGAGAATAAAAGATGTATCAAAGCGCCTCTCCATAAACGTTTTGTTAACATACATTGGTAAATTATTATTAATGTTTTATCATCATTTGTACACCACTAATTTGTTCGATTAACTATAAATAGCACTGGGTAGTTATTAATCGTTATATTGGGACAGATTTACAGTAAACAAAATAATGTTATTATTAATTAATATTTTATCCTCTTTTCTGTCTAATTTTACGTGTCGTATATTGTTTTTTTTTTCAATCATTTTTTCTCTCATCATCTGGCGAATTTCGAACGTCATGCGTTCATCGTCGACTTATTATAATTTATTACTCCATTTATTTAAATCTCTCAGACACAGGGTTGAATTAAATGCAATTAAAATGTCTCTTCTATTTCTCCTGTACACGTCACGTGTATCTAACTCTACTATTCAAGATTCATTTCCCCTCACTTTTTGTTTTAAGTTTAAAAGAAAAACAGAATTTGCAATATAATAATCAACTTTGATAATGGAAAACGATTTTTCGTACACGAGATATTGGCGTACGATTGGTTTCATTAGGATTATCGAATCAATTTAATTTTCATTTTTAATACCTAAAACGATATTACCAGCAAAAAATATAATCTTGGTAACGTATTTGATAAACGTAACAATAATAACAGATTAATTATCGATAATAATTTTTGTTTTAATATGTACAGGCTAAATTTTGGTTTCTATCGTAGTTTCTTCATATTTTGAGTTTAATCATCATTTTTATCTCGATAAGGAAATCAGAGAGGTCGAGTCGTTTCAGTGCAGAGATAATTCAGGCTATCCAAGCCACTCTATTCCTCACATTTAGCTCGCTGTCAATTCTACAATTATCAAATCATTCCACCTCAATTAAGCATTTCGTATTCACACATTTATATTCCTAACGAAATATACGATCAGTCGATCAGTAGGCGAGTAACAAAAATAACTTTCCAGTGCCAAAGACTGCACCACTTTGTATTCCCTTTAGATATCTTCCTTCAATATTTATTTCTTTCAATAAAAAACAAGTGAGAGAATTAATTCATAAAATCACGTGTCTCTTGCCCTCAAAGAGGCAGAAAAAGCTAGTAATATGAAATAAGAAATAACTTGAGACAATTTTTTGCTGGAATAAATCCGAGTATCGAGATCTTGATATAAAATCAAAGATTAAAAATTGAAAGAAATCATAAAATCAGAGACTGACGATTGACAGTTCTCTACTGGGAATGCATGAGATTGAAATGTAAATTATGATAGTTCAATGGGACGAGTCACGAGAGTGATCTTAAATTTATCAAAATAGAAGAGAAAATAATCTATGAATTACCATTAATTAATGATTCAAATAAATAATGTAATTGTTATTGTTGCGTTAAAATTTTGGTTAACGGCGTGAAAATACATTTTCTTTTTACTCAATTTATTCATCGAGAAAATAATTGAGAATAAAATTCAATTGTGAATAAAAAGAGAATATATTTAATGTATCGAAAGCCGACAAAACTCTTTCGTCCCTCCGCAGAGAGCTGGGATCTTTATCTAACTGTCGTGAGACACTTTGTTCAATTACTGGGACAATTTTTCAATGTGAGGAAGTGTCCAAAAGTGTTCGTACAGATACACATACACATTTACATACATTCGGTATTGCATTGATGATCCAAGTGGAAAAGGTGTTCTGTTTGGGGCACGTACTGACGGAAATTTTAAGTGGTTCCTCTGATGACAGGTCATACCATCACCATGTCCTCGTCGACGTTTATTATGGCGGGGAAAGAGTTGTCGGTGGAACTCTGTCGGTGAACCCCCTTTTTTCGCGCCAGAGCATCTGAGAAATGAAAAAATTTTACTTGTCAAGTGATTTCTCGATTTTTGGGAATTTCAGCAGCTGCGAAACGTTTCCCTGAGCTTTTTTCCTGAAATCCCATATTTACCGTTAAAATTGCAATATTAATATTTCGCCCTCACGAAGGTCCTAATTTTGGTGTTGACCCTCGTGGGTCAATAATGCGGATCGAAATTACAGTGAAAATATTTGACCCTCATAAGGGTCACGAAACCGTCATTATTTACTACTGATTTGCTTTACTCTATAAATAGTTCAGATTTAAGACTTTCCGCTCGCGACGCCACTATTGGCCTGTCATGTATTATATCATAATATAAAATTTCACCTCGCATAACTACCTACCTTTCAATAAACTATCTGTATCACATTTAAGTTCATTCATTTACTAGTTAAGTCATGTTATTGGCCTCGCCTGTTTGACTGTANAAAAAAAAAAAAAAAAAAAAAAAAAAAAAAAAAAAAAAAAAAAAAAAAAAAAAAAAAAAAAAAAAAAAAAAAAAAAAAAAAAAAAAAAAAAAAAAAAAAAAAAAAAAAAAAAAAAAAAAAAAAAAAAAAAAAAAAAAAAAAAAAAAAAAAAAAAAAAAAAAAAAAAAAAAAAAAAAAAAAAAAAAAAAAAAAAAAAAAAAAAAAAAAAAAAAAAAAAAAAAAAAAAAAAAAAAAAAAAAAAAAAAAAAAAAAAAAAAAAAAAAAAAAAAAAAAAAAAAAAAAAAAAAAAAAAAAAAAAAAAAAAAAAAAAAAAAAAAAAAAAAAAAAAAAAAAAAAAAAAAAAAAAAAAAAAAAAAAAAAAAAAAAAAAAAAAAAAAAAAAAAAAAAAAAAAAAAAAAAAAAAAAAAAAAAAAAAAAAAAAAAAAAAAAAAAAAAAAAAAAAAAAAAAAAAAAAAAAAAAAAAAAAAAAAAAAAAAAAAAAAAAAAAAAAAAAAAAAAAAAAAAAAAAAAAAAAAAAAAAAAAAAAAAAAAAAAAAAAAAAAAAAAAAAAAAAAAAAAAAAAAAAAAAAAAAAAAAAAAAAAAAAAAAAAAAAAAAAAAAAAAAAAAAAAAAAAAAAAAAAAAAAAAAAAAAAAAAAAAAAAAAAAAAAAAAAAAAAAAAAAAAAAAAAAAAAAAAAAAAAAAAAAAAAAAAAAAAAAAAAAAAAAAAAAAAAAAAAAAAAAAAAAAAACATTTCCCAAAACAATCTCAACCTACTCACCAGCAGAAGTAGGCAGCAGATCATCAAGCGAGCCATCATCGAGGTCGGTCGCCGACAGTAGCAAATCATCATCGGAAGAGGCCCTCGTCAAGCTCGGCAAGGTCGACGTCAACAGAGCCTTCTCCTTCTGAATCGTCTGAATGTGCCCCACCAAGAGTGCCTCCTCCTCATCCCCCCTGTCGCCACCGCCCTCATTGGTGCACCTGCCCAATGTGCTGCTGCCGACATTGAGCTCCTCAGGGCTAAAAATCTTGGAAGACCTCAGACTGGACAATCTATTGGTCGCCGCATGGCACGCCGACTCCAAAGTGCTGATATCAGCAAGCGTTGTCTTGACAAACCTCAGCTTCTCCTGGACAATAGTCTCAATGCACTTGGTCTGCCTGCCCACGTCCTGGAGTGAGTCCTGTGCAGGAAGCACCCGATTAGTCCTCAGAATGCAAGGGGCAAAGACAATAGCCAGAGCAGAAGGTGACATTCTGTTGTCAACCTCGTGCAAAGCAACCCTAGCCAAATGCACGATGAGCCTCTCCATAAGATCAAAATTGGGCTTGGGGAGTTTCTTCAATATCGCAAACAATGTGCTGATCCTGTCGTGAGGATCAGTGAGATTCGCAGCATGAAGGAAGTCATCGTAGTACTCGAATGTCATCAGGGGCTCAGGCATGTCCCTGAAGAAGCTCTTGAGAACAGCGGCCAAGACGTGCACCTGGTAGTTCTCAAAGTCCACCTTCTCCAGATCGCCCTCATCCATCTTCATCTTGAGCTCCCGCACCTTGGAGCTGACACCGCTCTTCCTGTAAAGCCCCTCGGTGTACAAGCCGTGCATCTCAATGGTCGTGATGAGCCTGTCGACGACCAGGGGCACCTTTCCATCCCCGCAATCGAGCTTGTAGAGTGGAACATTGAAGACCTTTCGACAATTGCTGTCATTGATTCCGTCCTTGCCGCACTCAGCGACAGCCCTGGTGTAGCACTTCTTGTGACAAGTGAGCTTGCAGTTCTGGCAGACAAGACCCCTCTCAATGGGCCACATGAAGAACGACGTGCAGACCTCGCAGGCCGTCGGAATGTTGATGATTGTCAACTGGAACATGTGGTTGCCATGCCTGATAGGCTCCTCCTGCTTTCGCTTCTTCTCCTTTTTCCGTTTGCTCTTGCTCGCCTTCTCCGGCGCTTCCGTCTTGACTAGTGTCATGAACTCATTCATAAACCCTCTGAAAGCATTCACCCCCATTGTCACCGGGAAGTCCTCCCTGGTGTTCTCCTGCTTGCAGACAGTCTCCATGACGTGAAGGAAGTTTGCGATGAGATCGGTGTACTTGATGTTACCCTCAACCCCCTGCTGAATGGCCAGACTGTAAGTGATGACGAGGTCGTCCTTGAATTTCCTGAGAGCCTGCTTGAACACCCGATCAACCTCACTCGGCTTCTTTCCCTCCTCCTGCACCTCCATCGCGTAAATCTTCTTGGTGATGAAGTCCTGCATGAGAGCCAGCTCCTTGGCGTCTGAGATGATCTTGTCAGTGCTGTCCGAGAAAGCTGACGTACCAGTTAAACTGAATTTGGACTGTACCGTTTGCTTGACCGCCTCGTAGGGCGTCCTCATGGGCTTTCTGTTTTTTCTTCTGCTCGGTGTGTTCGCCAGGGGACAAGGCATCTTCAGAACTCCACCATTCTGGATGCACTTGACGTGATAAAGTTGTTTGCAATCGTTGCATTTGTATCCCTGAGTTACGAAGGCGTCCATCTTCTCGTGGCAACACACGCAGACATCCTCCTTCGTGAACCTAGCTATCTTTCGGAAGCGATGGCCAGCCAGAGTGAACAGATTATTGCCTTTCCACTCCAGCAAGTTCATACCAGGTGCCAGTTTGAGATCGTTGGAGGGATCTGACGACTTCTCGTCAAGGCCCGAGACCTTCGTAGCTGGATCAGAGTTCCTTCTCCTGAGTTCCAACGTTGTGATGGCATTCGACCGAACGCGTTTGCCAACAGCTTGCGGCTTGTAAGATCCCTCAGACTTGACAGGCCAATCGGTCACTGTCTGCGATGACAGATCATCCTTCTTCGACCAGATCTGAGGTGCCTTCAAGTCGGACTCCTTGATAGTCCCTAGGAAGATGTTTCTAGCCTCTGGGGGATTGTTCTCAGGGACTGATTCACCCATTGACCGACACTGTACCTCCCTCCCTGGGCGGTTTCTCCTGGCACTGCGCACCGGCACATCCGGTTCAGTCTTTTCCATTGATTTGAGCTCCTCGTCTCTGATCTTGTCGAGAATGTCAATCTTCAAGGATGTATCGCCCTCCGAGTTCTGACGCTTCAAGTAGTTGTACTCCTTCGAGTCACGCAAGTGTCTCGAGGGTGAGCTCAGGGTGTCGTAACGATCTCCACTTGTTTCTGACAATCTTCTCACTTCTCGAGTATTGAAGGACTCATTCTTGTTGTATCTGTCATTGCTCTCCAACTTGATATTCAAGTTTGTCGCCTCGTTCAATCTCTCCAACTTGGCTTGCTCCAGGAGGCTCTCTGTTAAATGCTTGTACTGAGTTATATTCGGTGATCTGGTGATCAGGGACTTGTGGGGAGGTGGATCCTGATAAGTGAAGTCTGCCCTTCGTCGCCAGATGTCAGTCTGATGGCTATTTGGAGGGGCTATGTGGTACTTGGCGTCCCTTGGGCTGAAGGAAGCTAGGTTCGATGTTGAGAGACTATTGAAGATTGGCGAAGCACTTTGAATGGCGCTCGGTGTTTCGCCATCGGTGTCACCATCACTGAATCCAGTGGACGAACTGTCCGTTCTCTTGCTTATCGATGACGATCTGCTGGTTGTGTTCACAATACTGTGGACAATCACAGTCTGGTCCGTTCGCTTCGTTCTGGCTGAGGGGATCGGTTTAGAGTTGGAGTTCTCCTGGGAGAAGTGGCTCTCCACACTGTCGACACTCACCTGCGACTCGTAGCTTCGCAAGGAAGCCAGTGACTCCAGGCTTCCCTTTCTCGTCTCCTCGGTCTTGAATGCTTCCGTCTTCGTCTCGGTCGTTCGAGAGTTCAGGATTCGCTTGTTGGGCGTCAGCTTTCGTTTTGAGTAGGAAGTGCTCGTGTCAAGATTTCCCTGAATCTCCAATCGTGATAGTAATCGTGGATCGTCCTCGAACCTCAGGTCTGATCTGCACAACTCTCGTTTGCGCTTCTTGAGCTCTAGGAAAGCCTTGCGCGATCTGTTGCCCCGGACTCTCGCTTGAAAGTGGATCAACGAGATTCTCAACTTCTTGAACCACGTCTGCTGTTTGTAAGCTCGCCAGGTGGCTTGAATGTGAGTTGCAGCTTCTACTCTGGTTCTGAGATTGTGCGCCATCTTCTGGGCCATCACCATCCGCCAGAAGGACTGGATCAGCACCACTGCGTTCTTTATTCTGAGGAACTTTCGCCGCTCGAGACAAGCTCGGAACCACTTTTGGATAGTTGTAATGCTGGTGATGATCTGCTGGTGGAGTTCGATGTCCAATTTTATCTTCTCGGACTCTCGGAGGAAGACTTTTGTCTTGCCCAGTTGGTAGTTGTCCTTGTTGAGATTGAGGGTGAGGAGAAAGTCCCGGACGTCGTTTTGCGAGCTAAGGAGACCGTGCGGAAGGAGCATTCGGTACAGCTGGATGAATTCCTCGTATGTCAGACGTACGTTGAAGCCCGCCTGGCGAATTCTCACCGTCTCCAGCATTCCGGTGTAGCGGAGCTGGCGCTGGACTGTCTCCTCATCGAACTCGTTGGGAATCTTGTTGGAGTTGGACTTGATGCAGCGGATGAAGAAGGGGTTCGCTTGGTTCAGGGTGTCCATCAGGCTGTGGAGGCTCTGTTGGAACTGCGCTGAAACCGTCATCGGTTGCTTCCTGGCTTTTCCAGGACCTGTACCGTAACTCTGGGTTCGGCCGGCCAGGGTCTTCACCGTTTGGAGATTCTTGAGGCCCTTCTTCCCTCGCTCGCGGGGGCGAAATGATTTGTTCTTCCTGGAAAGGGCCGCGCGGGGTTAACGGGGGCTGAGAGGAGGAGCGGGTAAGGTTGAGCGAGAAATTTGCAAGTACTGGACTACAAGCGGAGGCGGAGGTTCAAGAGTTGACGCTTGCATCATTCTCGAGGTTGAGGAGAACTGAATATCTCACGTGATTTCGAAATTTTTGAGCATTCATTCATGTCCCAGTACCCAACTCTGCTCGAGTGGTAGTAAAATCAGGGTCACAAGGGTTAGAATAAGGGTCTAAATAAGGGTCATGGGGGTCAAAATATGGGTCAGAATAAAGGTTCATGGGGGGTATATGAGGGTTGTCGAACGGAGCGAACAGGGAGCGTAACAATCTAGTCTCTATGGTAAAAAATCCAAATTGATTTCTGGTGATGAAAATTTGGTACTCGAAATTTAGACTCCAAAATTAAGGGTCAAAATAAGGGTCACGAGGGTTATAATGAGGGCCACAATAACCCTTAGGTCCCTTAGGTCTCGAGGGTCAGATTAAGGGTTACACGAGTCGGATTAAAGGTCACGGGGGTCACATTAAGGGTTACAGATTAAGGGTCACAAGGGTCAGATTAAGGGTCACAAGGATTAGAATGAGGGCCTAAATAAGGGTCATAAGAGTCATATAGAGCTCTCTCTATATTATCAAAATTCAAATCGACTTCTTGTGATGAAAATTTGGTACTCGAAATTAAGATGCCAAAGGTCATTAAATTATTATTCATTTTTCAACGTCGACCCCAACTTGTAGGTTCAGGTACTGGGACATCCACCTGAAGTAATTCTTCTACACCCGAAGAACAGATTTTCCAGAAGATATATATAAAAATACTCAAATCTCCGCAACATCAGATAAACCGTAAATTAGCTCAAAGGCGAGATGAATAAATTAGCGAATAATATACAATGTAGTGTCTATAACGCTATATGTTCTTTCTTCCATGAATAATTACCTGCACCCAATTCCAGTGTTAGAAATATAGTATTGGTGATTTGAGGGATAAGAAAAGTGCAACCTCAGAGTTATAGATAGTAAAAATAAACCACGATTAGTAGTTTAGTAAAATATCTAACTAACATTCAAGTAGATCTATACAATTTGCATGCTCTCGTGAGATGACGAATTGATGATTGAATGAATCCAGTGAGTGATTATGATTATTCAATGATTTCTCCTCGATTATCGATTTAATTGATGAAAAATCCTTTTGCCAATTTAGAGATAGTGTAAAAAAAAACCTTTTACCCATCGGAAAATATTGTGAAAAGCCCCGCACACCTTGAATTGCAAAAAGTATTGAGTTCGTTTAACACTTGAATTATTGAGACATTAAATCTTTTTGATTAAAATTTTTTTTTGGGAATAATTGACACTTTACATACATGACGATCTGATTGGCACGTTCCATGACATTAGCCTCGTCTTTAGGAAGTACCCTCTCGAGTGGCGTGTGTGTATCCCTTCTGAATCTATAATTACTATTTTGCTGCTCATCCCTTACTCTTAATACGTAACCCTTGGGCGTAGATATATTCGTCGTGTTGTGTTGTTGAGTCTGATTGACATTTCTAAATTGTGGCCACGATAATCGGTTGTTATTAACATTATCGGTGTTTTCAATTTGTGGTGGTGATAATGTGACAGTGGCTGATGTTGATGATGGTATACAGACACTTCTCTGCTTCTGATAACTTGGTGGACGTATTTGTTTTTGAGGGCTGGAAAATATTTCTATCATGCTTAGCCAATGATACGATTTGATGGTTTTTATTGAGGGGAGATTCTATTGAAATTGATAAATCAAGTGGTCAAGTGGTCAATAATTGGGATGGGACCTACATCTCTGACGCCAATAACTCTGCAAGTAATAGGTTTAGGAAAAAGTGTCAGAGAACCTTTTCTCTAGAGAAATCCATGGCCTGCAAATCAGGTCTTCTGACATTTTTCTCTAAACCCAGTCGTTTACAAGATAATCGGAAAATAGTCTGCTCCTCAATTTTGAAATGTTTGAGGGGAGACTACTATGAGTTTTAAAAATCGCGGTCTATTGGAATGAGATTTCTCACACATTGAAGGGCGATTATATATGTCTAAAAACGAATAATTAGGGCAAAAAAACTTTTTTATTGTTCGTTTACCCCACAGACGCTTAAAATGTTAAAAATAGAAAAATAAAGAGTTCCTTGAAGGATTATCATCCCTGTATTAATTACTCCCGACGGTTTCCAAGACTAACCGAATGATTTTATGGATTAATGATATAATGGAAATGAAAACTCAATGATAAAAAATATTTCCCAAGCTTGTAGTTAAGAGAAATAATTCTCTCGAATTTTCATCAAAGCAAAAGAAATAATTTTTTCGATTTTATCATCAACTGCCTGAATTGAGACATTTCGTTATTTCACTTGACTACATAATTCCGCCTGAGGTATGATAATGATCATCTAATCACACATCAATGTTTAACATCGAGAAGGAAATTGTGCCAAAAACATTACTGCAATTCAAACATTGAGAAAATTCGTTCATGGATTTACAAAATCCATGAAAATTTTTAATTAATACTCAATTGCATCAACTCCGACTATTTATTAATTGAATCGACAGTTGAAAGTCGGGAATTATCACATCGAGTTATTGTAAATCCATAATTCACAACAAACACATGAATCGAAAAAATTGTTAATGAAAAAAAAAATAATTCAAAAAGGTAAATAAAAAATATTAACATGTAATAGTGGATCATCAGGACCACTTACGCAATTCGGTTAATAGTTAGATTAACAGCCGATAACGTCACAAGATGGCTATAAACAGGGAGAAAAAATGATAATCCAACTAATTTTAAAAATTATCCTCGGGATTTTTTTATAGGTTTCTGGTCGTCTGGCTTCGTTATCGGCCTCTTTCACTTTTCGATAATTTATCTCGTTAGTTCATCGGACAACATGACAAATTCAAGGCTTTAGTCATGGAAAAACTTACCTAATTAAATTCTCGTTCGGCGTTCGGTATCGATTTTGCACGGAATTTTTGTTCCCATCGGCTGAAAGGGGAAGTTAGAGTAAATTCTCATGCTTTTGATTTAAAATGGAAGCATTACTGGTCCAATTTGATGATTGAATTACTTTGCAAATTTTCGTAACGAATTTATAGAATTTTATCGTTTTTTTTTTAATTACAGATTTTTATTTGGGCTCTTCATTGGCGTAAATTGGAGTTCAATTTGATTGAGATTTCGATATATTTATATTTATATCGCTAAACGATAACCCTTCACGTAGACTTAGCCCTATAGCTGAGCTTTCGAGACATATTCCGCAATTTAAGAGAGATAACGAAATTTTCGTAATGACCTTTTCTTGTAGAGAGAATTACGATCTCCCTAAAATGTCATAACAAAATTCTCCCAATCTGCCTTAGATTCCAAGATATTCATTGAAACCATTTCTACAGTAAAAATCTACTGCAACCGTTTCACCACTGCAGAATGATAAATTCAGTAGCGAAGCGGTAAACCGGGTTAAGTCGATTTTTACTATTGGCTAGTTTTTGACGAATATCTCGGAATCTAAAAGAGATAGAAAGATTTTTGTCATGACCTTTTTTGTAGAGCCAATAGAGCGTTATAAAAAAAGTCATGAGAAAAATTTTGCTATCTCTCTTAGATTCCGAGATATTCAGCAAAAACTAGCTAATAGTCAAAATCGACTTAACTCGGTTTACCGCTTCACTACTGAATTATGCCTCAAAAATTTAAAATTTCAACAGAATAAAACCACCAAAAAGTGTCTCACCTCTTCCATGTCGATGGGCCCGTCCCGCCTCCTGGAACGCGAAATGTGCCCTGAAGAAGGCCCTGAGTATGGCCCACCTGAAAACCGCCACTGGATCAGCCCCCACCAATTCCCTAACAAAAGCCAAACTCGAGTTCTTCAACACCCCGACGACCCCATCAGGTCTCATCAGATCCAGATTCTTCTCCCTCATATTGGCAGCCTGATACTTAACAGCCCCAGCATAATGCCTAACGACAAAAGCAGCCTCCCTCCTCTGAGGTGTCTCATAAAACTGATTCTCCTTATGCACAGAGTTAAACTTCTGCAGTAAAGTCTCATTGGTAGCACCAGGAAAATTGCACTGATCATCAAGCAGACAGAGCAGCCCATTGGGCTTTCCCTCGATCAAATTAAGACACCCCGAGTTATCACTGTAGCCAATATCAGTCCACCTAATGCCCTGTTTCCTGTACTCCCTCTGCTCATACTGAAAGACATGCTGATTGAAGTAATGCTGAAGCTGTTCATTAGCGTAATTGATGCAGAGCTGTTCAAAGCTGTTGCACGTCTTGAAGTCCTCAAAGCCAAATATATCGAGCACCCCGATACTGTGGCCCTGATGATCCCTCAGTGTGTCCTTTTTCGATAACAAGGCATGATTCACCTGAAGAACAATCCAATCGAATAGAGCGCCATAAAGGCACTTGGCCATTGCGTCCCTGGCAGCAATGGCCTCAGGCAGACGATAGTTTATCACCAGAGTCTCACCAGAGGCCCTCGCCCTCTTAGCTGTCAGGGCAGCGAGAAGGGTCTCCTGCTTGACCCTCAACAACTCCGAGATAATGGCAACTACCTCTGGATTCTTCACACCCACAGCCTCGTCGTGATGGTGGTATGACTTTCTCGGCTGAAATTCAACGTTTCCCAGGAGCAAGACTGCTGACAGCACTGCGAACAGTCGTCTCTGCTTCTCCGGTGTGAACCCCACCATCTCCATGGACTGTTTCAGTCTCGAGAACTCGTGGCGCTCGTCGATGTTCTCGAGACCGTAGCAACCACTTTTGTTCAGGTAATTGTAACGATCGGGGGACTCCAGGTGGAGGACCTGACGCTCTTGATCGTTAGCACCGGCCAGGAGGTAGTAGAATACGTGGTAGTTGCGTTCGTTTTTACCTGGAAGTGAATTGTTTTAGTACGGACGGATAATTGCCCACAAATGAGGGGGCTAGCCTGTTTTATCAATGATGCGAGGGATTTTAGAGGCTAATCATTGGGCTGGGGTTTGAACTTATTTCTCATGCATTGAAGATCGATTATATATCAGTAGCGAAGTGGTAAACCGGTATAAGTCGATTTTGACTATTGGTTTTCAATAAATATCTCGGAATCTAAGGGATATAGCGAAATTCTTGTGATTTCCTTTTTTGTAGCTTTCAATTTGGTCTACAAAAAAGGTTATGACAACAACTTTGCTATTTCCCTTAGATTTTGAAGGATTCATTGAAAACTGGGCAATAGTCAAAATCGACTTATACCGGTTTACCACTTCACTACTGATATGTCTGAAAACGAATAATTAGGGCAGAAAATTAATTGTTTATTGTTCTTTTGGCCCGCAGACGATTAAAATGTTGAAAATAGTCCAGGGCCTCCAATTTTCGAGCTACAGGGTTATTAATTATTATTAATTATGAGGGTTATTAATTATAAATTACGAATTAATTTATTAATCATATAAATCAGTAGTGAAGCGGTAAACCGAGTTAAGTCGATTTTGTCTTTTGATCAGTTTTTGATGAATATCTCAGAACCTAAGAGAGATAGCAAAATTTTTCTCATGGCCTTTTTTGTAGAACCAATTCAGAGCTATAAAACGGTCATGACAAAAATTTTCTATCTCTTTTAGATTCCGAGATATTCGTCAAAAACTGGCCAAGAGTCAAAATCGACTTAACCCGGTTTACCGCTTCGCTACTGAAATGAACTATTAATTCAATTATAAATGAAACTTTGAACAATGTAAGGAGACAATCCTTCTTAACATCCAATATTATTGGCCATCCCTGATTGCCCATGCGTTTGTTCCTTACCTTGAGAGACTATCCTGGACTTCTCAAGAAGATACTTCTGGACAACAGCCCCATGAACCATTCCATTCTCCTTATAGTTCACCTGAATGAATTTTCCAAATCTACTGCTGTTGTTATTGTGAGCTGTCTTGGCATTGCCAAAGGCCTCCAACACAGGGCCTGCACTGAGAATCGTCTGCTCAACTCCACTCCCATGTGATCCCTTTTGACTCAACGCTGTCAAATGATGCAGCAAAAAATTGGTAGATTCGGTTTTTCCTGAGCCACTTTCACCACTTATCACGATGCACTGATTCTTCTTCTCCTTCAGCATCGAATGATAGGCAGCATCAGCTATTGCGAATATGTGGGGGGGAATGTCGGGCCCGAGTCGACGATTTTGGTACAGTTTTACGTATTTTGGGTTGTAGATGGGGTAGAATTTGAAGGGATTCACGGCTATGAGGATGCTACCCACGTAAGTGTAGATGTTACCAGCGAGAAAACGCGCCCGGAGATTGTCTAGGAGGGTTTGTTCGTTCAAGTCCGGCAGCTGGCAGAGGTCGGGGTACTCCTTGTCACGGGGCTGGTAGAGGAAGCGGTTGAAGTAGTCCTTCAGGAGTTGCGGGTCCATTGGGAAGCGACTGTCTGACCAGAGGTAGTCCGGCTGCTTCTTTCGGAGGTAAAACCTGGGGGGGAGAACAATTGTTGAGGGGAGTCGGACACTTTTCCCTGGCGGAGAGCTCCGGGACAAAATTTTCCATTTTGAAAACAGCTCAGAAGAGAAGCGGTAAAACGGTCTAAGTAGACTTGACTGAGCTCTTAGCTGAGTTTTGGAAGAATATCGGGGAATCTAAGAGAGATAACGACATTTTCATAATGACCTTATTTGTAGAGCTCATTGAGGACTACAAAAAAGGTTTCAACGAAAATTTTGCCTTTTGCATTGGATTCGGAGATATTTATTGAAAACTGACCAATGAATTGTCAAATTCGACTTGAACCGTTTTATCGCTTCGCTACTGAATTCAAGGGCTCAACAATACTTGGATTTTTTTTTAATGGTTGAATTCCATTGATTCATGAGCAAACAATTGAAGAATGGTCGTTTTCCACATAATTTTTCTCTGTCGTATATTTTATTGTTTCAATAAAATGCTATTTTAGGAATATTCTCTAAACTAGGAAATTTAGAAAAAATGTCGGCATTTTTTTGAAAGTTATTAAATTCTTCATGAAAATCTCTATTTTTTCTCCAGTGATATGCTTTTCTACTTTTCTAGTCGAATATCAGAGCTTTCATTCGAGCTCCATTTGACCCTACGTTTCCGGCCATTTTGCAATGATTTTATTATTTAAACTTTGCAAGTCTGAATTTCAGTGTCGATATTGAAGCGTTAGAAAACATTTTTTTCATCTGAAAAAAAATGATAAAGTTTACTTTTGGAGGAAAATTGATAAAATAATTGCAATTTTTGAAAATTACGAGGATATTCTATTAATAATTTTACCAAAAAACGATTTCATGCCTGAAGAAAATAAGGTTTCCGAAAGTTTAAACAATTTCTATTATTTATTTGTGACCAACGAATGTTGAAAAAAATAATAGTTCTGTGCAAAATGTTATTTGAATGACGCTGAATACTCAAGATTTAATTCAAATTTTTCTCACGCAATTTAAATGACAAATTTAATGATTGAAAGGGTTGAATTGACATTGTCAAATTTATTCATATTCTGGATTTTAGCAGAAATCGATTTCATGCCTGAAGAAAATAAGGTTTCCGAAAGTTTAAACAGTTACTATTATTTATTTGTAGCCAACGAATGTTGAAAAAATAATAGTTCTGTGCAAAATGTTCTTTGAATGACGCTGAATACTCAAGATTTAATTCAAATTTTTCTCACGGAATTTAAATGACAAATTTGATGATTGAAAGGGTTGAATTGACATTGTCGTCAAATTTATTCATATTCTGAATTTTAGCAGAAATCGATTTCATGCCTGAAGAAAATAAGGTTTCCGAAAGTTTAAACAGTTACTATTATTTATTTGTAGCCAACGAATGTTGAAAAAATAATAGTTCTGTGCAAAATGTTCTTTGAATGACGCTGAATACTCAAGATTTAATTCAAATTTTTCTCACGGAATTTAAATGACAAATTTGATGATTGAAAGGGTTGAATTGACATTGTCAAATTTATTCATATTCTGAATTTTAGCAGAAATAGATTTCATGCCTGAAGAAAATAAGGTTTCCGAAAGTTTAAACAATTTCCATTATTTATTTGTAGCCAACGAATGTTGAAAAAAATAATAGTTCTGTGCAAAATGTTCTTTGAATGACGCTGAATACTCAAGATTTAATTCAAATTTTTCTCACGCAATTTAAATGACAAATTTGATGATTGAAAAAGGTTGAATTGACATTGTGGTCTGTACCAAACTGTAAAAGACTCCTGGATATCCTTGAGGATAAAGAAATCATCTTTCTCTTCGAAAACTCACCTGTAATACTCCTGTTGTGCTGAATTTTTTGGCCACAGTAGCATCAGTGCAACAGGACACTCAGAGGGACCCAGCCTCCTCTCCTTGCACTCCTGTCCCACGGAATTGCCCACCACCTCAGCCAACTCATACCCATTCATCAGATTAGCATCTCCAAGACCCAATCTCTCAATGATACATTCAACAATTTCAGCTGAGGTTGTTTGTTTTGTTGCTTTTATCGACAATGCCTCGTATTCCGGGCTCCATTCACCCACGAATACTTGGACGACACCAGACCCACCACTCTCCATGTCGTTCAACCCTGGAAAATGATTTTTGTTCGTATCAAATGAACATTGAAAAATAAATGATCGGGCTGAACTCAGAGCAGATGCGATTTTCGGGGATTCTTGATTCAACTGCGGATATTTCGCTTTTTTTCCCTGTCATGTGAATTTTAAGCAGCTGCGGAGGTGGTTAAAAATAAACTCACGACTAGGATACCAAAATTTTGAGCATAAACATAAATATAACGGGGGGAAATGAGAATTCTGATCGAGAATGTTCGTGGCTGCGTTCGGGGCTTGAGGAGTGATTCATTTCGATGAGATAAATTGCTTTGGGTCGAGGTAATTAATGATTTGTCGAGTCACTGAATCACTAGACGTTGATGAACTCATTGATGGTAAATTGATGAATGCGGAGACTATTTCGGGAATTTATTGCTGATTATTTTGGGATTGTCTGGAAAATTAGAGGTTTTAGGGAGAAATATCAATGACTTTTTGAAAAAAGTAAAATTTGACAAATTTCTTTTTTTATATTTTTAAATCTAGGGTAAACAGGTCCATTTCTGGGCGGGGCATGGGTTCTGGACGATTTTAATTTGCATTGAATATTCCATAAATAAAATGAAAATTGTACTGATTATTTCACCTTTTAATAATATTACTCGGGTATTACTTGATCGTGTGATCAATTTTTGTTTATTGATTAAAATAAATAAATAAACATATAGCCCAGCGGTCCAGAAATTAGGGGCTTCGACTGCATTCAACCGAAATTATGTTGATACAATAATTTAGACAAAAATGCAAATAAAAATTGTTCACAGGGAATTAAATTTTCTTGAATCTCCCTTCATACGCATATCAAGATATTAATTCTTTACATTTTGATAATTTGGAAAATAAGATCAGCAGAAATTATTTTCCAAATACCCCCGGTAATTATGAATTCAAAGAAAAATGTCAAGAAACTTTTATTCTAGATTATAAAACTCTACAAAAATATTTTTAGTAAATGTTCCTGGGCCATTTCTCTGCCAAATTATTTCAAAATTCTTCTTCAAATCCCAATAATTTCAAGAGAAAAATCAACCCCAATTATGTTGATAAGATAATTGAATTTTATCAACGTAAATTAGAATTAAATTGTCCAGATGAAATTCTCTTTTAAATTTAGACCAATGTAACATGATTTTTTCCTTCAATTCTGTGAAATCGCAAACAACATAATAATAAAAAAATATAACAATCCCATTTACCTTTGTAATGGTAGGGTTAATAAGTCTGTCCTCTGTCGTCCATCGAATGCTCAAAACCATCTCCATCTTCATCTCTCCATCTCGTTATCCCCACATTAATCCATCCTCCCACATGTCTCAAACATCCCTCACGCATTTTGATTTCAATACAATTAAGATTTGGTTCTTTGCTCCAATAAATCACTACCAAAATCCCTAACTAACGAGTCTTGCTTCATAAATCTCTCATTTGATTATCCAATTAACAACATACATTTCATCTCAAAAATAAAAATAAAAATATTAATCTCAGTGGTGCGTCATCTGTCGATTTATCCCATAGTTTTGATCATCAGGTTCCATTGAATCCATTTAATTTCAAAAGTTCAATGAATGATTTTTCCGGTTAATCGAGTATTTAATGAATTACAAACGTCGAGTTGTCGAGATTTCACTGCTGTTTAAACTATTGTCATGGCAATCATGTGAGTCCATTGAAAACGATATTCTATTATCAGTAGGCAGTAAGTTGCTTCAGTGGAGCTCAGGGTATTTATAATTTCCAATAGTCTTCCAATTTTTCCTTCAACTTTTCCCACTGTCTTCGTATACTTCAGGATTTTTTTAACTTGTCATCAATAGTCTGGAACATAATTAATGGAAATCAATGACGCTGACTTTGTGAGGGAAATTGTGTGGGAGAAGGATTAGAATGGACCTTTGTGTCGTTTTTTAAAATTGTTGTTGCTGAAAGTGTGAAAATTCGTGATTTTTCGAACTTTGTTTTATGCTATTTTCATGCATTTTGTATCATCAACATTCATTTTTTGTCAATTTCATTCAAATGATCTATTCATCAACTCGTGAGTTTTTCAGATTTCCACAAAATATGAGTTTAGATAGAAATAATTTTTTTATATTTCTTCCTAAAATGGAGCAGTAGGAAAATAATCCAATAATTATCATTCATTTGAAAAAATAGCCGCAGAAACACGAGAATTCCTGTTCAACTTATTCTATAAATATATCCTAATCTGTTGGTTTTAGAGGAAAATTTCAAAAGATTATTTTTGTAGATTAGGAAATTCTCCATAAAAATGGTCTTCCGATATTTTTCCTGGGGCATTATCGAGGGAATCAGACAATTAAAGCCAAGTGAAGAGAATTAACCGCAAGAAAACCAGAAAAATCTTTCCTATTCTATTCTTTAAATATTTGGAGACAAGTAGGTTTGAAAAAAAATGCAGAAGCCCGAAAATTTCAACTAAAAAATCTCTAAAAAACATACTAAAAGTCCCCTTAACAGTTCCTCCCATTCTCCAACCGAATCTCTAATTCCAAGCTTCACAGAACCAAGATCAACAATTTTTGGATTTTTCGTCATAAATTATCTATTTATTAACTTGTGAATTTTTCAGATTTCCACAAACTATGATTTTAGATAGAAATAATTTTTTATAATTTTTCCTAAAATACAGCAGTAGCAAAGCAATCCAATAATCATCATTCATTTGAAAAAACAGCTACAGAAACACCAGAATTCCTGTTCATCTTATTCTATAAATATCTCCTAATCTGTTGGTTTTAGAGAAAAATTTCACAAGACTATTTTTGTAGATTAGGAAATTCTCCATAAAAATGGTCTTCTGATATTTTTTCCTGGGGCATTATCGAGGTAATCAGACAATTAAAGCCAAGTGAAGAGAATTAACCGCAAGAAAACCAGAAAAATCTTTCCTATTCTATTCTTTAAATATTTGGAGACGAGTAGGTTTGAAAAAAATGGGGAAACCCGAAAATTTTAACTAAAAAATCTTTAAAAAAAATCCTAAACCCAATCGAATCTCCAATTCCAATCTCCACAGACCAAAGAGCAACAATTTTCCCGATTTAAAATGACTAACCAACGACCTCAAGGCCCTCCACACACCACCAGATTCCTTAACAGTATCAAATTACTCATCGCGAAAGGAAAAAATCGCCAAAACTGATAACATTACCCTCATTCCCCGTAAATCGTCCCCATTTCGTGTCAATGATGCCCTCCACCAATCGCGATAAACAGAAAACTAATTCCAAAACATTGAATTCAACCAGACTGAATCAAAGCGTCATCATAGGTGCACTCGATCGACTTGACACAATCATTTATGAATCACATACACACCTCACACAATTCGCCAGTAGGTAAGCGTGACTGAATCAGCCTGGATTCCAATAAACCGACTGCCAAGTTTCTCCTGTTAAATTCCATTCATATCAATCTTAAATCGACTTCGAAACCAATCCAAATCCCAATAAATTCCCAAAAATGCGGATAAAGTTTCAATATTATCTTCGGTTTTTAGAGAATGGCTGGATGCTGGTGGCAGATAGAGAAATTTTGATGAGGGCATTTTTTGTGGAGAAGAATGAGAGCTACAAAAAATGTCTCCATTAAATATCCGATAATTCTGACGGATTTGAAGGAATCCATCAAAAACTATCTGGCTGAATTCGTCTGAACCTCTTTCTGAGACGGTATCTGCAATATTTTTTTAAACATTGATGATTGAGAAGAAATAGAACACAGATTATGGTGGAAATATCTCCTCAACTGAAAAAAACTGTCAACAACTCACGGAGACCCCCACAAAAAACGCCTAATTAATTAAATCCAGTCGTCTCACCAAAAAAATCAAAACTGCCAGGAGTTTTTGATGAATACCTCAATAGTGGTGACAGATACTAAAAATTTCATGAAAATCTCTTTTACAGCTCTTAAATTGCTCTACAAAAAAGGTCCTTACAAACATCCTGCTATCTCCTCTAGATTCCAACAAATCTTCCAAAAACTACTATGATAAAACAAAAAAACACAGCCTAATCACTTCTCAATACCTCAGGATTGACTCTAGACATGAAAATATCCATTGAAACCTTTGCTACAGTCCTCAATCTCCTCCTCAAAGCAACAGCCCCCTCAGCCCCAAAAACCCCAATCCCAAACCAAAAAAAAACCTCCCCAACACTTCCTCGAAAAACCCAACACCTCAAGATCACCAACACGAGCCCTCTCCTCCTGAAAACCTCGCATGCACCTGATGCTCCAAGCCATCCATAACCCCTCGGACCCCCAGACCCCATCTCCAACAACCTCTCCATCCTCCCAAACCCACCAAAAAATACCTAATCAATTAAATCTAGTCGCCTCACCAAAAAAATCAAAATTGCCCAGAGTTTTTGATGAATATCTCAATACTGGTGACAGATACTAAAAATTTCATTAAAACGTCTTTTACAGCTCTTAAGTTGCTCTACAAAAAAGGTCCTTACAAACATCCTGCTATCTCCTCTAGATTCCAACAAATCTTCCAAAAACTACTATGATAAAACAAAAAAACACAGCCTAATCACTTCTCAATACCTCAGGATTGACTCTAGACATGAAAATATCCATTGAAACCTTTGCTACAGTCCTCAATCTCCTCCCCAAAGCAACAGCCCCCTCAGCCCCAAAAACCCCAATCCCAAACCAAAAAAAAACCTCCCCAACACTTCCTCGAAAAACCCAACACCTCAAGATCACCAACACGAGCCCTTTCCTCCTGAAAACCTCGCATACACCTGATGCTCCAAGCCATCCATAACCCCTCGGACCCCCATACCCCAACCCCAACCACCTCTCCATCCTCCCGGAGCCCTCGTCGCCCGCAATAACCCCGAGAGTCACCCACTGCCCCCCAAAACCCAAAGAAAACCCTCAACAACTCACACAGCACTCTCCCCCAAAACCCCACAGAAACCACCTAATCAATTAAATCCAGTCGTCTCCCTCATGTCCACGTTATCACTCGCGTATTCCTCGGTATCCCCATGTCCTGTTAATTCCATCCACCCCCCACCACTCACCAACACTAACCAACATACCCCGTGCAACAGCGAGAATGACTGATAATTCCACTCGATCCACTGAACAAACTCGTGAACCCTCGAAAACTCGGCCAGATTTTTCCCTTCTTCCACCACTGAAAATCGGGCTCCGGGGGTGGGGGCTCTTATCAATGCACTTCTGTTTTGTGAAAATTGTCGCGAGGGCGAGGGGAGGGGGGAGAGGTTTGTAACCCGCGTACCTGTTTTTCCTGTTTCACGAGGGCAACCCGAGAGAAAAGGAGAGAAATTTCGGTCCCCGAGACTCTTGCACTCGGGAAAAATCCGGAAAACTCACGAAAATACTCCCGATTATTTTGGGTTGCGAGTGGGTGAGGGAGGGAGGGGGGAGGGCAAAAAAAATGGCATTCGAGAGGAGAGCGGATGTTGAGAGGAGGTGCAGAGGGAATTTATTTTAATTGTTTTGACACTTTGGGAATAACTCACCGGCTGTCACGTTTTCGGGTCGGTTAATCTCGGTGATGAGTGGGAAGGGGAGAGGGGGGGGAGTAATGGTGACGGTTATCACGGGGTGATAATTGATTGGGTCGGTGGGTTTGGCGTTTTTTTTATTCGAAAAATGCAGGCGATGAGCTGACGATATACGGGGTACAGGCTCGGCGAGAAGTTGCGGGAAGGTTTGGGAGGGAGGCGTGGGGGATTTTGGGGGGGACTGTAGGGCGTGACGTGAAAGTCCCTAGGTCTGGGGAGTTTTGGGCGCGGGGATGACCGTCATATGACGATCATGTGACCGTCATTGACGGTCATATGACGGTCATGTGACCGTCATTGACGGTCACATGACGAGGCGCGTTCATGACGGCTGTCACAATTCCCCCTCCCCCTTCTGTGACCGTCACAACTTGTCAAGAAAAAATGACAGTTATTTTTCATCTATATAGATGAAACTTTATTTTTTTCTCGGTCAATTTTCAGTTCGCATTTTGAAATGGAAATCACCATTTTTTTCCATCCATATAGATGAAACTAGTTTGTTTTATTCATGACCGTCACAAATTGGAAATTAGTTATGATCGTCATTATGCAACTGTATAGATGGTTTGACAACAATTTGGTTACAAATGATTTGTGTCAATCATTTGTAGTTGGAAAATTTGTGCGTCACATGACCGTCACAAGACCGTCATTTTTGGTCATATGACGCGATCTAAAAAATTACGGTCATTTTGCATCTCTAGTCGGGGGCAGTGTTACCGGATCGTGACGTCACCCCATTTAAAATTGTACAGGTTTTGGCTATAAATCGCCAAAATCTGGCAACCCTGGTCGGGGGTATTCATTTGTCTTCTTTCCAAGTGGAAGTTTGCAGAAAGTTATCTCTAAGATGGAAAATTTATATACAAAGTTATAAGGGAGGGTGGGGTAAAATGAACACTTTTGACTTTTTTAAAAATATTCATAACTCATACACATATTCATCAATTTGGCTCAGTCTAGGCTCATCACAAGTGGGCAGAATTTCCCTTTTTATTGAAAAAAAAAATGATTCAATTTCATCAACAATTCAGTAAGTTATTAGCATTTGAAAAAAAGTAAAAAGTGTCCATTTTACCCCATTGTCCCCTGTATAAAGTATTTTTTAGATATAATATATAAAGTATTTTTTATATATCATTTTATTATTTATTATTTCTTTGTATTTGTTAGATATTATTTTATTTTTAGGAAATATCTCCATTGAAAAAAAGTTCCAAATAAATGGAAAAATTGAAATTCTCCGATCTTCATCATTAGCTCAGGTTTTTTATTTCTTATCAATAAATCAGTCGTGATATTATAATTAATTAGATTCTCAAATCATTCATAAATACGCTATAATTACCGCTAAAAATGTCTACCGTAGTTGTCGCCACTCATGAAAATTCGACCGAAATATCTCGACCAATGACAGAATTTCTAGAATTTTCGGTTCAAATAAATCGCAATTCGCCACCCCATTCCCATTCTCTTGTTTAGTCTATCTTTGTGGTTAGAAATATCGTATTGCAGCATTTCAATTGTCATCAACGCTTGGGGATCTCCAAATATCTCAAAAGAATATCAGAACACTCGAGGCAGCGGATATCCTTCCTGAAGCATCAAACATTCCTTCGGAATTCTGAAATAAGAGTTCACAAGCAAAATGGTGAGCCTCCGATCGATATTTTCACGACTGCAAACACATTTGACTACCTTTCGGAGTCTGTTTACGTTTGTAGTTTTTCTCAATATGGAGTCGACTGTCTATTATTTTAGATTTTATTTTTGGATTCTCTTTCCAGTCGCACACCATCCTCTTGGTTCAACCTGGAAACAGACCCGAGACCAGGACTTATTCTGATTATGAGAGCGTTAATGAGTGCATGGAAGGTACAAGAAATAAATTGCTAATTTTATTTAATAATATGACAGCAATTTTTGAAACTTCGTTACTCACGTTTTTTTTTACGTTTTACATTTCTTTTAATGGCTTTTTTAAAATGTTCGTTGTTAAATATGAAATTATCTCGAAAACTAGAGAATTTTGAGAACAAATTCTGCTATATCAGCAGAATTTTTTGTAGTTGAAAAAATTCTCTGTTAAAAGGTAGGGCAACATCCCCTAAAATCAATTATGAAGATGATACACCACGAATGACAAATATTTGGAATGAGGGGAGAATGGGGTGAACCTTGAATTGTCAATATCTGCTGATCAACATTTGTCAAAACATTTTGAACCTTTGTTGTTACATTTCTAACTTAACCCTGACATTTCAACAGGTGTATGCAAAATCTACGAAGAGCACCTGAAAAAGAGAAATCCAAACACTCCAACGATAACCTACGACATCAGTCAACTGTTCGATTTCGTCGATCAACTGACAGATCTCTCGTGTCTGGTCTATCAAAAATCGACAAACAGCTATGCCCCATACAATAAGGACTGGATCAAGGAGAAAATCTACGTTCTGCTGCGTCGGGCAGCTGGACACAGCGAGTGAATCCTCGGATTACTCTAGGATCACAAAATATAAACGTACATAAGAAGATAACGTCTAGATTACCTTTATCATACGTATTAAGTTAATGATAATTCATGGTATTTCTCTACTGTTTGTAAAATGTAAATTCATTTAAGGATTACACCAGAGTTTTATTTGCATCCTTTCAAAAAATCAGTAGCGAAGAAAGAAAATCTTAGATTCGAAGATATTCTTTCGAAGGGGGACAGCGAAATTTTCATGACAATCTTGTTTGAAACGAAGCTAACTCCATAAATTTGCGATCGAGTAATACGGCCAATTCCGAAAATCTTCCTCTGAGAGAAGTGGCAGCAGCAGTTTAACTGTACAGGCAGTTGTATATGAGGCGTTCCATACTATTTAAATCCGCATTTTTTGGATTTTAATGAAAATTGAATATGATGTAGAAGTGTTCCAAACATGCCTTGAAATGTTATTAAAAGAAAAAAAAAATTTGGAAAGTTGGAAACTTTTGGTTGGACCAGGTACGTAATTTAAAAAAAAATTATAACTATAAATAAACTATTATCCAATGTCCACTGGGAATACCTTTAATTTACGAATCTCGATGAAGCTTTAGCTCCAAAATCTTGTCAAGAGTCTTGACGTGAAACCAATCAAGGAGAGAGGGTTTTCCCGACTGTTCTCCGAAATTTCGCTCGCTCCGAGGAATTTTCGTCTTCATTGGACGGCTTTCAAAATGATGGAAAATGAGGCTCAACCTTCCGGGGCTGGAGTTCTCTTTGATGTGGCCCAATGAAAAATTCGCTTTTCTACAGAATAATTCTCCTCACTTGTCAGGATAAACGACTGGTGACTGACGAGCATTGTTCTAGTGTCTGTTCATTCAAGAAGATATGCAGATAGGGAGAGAGGGGGAAATAATAGAAGAAAGGTATCAGAAGGAGAAAAAATCATTAATTTAGGTCTTAGCATTTAGAGACTATCGCGTTAATCCAAAAAATCCCACGAAAATAATTTTCAAATTCCATCCCAAAAGTTGGGATGAAAGTTGACTTTTCTCCTGAAAAAATCCAAGATATGACATGACACTTTTGGCCGCAGGTGAAAATTTTTTTTTTTTTCATTTTTTACTTTTCCCACATACTGTTGAGAGTTCTGGATAGCCCGTCACTTGAATAGTCGGAATCGACTTTCACTCGGCTAAAAAATTCGATTTTGCCGAAAGTCGACTTTTCGCCTGGAAAAATCCAAAACATAACACTTTTGGCGCCAGGTGAGAAATTTTTATTTTTATTTTTTACTTTTCCCACGTCCTATTGAGAGTTCTGGATAGGCCGTCATTTGAATAATCGGAATCAACTTTCACTCGGCGAAAAATCCAAGAATGACACTTTTGACCCCAGTGAAAAATTTTTTTTTTATTTTTTACTTTTCCCACATACTGTTGAGAGTTCTGAGTAGCCCGCCACTTTAATAGTCGGAATCGACTTTCACTCGGCGAAAAAATTCCATTTTGCCGAAAGTCGACTTTTCGCCTGGAAAAATCCAAGATATGACACTTTTGGCCCCAGGTGAGAAATTTTTATTTTTATTTTTTACTTTTCCCACGTACTATTGAGAGTTCTGGATAGGCCGTCATTTGAATAATCGGAATCAACTTTCACTCGGCGAAAAATCCAAGAATGACACTTTTGACCCCAGTGAAAAATTTTTTTTTTATTTTTTACTTTTCCCACATACTGTTGAGAGTTCTGAGTAGCCCGCCACTTTAATAGTCGGAATCGACTTTCACTCGGCGAAAAAATTCCATTTTGCCGAAAGTCGACTTTTCGCCTGGAAAAATCCAAGATATGACACTTTTGGCCCCAGGTGAGAAATTTTTATTTTTATTTTTTACTTTTCCCACGTACTATTGAGAGTTCTGGATAGGCCGTCATTTGAATAATCGGAATCAACTTTCACTCGGCGAAAAATCCAAGAATGACACTTTTGACCCCAGTGAAAAAATTTTTTTTTATTTTTTACTTTTCCCACATACTGTTGAGAGTTCTGGATAGCCCGTCATTTGAATAATCGGAATCAACTTTCACTCGGCGAAAAATCCAAGAATGACACTTTTGACCCCAGTGAAAAAATTTTTTTTTATTTTTTACTTTTCCCACATACTGTTGAGAGTTCTGGATAGCCCGTCATTTGAATAATCGGAATCAACTTTCACTCGGCGAAAAATCCAAGAATGACACTTTTGACCCCAGTGAAAAAATTTTTTTTTATTTTTTACTTTTCCCACATACTGTTGAGAGTTCTGGATAGCCCGTCATTTGAATAATCGGAATCAACTTTCACTCGGCGAAAAATCCAAGAATGACACTTTTGACCCCAGTGAAAAAATTTTTTTTTATTTTTTACTTTTCCCACATACTGTTGAGAGTTCTGAGTAGCCCGCCACTTTAATAGTCGGAATCGACTTTCACTCGGCGAAAAAATTCCATTTTGCCGGAAGTCGACTTTTCCCCTCAGAAAATCCAAGATATGACTCTTTAGCCGCAGGTGGAAAAATAGTATATTACGTTACAAGTGTGAAAAAGAGGGAATGTTAATACGAGTGGGGTAATGTTTTTAGGGAGAGTCGTAGGACACGCGCAGCCGAGCGATAGACGAGACGAGTCGAGCCGAGGGGGCACGAGTCGAGCCGAGGGAGCACGAGTCGAGCCGAAGGCACGCGAAGCGCGCCGAAAAAATTATTTTTTCGCACAGCGTGATGAAATAGTATATTTCAGCACATGTGGGGCAATNCCGTCATTTGAATAATCGGAATCAACTTTCACTCGGCGAAAAATCCAAGAATGACACTTTTGACCCGAGTGAAAAATTTTTTTTTTATTTTTTACTTTTCCCACATACTGTTGAGAGTTCTGGGTAGCCCGCCACTTTAATAGTCGGAATCGACTTTCACTCGGCGAAAAAATTCCATTTTGCCGGAAGTCGACTTTTCCCCTCAGAAAATCCAAGATATGACTCTTTAGCCGCAGGTGGAAAAATAGTATATTACGTTACAAGTGTGAAAAAGAGGGAATGTTAATACGAGTGGGGTAATGTTTTTAGGGAGAGTCGTAGGACACGCGCAGCCGAGCGATAGACGAGACGAGTCGAGCCGAGGGGGCACGAGTCGAGCCGAGGGAGCACGAGTCGAGCCGAAGGCACGCGAAGCGCGCCGAAAAAATTATTTTTTCGCACAGCGTGATGAAATAGTATATTTCAGCACATGTGGGGCAATATCACTCGCCTTCGGCTCATGCTGTAAACCCCACACACGTTAAGGACGAAATTTCCCAACAAGTACTGAACAAAATTTTATGTCACCCCACACACGTTAAAGACGATATTGCCCCACATGTGCTGAAATATACTATTCTGGCGCCTCTGAGTGTTTTTTCTCGCCCTCCTCTTTACCTCCCCCGCCCGCCAAAATACCACTAGCAATAAAAAAATATTATATAAACAAATTGAAAACAGTTTTTACTCCTTTACAATCAATTTTCATCTTCATCATAATCGTGCCCCTGAAATCCGCATTAAAAAAATCCTCAATGATTCCTCCCAAGACAAACAAATCTATCCCCACGCCCGCACTGCGTCATCATCTGGATGCAACAGTCAACGTCACACGCGTTGCAACAGGCACGTGCGTTCAATCCTCATGGTAATTGCTGAATTGGCATTAGATATGAATCCCACCCCTCGCCCTCCTCCCCTCCCCCGCCCCACCGCGCTCTCCTCCCGTCCTTCAAAACCCATGATAAAAATAATCTCACAAAACCAAAACTAGAAAAATAAATGGATAATGGCATTTTTTAATAAATGAGTATAGTTATTGTTGCTAAGACATTAGTAACTTGCTTCTGAAGGGATTCTCTTTTTTTATTCTTACTTCACCATTCTCTTCTTCTATTTTTTCATGTCATAGTACTGTCATCAATTGAAACATCATCGAAATTTTTGCGCATTATTTCGTTCTGTCGTTCTGTTCGTTTCGCGTCTCTAGAGTGGAGTCAAATTTATGAAATTTAAAATTCATTTATTTACCATCTATTGCGAATAAGGTAAAACGGATGCTTAACTTTATTCTTTGGAGTGTAACGAACATTTAAAAAAAGCTAAAATCGTATGAAAACTGCGGCGCAAGGAGCATTATGCAGGTAAAAACAGGTAAAAATGAAGTTGTTCGTACTATACGGAGCAAAATCGATCGGCTCCGCAATTTTCCCTAGTTATTCTCATACTCCATCATATATCACAAACTGTTCAATGGCCCAGTGAAGACTTTTAAATTTCCGCGACGTATCCCCTTAATTAAAGTAGCTCTACCCTTCGGCCGGGCTACACTGTACTTTTGGATATTTTCAGGTTTTAAATTTTTCAACTAAATTGCATGGAAAAAATTTGAAAAAATTCATACCCAGTCAGTATTAGGAGTGGTTGGGGTAAAACGGACACTTTTGACTTTTTAAAAATGTTAATGAGGGGTTGAAATATTGATAAAATTTAATAATTTTTTCTCAATACAAAGAACAATTCTTTCCCTTTATGACGCGCCTGAACTGAGCTCAATTGATCAATTTTTTTTTGAGTTATGAATAATTTTAAAAAAGTCTAAAGTGTCCATTTTACCCCACCCTCCCCTATCAGAATTAAATTTCGCAAAATAGTGATATTTTTTCAAACATTTCCCTCTTATAAGTAAATAATAAAACTTGTTTGCAAAACGGTGGATTATTTTTTATGAGGTGTCAAAAAAATTCTTGAGTTTTTCACATCTAGTGAAAAAAAATTCAGATTTTAATCATTAATTTCAATGGAAATGTTGATTTTCACATAAGACACTGGGTTAAATCCTGATTTTCAAACATTTCTTCTTCGAAAAACCAAAGCGATAATTAAATTGAGGAAAAAATTAGAATTCCGAATCTAACCGAGTTTTCTGCAATTTTTTGCAGTTTTCAATAATCTTTGAATTTACCGTAAGGGCAGGGGAGGGTGGGGTAAAATGGACACTTTAGACTTGTTTCAAATTACTCATAACTCAGAAACAAATTTATCAAAGAAGCTCAGTTTAGGCTCATCACAAAGGGTAAGAATTGTTCTTTGCATTGAAAAAAAAATTATTAAACNTTTCTGCAATTTTTTGCAGTTTTCAATAATCTTTGAATTTACCGTAAGGGCAGGGGAGGGTGGGGTAAAATGGACACTTTAGACTTGTTTCAAATTACTCATAACTCAGAAACAAATTTATCAAAGAAGCTCAGTTTAGGCTCATCACAAAGGGTAAGAATTGTTCTTTGCATTGAAAAAAAAATTATTAAACTTCATCACCATTTCAACCTGTCATTAACATTTTTAAAAAAGTCAAAAGTGTCCATTTTACCCCAACCTCCCCTAGAGCTACTTTAAATTTGAGTGATTGCAAAGCTTCCATACGGAAGCGAAAATAGAAAAATCATCGGGGACTGCGTAAAAAATCACTCTGCACTTCCGCCCTCCCTATCTCCCCTACCGGCCTCCCCCCCCTTGAAATTCCACTAGCAATAAAAAAAATATGTTACATAAACGATAGAACTGCAGGCAATAGAGGAAGATGGAAAGGCTAATGATGAACGAGTGCCAGTAGTGGGGGGAGTGTGGAGGGGACAGCCGTAAGAATATATAGTATATATTCCAAAAGGAATATCCGTAGATTTTTGGAGTGGGAGACACGCATATGAGTGGGAATCACGTAGAGTGGGGGTACCCTGGGAAGATAATCTTCTACTAGAAACCCAAGCAGTTGCAGATGAGAGTCTGACCGCAGATGAGCGAGAGCTGATCGATCGAGTGAAAAGAACATTAAAATAACTAAATTCGACATTTTTCGAGCTAATGAAAAATGTAATTTTATCGTTTGTTTAGAATTAATAAAACGCATGGCGAGTGAGTGCGGTTTAAGGGGGGGGAGGGGTGAGTGAAAAGTGGAGTGCAGTTGCGGATGGTTTACAGTCGCGCGTGACAGTTCCAGTTTTGGTTTTCGGTTTTCGTTCGGGATTCGAAGGGATAATCGGATTTTTGGGGGGCAGTGAGAGGGTTTTTGGGTTTTGGTATTTGTTGGAAGTTTTTTGGGAATTGTTGGGCGCCGGGGGGAGCTGTGGAGGAAGAATGTCGGGGAAATTGTTCACTGACGTTGAGCCATTCAGTGAGACAGCCCTGGAGAATCCGCGGATTGAAGGTATTTTTGGTTCATTTGCTTGTTTGTTTGTTTTTCGATGGATTGTTGCGGGTTTTTTTGTCGATTGGGGGTCCTCGGGGGAGCCTGCAAGGTCCACTCTTCGGGGTTTAGGTTAGTTTGGATTGGGTTGGTATAGCTGAGGCATGACATCACTCGGGTATTGTGCATTCGGTCGGAGGAATAGGAGTTGATATGCTTTGATGGTTGACAATTGGTTTATTGTGGGGAATCGATTAGTCGATCGAGGGAAAATTCCACCTTTCGCTGGGTTACCCAGGTGTCTTGTGTCGGTGTTGACAGTCTTCACGTGCGGCACACGTGTTGGAATATTTGATCATCTAATGAAATTTTTTAATTACAAGATCCATGCGCGCGCTCTCGCGCGCGCTGATCTATTCATTCGTTGAAATGAAGAAATGGAATTCATTGAATTTAAATACCTTACACTGAGAGAAAAAATTATTCCTGCCAAGGATTGATATNTATAAATATTGATAATGAATCAAAGAGAATTCGACTGATGATTGAAGTGAATAGCCAAGTAGAGTAAAAGAATATATAAAGAATTTTTCATTTTCAACTAATTATCTTCTTTTTTTTTTTAATAATCGGTCTCCATAAAAGGACAGAATTTATTAATTTCGCCGATGATATATATACATGTGAAATATATATATTATATATATATATATGACGTGAAAAAAAAATTTACCACTGAAGAATTTGAAATTATGTCACTGAAGAACTTGAAAATGCCGCGTGTTTTTTTTGTGAATCACTTCATGTCACATATTGACCAATCAGAATTAAGGATTAGCGGTCCGGCAGTTTCGAGATATTTCGATATAAAACAACTTCACGTTTTTTTTCATCTTTAGTAAATCTTTAGTAAATAGGATTTAGTAAATAGGATAGGAATAATAATAATTGTTTGGATAAATACGTGACAAATTAAATTTTATGAGCGAAATACACAAGAAATAGATGATTCAATAGAGTAGAAATATATATATTGAACATAAAAATGATGTCGAGAAAAATATAAAGATTCAATACAAATTTAAGACATAAATGACCCCAAAATATTATTTGCTCATGAGGATGAATATTTTATATAGAAATATTATTTATTAATGACTCGCATGAAACATTTCATAAAAATAAGTATTGCTCAGTTCTCTATAAATTTATAAAATGTACNCCCCCGCTCGCTTCGCTCGCTCCCCCTCCGTCCGTGTGACCGCAGCGGTGTGACCGTACCCATAAACATCTTCCATATGAGCACCCCCTAACATAGTAATCCTCCATAAATATCGATATCCCCTTTATGACCACCCCCTCATATAGACATCTCTTATAAATACACGCACCTCCTCGTATAGGCACCCAACGTCCCCTGAATTTGAGCGTCCCCTGAATTTAAGCGTCCCCTGAACTTGAGTGTCCCCTGAATTTTTCGCTTTATTTTTTTATTTATATAGAGAGATGAATAATAAATGGCCCATCCTATTGGTAAAAGGTCCAGAATGCCATGAAAAATATGAAAGGGTACCCATTACAGATATGAGGAGTACGGGAGGGTAGGGTAAAATGGACACTTTTGACTTTTTTAAAAATATTCAGAACTCAGAAACAGATTTATCAATTAAGCTCAGTCTAGGCTCATCACAAACAGGAATCATTGTTTTTCAATTGAAAAATGAAATTATTCCATTTCATGAATAATTCAACACGTTATGAATATTTCAAAAAAAGGCAAAAGTGTCCGTTTTACCCTACCGTCCCCTACTTATCTTGATAATGGCCAGCGAGAATGAGAGCGAGTCATGTGGGTTTCTCGCCTTTTACACTTGTTTGAGTCATTGATTGTAGCTTCGCTACTAGATTCGTCCTTCGTCTTTATTTTGTTTGCCTAAATTCCTTTATTACAAATCGATAACTCAAATCTCTGCTATATCATTAAATTAATATTCAAATTCCTACAATCATTTGTCTCTGGTGATTGTTGAGAGGGAAGTCAATTTTTGTGGCGAGAGATTGAGGATTTTGTCTGTTCTGGAGGGGTTCTCGCATTTTTTTAGGAGAATAAGGGAGAGTGGGGTAAAACGACCCCTTTTGACTTTTTTTGTGATAGGGGAGGATGGGGTAAAATGGAACACTGGACTTTTTGAAAATTACTCATAACTCAGAAACAAATTTATCAATTTAGCTCAGTTTAGGCTCATTACAAAGAGAAAGAAATGCTCTTTGCATTGAAAGAAAAATATTTAATTTCATCAACATTTCAAGCTGTCATTAACATTTTTAAAAAAGTCAAAAGTGTCCAGTTTACCCCAACCGCCCCTACTCATAACTCAGAAACAAATTCGTTAATTGAGATCAGTCTAGGCTCATTCTAAAGGGGAAGAAGTGTAGTTTCCATGGAAAAAAAATTATTTTATTTCATTTAAAATTGAATGAGCTGTTAATATTTTTGAAAAAAATCAACAGGGGCCGTTCTACCCCACTCTCCCCTAAAACTCAAATTTTGAGGATTAAAATCGGAAATTAATGCTGAGGGGAAGTTAATATGAGGAGAAACATTCTGGTTGAGTTTTAGCGCAATCGGCAGTCTGATATGATTGGGAATAATTTATTTAGGAGTGATGAGTGATTGGGAGTTTTTGAAATACTTGGCCTTATTTCAACGAATTTAAATCGCGGAATGAATGCACTTGTGGAAAATGCCATGTCTTCTCATACGTGAATGTTTTCTTTAAATTCTAGTGCGATAATTACGTGACTCCATCGAATGATGGGCGTGATGATTAAATATCTGAGTCCGTTAATTTCTGTCACAACTGTGGAATATTCGACAATTTCCTGAATTTAATTCTGAAAGGAAACAAATAACTCAAAAATTGAAATTAAGTTGTTGCACGAATATCTCGATATTTTAGAAGACCCCTTATACCTCGAATTGATCTCTTTATTCTTGGAATTTCTCTCTAGATCTGCTGCTCCCAACAGATTAAAGTTAATATGAGTAGAAATATTCTGGTTGAGTTTGCGTGCGCGTATGAACACATCGTATAGAAATTTTTCGTACGGATTGCGTAGGGGAGGTTGGGGTAAAATGGACACTTTTGACTTTTTTTTAAAAATGTTAACAGCTCATTCAATTTTAAATAAAATGAAATAATGTTCTTTCCATGGAAACCACACTTTTTCCCCTTTAGAATGAGCCGAGACTGATCTCAAATAATGAATTTGTTTCTGAGTTATGAGTAGGGGAGGTTGGGGTAAAATGGACACTTTTGACTTTTTTTAAAAAATGTTAACAGCTCATTCAATTTTAAATAAAATGAAATAATGTTCTTTCCATGGAAACCACACTTTTTCCCCTTTAGAATGAGCCGAGACTGATCTCAAATAATGAATTTGTTTCTGAGTTATGAGTAGGGGAGGTTGGGGTAAAATGGACACTTTTGACTTTTTTTAAAAAATGTTAACAGCTCATTCAATTTTAAATAAAATGAAATAATGTTCTTTCCATGGAAACCACACTTTTTCCCCTTTAGAATGAGCCGAGACTGATCTCAAATACTGAATTTGTTTCTGAGTTATGAGTAGGGGAGGTTGGGGTAAAATGGACACTTGACTGTTTTTAAAATGTTAATGACACTGAAATGTTGATGAAATTCACTTTTTTCTTCAAATTAAAGAGCATTCCTTTCTCTTTGTAATGAGCCTAAACTGAGCTCAATTGATAAATTTGTTTCTGAGTTATGAGTAATTTTAAAAAAATCCAAAGTGTCCATGTTACCCCATCCTTCCCTATAGAAATTCTACAGGATTTTCGTATATGATATTCGGACATTTCTATACGAATTATTTCTACACATAAATTTTTGTTTTCACACGAAAGATGTCGAAACGCTCCAGAGAAAATCGTGGAGAAATGTCGCAACTCCGTAAAAAATCTTTCTATACATGTGGCAATGGGTCGTATAGAATCAAACCCAGAGAAATCGTATAGAAATCATTTGAATACGCAATCCGTATAGAAAATTTCGAATGTCGAATGGGCAGTCTAGTATTATTGATAATAATTAATCCAGAAGTGCAAGGATAACACAGAGTCTTATGAGAAAATTAACTTTTCGGAGTTAGGGAAGAGATTGAAATCTAGAAAAAATCGCTAAGAATCGGAAAAAATAAATAGAAATTCTGCGCCCGATACGAAATTTATCGCCATTGTCAAACTTTTATAATAAATAATTTACGTTTCTGCGAGAGATTTCTGTTTAAAAAAATGATTGAAGAAAGAATTTGATGGATTAATTTCTTGCAATTCATGGGACAAATTATCTACGATGAATCATTTTTTTGGCTTTTTGAATTTATTGTTCCTTGTTAGACTCAACGACTCAACTGGAGTTTATTCACACTATTTTAATGTTTCCTTGGTCTCCCCTCCCGTAACATGTTTTTCCTTCTCCGCCAGATATCGAGGCAGAATCCCTAGCGGAAAATCGAATGGACATAGGTGAAGAGGTGCCTTATGCCGAGCCCCTTGCACCGGAAGAAATAAGATGGTTCTACAAAGACGGTGTTGACAAGAGATGGGTGGAATTCTGCGGATACGACAGCCTGAGGATTGAGGATGCGTGGAGAAAAAAACTGGAGAAGGAGAGAAATGCCAATGAGACTAACGACGATTGCGAGAGGGTCGTTGTCAAAGGGGGAATGTACGACGTCAAACTCGATGACATGAAGTGTGTCTCCATATTCTGGGCAGGTAATTTACCTTCACTCTTTGCAAATTAAAAAATTCCGATTCTGTGAATCAACAAATGGCGGATGTGGAGTCATGCATTTGATGTAAAAATGTTTATTTATTCGATAATAATACTGTTTTAAAAAAAAAATTAATTTTCGTTGTTTTTTTTATTTATTCGTGATTTTTCGCATTTTTTGGTACTGAATGTTTGTGGATTTGGGAGACAATGGATTAAAGAATGAATTCAGTAGCGAAGCGGTAAACCGGGTTAAGTCGATTTTTACTATTGGCTAGTTTTTGACGAATATCTCGGAATCTAAAAGAGATAGAAAGATTTTTGTCAGGACCTTTTTTGTAGAGCCAATAGAGCGTTGTAAAAAAAGTCATGAGAAAAATTTTGCTATCTCTCTTAGATTCCGAGATATTCAGCAAAAACTGGCTAATAGTCAAAATCGACTTGACTCGGTTTACCGCTTCACTACTGAATTAAATTGATTCAATTAATTAACTAAACAATTTCGAAATCCATCAAATGAGAATTCAAGCGTTGATGAACAATAATTTACCTTCACTTTTCGCAAATTAAAAAATTCAGATTCTGTGAATCAACAAATTGCGGGTGTGGAGTCATTCATTTGATATGAAAACTATTTTTTATTCAATAATACTGTATTTATTTAAATTTTTTAATTTTCGTTGTTTTTCCTGATTTATTCGTGATTTTCTGCATTTTTGGTACTAAATCTTCGTGGATTTGGGAGAAACTGGAGTAAAGAATGAATTAAATTGATTAAATTAATTAACTAAACAATTTCGAAATCCATCATTTTTTTAAATTTTCGTTGTTTTTCCTGATTTATTCGTGATTTTACGCATTTTCGCTACTAAATCTTCGTGGATTTGGGAGAAACTGGAGTAAAGAATGAATTAAATTGATTAAATTAATTAACTAAACAATTTCGAAATCCATCAATTTTTTGAATTTTCGTTGTTTTTCCTGATTTATTCGTGATTTTACGCATTTTTGGTACTAAATCTTCGTGGATTTGGGAGACAATGAATTAAAGAATGAATTAAATTGATTCAATTAATTAACTAAACAATTTCGAAATCCATCAAATGAGAATTGAAGCGTTGATGAACAATAATTTACCTTCACTTTTTGAAATTAAAAAATTCCAATTCTGTGATTCACTTATTTGCGTGGAACACTTCATCGATCTAGAGATGATGAAGATGTCGACTGGTGAAAATTCAGCACAAATTAATTATTTTGGAAATGCATCGATAACTATCAGGGGAGAGAAACTTTTCTTTTTTATTTTAGTTGAGAGTCAAATGGTTTTCAGTTGTCACAATGGTTGGCACAATTACTCATAATTCCAATTGGATGAAAGCCGTGACAGAAGGAAATAGTGCGAAAAAATATTCAGTCTATTCGTGAAATTTACATTCTACTTTGTATTTTCACGAGTCACACATGATGCCCAACTCGAGGCACTAGAACAAGCTGATAAGACCTTTTATCGGGCATTGTTAGCCGGTGTGTGTGAATGCTTCTAAGAAATTAGTTTCTATTTCCTTGCGCATCGCTTCAGCCCTATCTAGAGATTACTGTGTCCTTGGGGTTATTATTGTCAATTTCCTTTGGCGTGCGTTGGCTGTTGAAGTATCGCGGGTATTTGTTCGACCAATGCATCGTTCATTCAATTCCCAATGGGTTTTTTCATTGAGTCAAGAGACGGGCTCTTTATTTTTTCCCGAGTGGACGTCGTGATTTCGAGATGTGAATGATAATTTCTTGTTCGAGAGAAATGTCAAAACTATTTTTGCGCAGTGACGCCAGATAAGATACCAGATGAGATGGGGGGAAATGAATCAATATCTCGTATTAAATATTAAAAGACAATTTTGACAGCATTTTACGTATTAATTTATTAATTAATGGTCATCACTCCTGATTTATTCGAGTCCACTAAAAACCTAAAAACTTTAAGTCATTGACATATCAACACTGATAACGTGACACAATTTTAAGGAGATTAACATGTTTGAACGTTGTACTTCCTTGTGACCCTATATTAACTTAAAGTAGCTCTACCCTTCGGCCGGGCCTGGCTGTACTTTTGAATATTTTCAGTTTTTAAATTTTTCAACTAAATTGCATGGAAAAAATTTGAAAAAATTCATACCCAGTCAGTATTATCTAAATTAAATTTCGCACAATATTGATATTTTTTGAAACATTTCGCTCTTATAAATAAATAATAAAACTTGTTTGCAATACGGTGGATCATTTCTTACGAGGTGTCAGAAAAATTCTTGATTTTTTCACATCTAATGAAAAAAAATTCTGATTTTAATCTTTGAGTTAATTATTTTAATCACTGAGTTAAATCCTGATTTTTTAACATTTCTTCTTTGAAAAACCAAAACGATAATTAAATTGAGAAAAAAAAATCGAATTCCGAACGTAATTGAGTTTTCTTTTTAAGTGGGCAGCCACGTGGAGATGATCACATAAAATCATATTACCATTCCGGATTTTCCTATGGGATAAGATAACTTTAAGTGAAGATGAATTCCCGATAAATCTCTTGAGACCTCGGAAAAATAAGGAATCATCTATGAAAAACTTTTTTGTAGCTCGCCATGTCTCTTGGACTTCAAGAAATTTTTTTCGTTCAACTGATCTGTTCTCAAGGTGAATTCACCTTGTTGAATTTTGATTCCCGTCTGAGAAGAGAATGAATTATTAATCTTGTTTATACTTGAACTTTTTAATTAAAAAAAAAACTAACAAAAAAAGGCCATCTTTTTCTTTACACTTCCATCTTTGTGAAGGAGATGAGTGGATAATTGATGGCGAATGACTCATGAGTCCCTGTCATAAATTTTATTTTCAAATTATTGAATTTCAATAATAACATTCGTCTAACCACTGCACCATCTCCACTGATAATTCAAATTATCTCGTGAAAAAAGGATGAAAAAAATGAGATTGAATTTCGAATTCTGTATAAAATTTACATTTAAATGACGACTAGAAGCGAGGGACATTCCTGTGATGACTTAGTGTAAATTTTTTTTTCTGATCTCAGTTTCCCATTTACGGAGAATAAATTATCGTTTTTATGTATTCGAAATGTTAATTTCTAAGTTGACACTTATGTTCATCAACAACATTTCCACAAATTATGAAAATCTCCACAAAATTTATCAGCGAGTGAACAGTTAAAATCGTATGATTCCAGGTGAAGAATGGGAGATAATGAGGGCAACGTGGTATTACGAGGCGAGCTGGATACCCCTGGAGCTGGAGCACTCGAGGGTAATAGAGGAGTCTCACCTGAGGCTCTTCGAGAAGCGAAAGAGCTCCACTGCAGGCTCCACCCCAGAAGAGGCCTCGCCCTCCCACTCCTACAGAGGTAACACTTCACTCCGACATCGAGCTAATTATCCTCACGCAATTATTCTCACCGACACGCAGTCAATGATCCAATTTTTTTTCCATTATTTTTTTTTCTTTCATTCTCCTCTTTCATCTCGCAGTTCTACACACCGAGCGTTTTTCCGAGTTTCATGTCGACTGGCACGCGATTAACGATGTAGCACTTTACAGCGAGTACACAACTAGTAAATTAATGCGCAGTGTGACCTCCAGATTGGGATTCAGCAAGAGTAAGTAGTTGTTTTACATTTTACGTAATGTTTGTAAAAATTACAATTTTGGGTGAAATTTCCATTTCATTCATCGACATTTTCCATATTTTTTATTTTATTTTAGCCAGCGGGTACCAATTGAGAAGAGGCTATAAAGTCAACGCCTCAATGTCCGACAAACCCAACGACATCGATCATCTGGTCTTCGTTGTCCATGGAATCGGACAGAAACGAGATACCCAGAAGATCATTCGCAATACTGCGCTGTAAGTGACAACACAGATTAAAATCATTCAATTCAATTACTTTATTTCCTTGATGTTATAAAAGTTTTTTCTTTGCTTTTAATTGATACATCAACATCAGCCCTTCTCTCTCGCCTCGTCGAAATTCAGTAGCGAAGTGGGAAAACGGCACAAGTTAATTTTGACTATTGACCAGTTTTCAATGAATATTTCGGAATCTAAGGGAGATAGCAAAATTCTTGTTATAACCTTTTTTGTAGAGCCAATTAAATCCTACAACAAATGTAGTTACGTAAATTTCGCTATCTCCCTTGGATTCGGAAATATTCCTCAAAAACTCAACTGGCAGGTGAGTCGACTTGAACCGTTTTGCCCCTTCGCTACTGAATTATACTGTGTTAGAGTTTGATAGATTTTGCTGGCTTTGTTTTCTCAATTTAACTAGGGGGCTTCGCCTCCTGCTCGTTCCGCTCGCCAAGCCCCCAAGGTTTTTACGATGCGACCCATTAGGGGCGATTGGTTTGTTTTTAGAAGAAGATTCCACTCAACGCCTTGAAAGCCTCATATGAACCTTCCATGGCCCTCATATTATGACAGCATATAACCCTCACATTAACCCCATATGACCCTCATTCTCATCCTTATTTTACCCTTATCCGGACCCTACTTTGCATATTTCAGTAGCGAAGTGGTAAACCGGTTTAACCCTAGTTTTGGACACCATATGAGAACTTGCGACTTTGGTCACCTCCGCAGGGAATCGCCGCCGTGTTATTTAGGCCCGAGCGTTGCCGAATTCACTCTATACTGCCCGGGCGCGTTTAGCGAGACTTCGGCAACGCCGCACAACGGGCAATTTCATTTAACATGGGAAACAATTGCCCGTTTGTTAGAAATAATTTTTTTTCTTCAGGAATTGTGGATATAAATAATTTTTTAAAAAATTATCATTTTCTAGACATTTGAATTGACGCATTACAATTTTTTAGGATTTTTCCGCTCAGCCAGTCAATGGTAAGAAAAAAAAATCGACCTGCGGCGTTTCCCTCCTGTGGTGACCAAACTAGGGTTAAAGTAGCTCTAACCTTCGGCCGGGCTACGCTGTACTTTTGGATATTTTCAGTTTTTTAATTTTTCAACTAAATTGCATGGAAAAAATTTGAAAACATTCATACCCAGTCAGTATTGTCTAAATTAAATTTCGCAAAATATTGATATTTTTTCAAATATTACCCTCTTATAAATAAATAATAAAACTTGTTTGCAAAACGGTGGATTATTTTTTATGTGTCAAAAAAATTCTTGATTTTTTCACATCTAACGAAAAAAAAACAGATTTTAATCTTTGATTACAATGGAAATGTTGATTTTCACATAAGACACTGGGTTAAATCCTGATTTTCAAACATTTCTTCTTTGAAAAACCAAAACGATAATTAAATCGAGAGAAAAATTAGAAGTTTTCAATAATCTTTGAATTTACCGTAAGGGTAGAGCTACTTTCAGTCGACTTATCTCCCAATTGAGTATTTGAAGAATATTTCCGAATCTAACGGAAGTAGCGAAATTTTCGTAATTACATTTACTGTAGCTCTCAATCGGCCCTACAAAAAAGGTTGTAACAAAAATTTTGCCATCTCCCTTAGATTCCGAGATATTTATTGCAAACTGGTCAGTAGTCAAAATTGACTTGAACCGTTCTACCACTTCGCTGTTGATTTATCCTGACCCTTATCGTGACCTTCATTCTGACCCTATTCCTGAACCCAATGCTGACTCTTGTAACCCTTGGTTACCCCTCTACCCTCCTGTGCAGCTTCAATCCCGTATTCGTTCAGCATTCAGATAAAAATCATTCCTTTCGATAAACTTTCTGGTAAACAATCAAGTATATAAGCTACTTTAATTGTGACCGGAAGCGCCGTCAGTGAACCAGAACGATTCATGTTGCATTCCACATAGGAATCTGATTTTTCATTCGATAAACTGTACCACAACTAAACCCGTCGCCAGTGAACCAAAACGACGCGTATTACATATCGAACATTGTTTAGAGACTCCACACGGGAATTTGATTTTTCTTCCGATATTTCCTCGTGTCAGCCTTGAAAATGATGATCTCACTCCAATATCTGTTACTGTGGTGAGATGAGGAAATGCTAGTTTGTTAGGTAAGAACGTGTGGATTATTTTTAGTTTTTAAGGAATATTTCGAAGTCTAACGGAGATGGCAAAATTTTCGTCATGACCTGTTTTGTAGAGCGAATTGAGCGCTACAATAAAGGTCTTCACGAAAATTTCGTTATCTCCCTTAGATTAGGAGATATTCCTTGAAAACTGAGCTTAACAAATTTTATTCAATCGATGAAAAATTTTATTCACTCGTCGCAGTTGAATGGTTCAGTTTCGAATCAATTTATCTATTTTCTCGATCATTGGAGACATTTCCAGGAATAAAATTCAATTTAGATTCCGTAAGAATTCAGTTGAAGCCCAAAAAGTGTACGTAATGACAATTTGAATGATTTAGATAATTGTGGGTCTGGAAGTGTGTCGACTTGTTTTCAAGAATTATCAAAATCGAATTCATCGATTGCCACCGTTCATTAACACGATTGAAGTATCTTTTGTAATAACTTGTAATTACTGTTGAGATATCTCGGTAGTGAGATACGACTCTTACGAGTCGTTAAAAACCGATTTCCACAGGAGATTCTTCTAATCGTGAATTAATTAGATTTCTCCATGTTTTATGTGGAATTCGTTGATATCGACGAATTTTTCTCTTTAAGTGAATGGAACCTACTATTCTCTGAACAAAACAATTTATTGGAATATAACGAGCTTCACCAAAAAAATAATACCTTATTTTAAGTTTTCAAATGTCGCGTGCTAAGTGGAAAAAGGTCATAAAAACCTAATCTAGGGAACATGAAATTTGGACGATTTGGGCTCTGCAGAATCATGTTGAGCCAACTTTTGAGGATAATTTTTTTTGGCGCATACGACTGTTTTCCATAAATTTCCATAAATTTCGTCCAATAGTGGAGAAATGAACAATAAATATTTTCACTATTTTCTCTTCATTTTTCCAACATTCGGACGTACTTTTAGAGAAATTTCTATTGGATAAAAATTGGCAGAAAGTCGCATGCGCCAGAAAAAATTTCTTCCTCAAAACTTTACCCTCGAGACGCGAAAACTTCATGAACTTCAAAATTCATTTATTCGCGATCTATTGCGAATAAAGTAAAACGGCTGCTTGACTTTATTCTTCGGAGTATTCTTTGGAGTATAACGAGCATTAAAAAAAATCTAAAATCGTATGAATACCCCGGCGCAAGGAGCATTTTGAAGATAAAAACAGGAAAAAATTATTATACGGGCAAAATCAATCGGCTCCGCGCCTTCCCCTAGTTATTCCTATATTCCGTCATATATCGCAAACTGTTCAATGGGTCTCAAGGCCCAGTGAAGCCCTTAAAATTTCGCCGACGCATCCCCTCAAAAACAACAAGTTTTCGCAAATATCCCCAATGCCTTTTTCAGATTTCGTGATTGTGTAGATTGGTGTAGACAAAAGTACTTCGCCTCAACCTCCCACCGAGTAGAATTTTTCCCAGTGGAATGGCGTTCCTCCCTGAAACTAGACGGTGACATAGTGGATGCAATAACCCCCTACAGTGTCCTGAGCATTCGCCACTTGCTGAACTCCTCCGCAATGGACATCCTCTACTACACGAGCCCCCTCTACGGTGGTGAGGTGCGAGCAGGCCTCCAGAGAGAGTTGAACCGTCTCTACTGTAAATTCATCAGCAGACATCCAGACTGGAAGGGCAAAGTATCAGTTCTCGCCCACTCCCTGGGCTGTGTAATTGTTTATGACATTGTGACTGGCTGGATGGGACCAGACACGCGACCCCCATCACCAGCAACCCAGGAGGTGGTCACTGATGGGCTAAAATTTACCATTGAGAATATGTTCTGCCTTGGCTCGCCACTCTCAGTATTTCTAGCCCTTCGAACTCGCACACCCTCGAATAGAGTCGATGTCATGCCACCGGGCTTGTGCAAGAGATTCTACAATATTTTCCACTGGTCTGACCCAGTTGCCTATAGGATGGAGCCACTGCTTGTGAGGGGCTACAGGAAAATTGATCCTGTACTCATTACGTCTTACGGTGGGGCCAATGAACAGCAGATTGATACACCACCTGTGTCGTTGGCCAATGGGGAGGGCACTATGCCTACTTCAGGTATTTTTTTGTGACTATTTTCCAGCCCAAATATCGGGCAATATAATTGGCCCATTCGACATCACGTGGTACAAGCTACAGGATTTTCAACTGATAATTTTTTGATAATTTTCTCTGGTAGTTGCTGTATAAAAAACAAAACATCATGCAGTCGAATTAACCCCTCGTCAAACTGACAGATTCAATTCAATTGTGTCGTTGTGTTAATTATACAATTTTCGTTTCTCAATTGTGAGTTTCGTCTCATGGTCCAATTATATTGCCCGACATTTGGATTGGAAAAATAATCCCCCGAATACCACACGAGCTTCAAAATTAATCGGACATTTTTCTCAAGGTTCCCTGCATACAAACGAAGTCGTCACGTTTTTCAAAAAAAATTTGACTCCGTTTGTTTGCAACGAAACTATCGGAAAATACCCGATAATTTTGGAGCTCTTGTGGTATTACAAGTGAATATTTTATTGGTGTACAATGATTCATTATTTCGCATTGATTCATTCATTTCACCGCAGTGATAGGCATAATCATAAACTATAGTTGACATTAATTTCATAAATCCTTAATCAAGTAATAGAACTCAACAATTTTTCAATTTTTAAGGGTGCCAAGTCAATTTGAAAAAAGATTCAAAAAAATTTTTTTCTTTCCCTTCATCATTGGAGAAATATGTATTCATCCATCCGACGAAATTTCAAACCCGCAACCGGAACTAGACATCGAGAAAAAAATGCGGAAAATCCTCTATTTCGCGTGAGGAACCCCGAGAAAGCATGGGATCAAGTGGGTACGGCNTGAACACATCATTCCCCATATCTTCAAATTTTTTCAAATTTTTCTTGAGTTCCTAGGGGGTTGAAACGTTCAATTTAATCAAAACTCCATAAGAGGCCGTGTATAAGACTTATTTTGTTTATTTAATTTCTCGATATTCATAAGTTCTAAAATTTTAAAATTGTCACCGATGTTCACCATCTGTCTAATACTATTAATTAAAAAAATTATAACTTTGTTGGTGAATGTCAATTTTCAAGGTCATCGCCAAATTCACTTGGCACTCTTAAATTAATCAAAAATTAAAGTTTCAAATTCCGAATTATTTTACCAATCAATCTCTAATGTCTCTAATGTTTTTTAGGAACATATTGATCTATCGATAACGTAGGAAATTCACAAAAATCACCGATGCCCCATTTAACTGCGTGTATAAGTAGCAACTTCAAAAATTATTGCCATGATTATTCTTTAAGTAAGGGTCTTGACATTTTGCACACGGCTTTCAAATGAATCGAATAATTTGTTCAGCAATTTTCATTGAATTCTCTACTTTTTTTCCAGCTATGGACCCCGCCATAATACCCTTAAAACTCTCTTTATATCGGAGAAAACGGAAATGTATCAAAATTGTAAAAATGATGCCTCGCAATGTTGTCCAGAATAATTTCCCAGTTTATCTAGTGAATATCTCTTTGGGAAAAACGTTCAAAGAAAAAAGTCAAATGATATTTCTCTTCTAACTAATATATGATGATCACTGATTAATTTCCGTTTTCGAAACCCCTGCGAACTCCGATATGTCTCAGGACTGGATGAATTCAATTGTTGAATATCTCTAAATGTTTCGCTCCACAGATAATGAGGAGAGAGAAGCCGAGAGCCCCACTGAGACCCCTAACCCAAGTGTTGAGAGGGGCTGGAGTCTGTGGGGGCTGGTTAGAGCTGGGTGGAATACTAGAGAAGTGGATACCACTGACGTTAATCCAATCCGTCCTGACGAAGGTAATTACCCTCATTATCTTCATAATCCATTGAAGATGATGAACGAACGAAGAATACTCTGTTTTCGTCACCTCATCCACCCCTTTTCTTCAGTAGTTCCGTCCAACATTCATTCTCACAATATCTGAACCTTCATTTTTCTCTTTTCAATATTTTAAATTACGGGGAGACTACCATGAGTTTTAATAATCACAGGCTATTGGCTCACGCCAAAACAAATAATTAGTGCAAAAAAATTAATTGTTTATTGAAAACATTCGAAAATTGCTCTGAGAAGACAATTTTTCATCCCAAAAACAATTGTTTTTCATGAAATTGTGAATTTATAGTCATAATCGTGAAATTTATTGACATTTCAAGGAAACTGTCGCTTGTTAAAAATAACCGAGAGATTTCTCCAAAATTTCAAGCAAGAATTTTCAACAACTCCTCAACTAATCAATGAAATAAATTCCAGAATTGGAGCAACGACTCGATTACGTCCTGCGGGCAGGTGCGATGGGTCGAAACTACTTATACACAGTGAGAGCACACACAGCCTACTGGAACAACTACGACGTCGCCTATTTCGTTCTAACCCGTCTGTTTCCCAACCTGGAGACGTGATGTTGGCTTGACTTATCAAGCACCGATGACAATCCCCCCGGATTGTAGTGCACAATTACCCCCTAGTCCGCGATATTTGGGCCTCATTTACTCCCCAAATAAACTCTGTAAGAGGAGACAACGGGCTTGTCACCAAATGAACTAGAACACAAACAAATTACTAACAATTTCAAAAACCAGACGATGAATAATTGATGAAAAAAACCATCTGTGATAACGGAAAAACGATACAATAAGCTGATTACTTCGTAAGCCTAATCAATCGATTGTCGCATAATTTTTGTATTTAAAAAAGTGTTGATGGCGTTAGTTTTTCAATTATAAAATTTATTGAACGTTGATGAGAGATGCACGAATCGTGTCAAATTGTTTTTATTCATTAGCGACCAAAATTGTACTTTATTCGAAAGACTGCCCCCCCTCCATTGATCGAACAATAATCGATTTGTTTATTCGCCTGGGGCATTTCATCGATCTAGAGATGATGAAGATGTCGAGTGGTGAAAATTCAGCACAAATTAATTATTTTGGAAATGTATCGAAAACTATTGGGGGATTGAAACCTTTTTTTTATGTGACTTCCCTACCCCTCAGTTGATTGTTTAATTATGTCGGTTTTGAGGGGTCCTAGAGGACATGTTCATGGATTAATCTTCAGTGCTTTGAGACTCGCCACTGATTTTTATCTACTTAGATTTATTTCAAGTATATTAGTCAATGAATCGTTAATAGTCTATCTGAAAGTGTCATACCGTCTCAAACTAGGAAAATATCAAGACAATTATTTTTATTCTTGAGTGCAGATCGTTGCATGAGAGCACCAGCGCATGTCTTGTTTTTCGTCATTATTTTTTCTGTTCTGAATTAACTAGTGGAATCCAGTCATTTACGCTAAGCCTAAGGAGGAGAAATGGATGGAGGAATTAGAGAGAATTTTTTAAATATATTAATATCTTTGTAGAGTCAATGTTACGAGAATCATGAAGTTTGAATGAACATGTTGTTATAGCACATTGAAGGAACAATAAAAGCAATCAATGAATTATCTAATCGAGAAAATTTATTTCCTCGTTATCCCCCTTTGAATTTTTCATGGCATAAGTTCATGAAAATCGTTTTGCAGACTATTTCCCAATTGTCTCAGAAATTACAAGGTTTAGAGAAAAATATTAGATCTGATTTGCGGATTAAGAAGTTCTCTACGAAAAGGGATTTTTGACATTTTTAATACCATTCAATATCACCACCTAGTGGCCACCACTAAATCGATAAATCCCCCATCCTCGTGGTCTCCAATTAATCACCCCTATTCTTCAACCATTTTCAAATCTCCCGCACGACCCCCAGCCGGCAAGTCACGTGGTCCCCGTCAAATCGAGCGGTCAGACGTCCCAGCGGTTCCAGAACACTCCCCCCAATCAGCCACAAAAATCCGCAATTAAAAACGAAAAAAAAAATAGAAGAGCATGAGAGTAAAATCGTCAATCCCTCCCCACACCCTGTCAACTCTTCTCTTCCCTCAATTTCTTAATCCCGATCTTAAATTGCATTAATCAACTCAACACACCTACCTTAACCTCAAAAGAGTGGTTCAGTGATCAGTGGTGACGATTCGCAGCAGTTCGTCGGACCAAAAATTATCAATTTTTCTCAGATAAAGTCGTCCGAGAAATTAATTCACCAACTGAAGATGATTTTACAACACTTCATCTGACGTTTGCCTTATTTATTTCATTATTAATTTATCTGTTGAGTGCGCATTAGGGGTAGGGGAATATGTCAGTGATTTAATACATATGTAACGGATTCCGAGTGACGAAGCAAGTCAAAGTTTAATGGTTATACATTAATTACTTATTATTGCCCGAGTTTCCGCACACACGTAAGACAACTCTTCATTTCGCTATTCACGTGCTCGAGTTATTCTTGATTTTGTTTTTTCTCATTCTCTGATTTTAATTTTTTTGGCCTCTGCTCCTTCTGCTCTAGGAAAATGAGCAATCTGCAGAACCCTCATGTGGTGGCTGTTGCCCTGGGGGCGGCAATCGGGGTAATTAGTGTTGCTAGTGTATTCATTTATCAGAAAGTCATGGAGCACAAGGAACGAAGGACAATGATGAATAATTTGGAGAGTGTTAACAGACGAGTCTCTGAATTGAAAGTGGAATTGGAAACTTTGAGGTAATTATTCTCTGAGGTAGTGGAGGTTGGGGTGAAATGGACACTTGATTTTTTTTTTAATGTTAATGACGGGTTGAAATGTTGATAAAATTTAATAATTTTTTTTTTCATTGCCAAGAGCATTTCTTTCCCTTTGTGAGGAGCCTGAACTGAGCTCAATTGATGAATTTGTTTCTGAGTTATGCTTAATTAAAACAAAAGTCCAAAGTGTCCATTTTACCCCGCTCTCCCCTAATTAATCTCATTCTGGTCGATGTTCCTGGGTTTTTGTCGGTGATGATGCATTCATTTGAGGTAATGATCCTACGCTCGTCTACATCAACTTAGCGAGACGATTTAAAAAAAATCGTCTAGTTAATCGTTTTTTCTATTTTGAAAAAATCAAAATAGAATTCGAATTTAGAGAGAAACCCATCGCATTTTTTGTAGACAACTTCGTGGTCTGCAAATCAGATTTTCTGATATTTTTCTCTAAACCTGGTAGTTTCTGAGATAATTAGGAAATTAGTAGCGAAGTGGTAAAACGGTTTAAGTCGATTTTGACTATTGGCCAGTTTTTAGTGAATACCTCGGAATCTAAGGGAGATAGCTAAATTTGGATTAGGACTTTTTTTGTAGCACTCAATTAGCTCTAGAAAAAAGGTCATCACGAAAATTTCATTATCTCCTTTAGATTCGGAGATACTCTTCAAAAACTCAACAAAGAGATAAGTCGACTTGAACAGTTTCACCACTTCGCTACTGAAATAGTCCCATAGTTTCCCCACAATGTTCGACTTTTTATTCCATTATTGCAATCGCTGAATTTTATATTCCACTAGTCTCTTCTTTAAACGTCAAACAAACAAAAATGTCACCTCATCTTCTTTGATCTCCACCCGGAATAAACAATTTCGTGATTTCAGAACTCAGCAGAATCAAGTTAGAGGGAAAAAATCGAAAAATCTAGCTCGCAAACGAGTGGCATCCTCAACGAGTTTATACTCAGCAGCAGGAACCGAAAATGAATTTGATGCTGTTTCCGTCACTGACACCGATATTGACGATGAATTTTACGACTGCTCAGACGACGAACTCACTAATGTAGACTTCGAACTCAACGGGTTGGTATTTCCGTTCCATTCGTTTTTCATCAATGCAGCATTGAACTACTGAACGCAGACAAGCGAAATAAAGATTTCCCAAATAGAAATGTTCGAATAGAGAAAAATGACATTTTAAAAAATGGCAAAAAACATTTTCTGCAGAGAATTTAATTTTTTTCTCCAATTTCACAGAATTTTATGCCTTAGAGAAAATGTCTTCTGAATTTTCTCTCTGAATCCATCAATTTCCAAGAGATTTTCACAAGACGAAAGTATTTTTTTGCTTTTTTGTAAAGTATCGATATTTATTTGCAGCTAATCAATTCATTCCATTTTTTAATTTTCATTCTTCATTATTATTTTGACTCTCGCTCACACCATGAAGAACAAGTGAATATATTTGTAGTGATGCAGGTCAGCTGGAGTAATGATGGAACTAACGAGACAACTCGATAGTCTAGACCAGAAGACCGAGGAGAACTTTACGGGGAGGTCCTCTGCGATTTGAGGGCACTGGCCATTTTCCATAAGAATAATGTTGATGTTACCTGGGGGCTGGCCAGGGCTTCCTTCAAAAATGCTTCTGCTTTGAGTGATACCTCTGAGCAGGATGCATTGGTGCTAGAAGGTAATTTCATTCATCAGGAAATAATGAGGGGAATGTATTTAAAGTAAATGTACATATGCTCGTCCAAATGTCGTGAGCTATCATATTTTAATCATTTTGACAGGCCCAAGAATCTATTAAGAGTGAAATGCAATTGGAGTTATTATTTTAGTTAATAAGGAAAGTTTTCGACGCCAATAAACTGTGATTAATAAGAGAGAAAAAGGCCATTCACATCAACTCGTGCTGCCACAGAGTGAATTCTTAAGTCCGCAAGTTAGAAAACTTACAATTTAAAAATGTTGACGTGTCCGTCACAATAGTAAAATGGGATTAAGCATGCTGTAATGTCCAGAATTTTTATGATGGGAAAAATTGAAAAAAGTATATGTAGATAAAATGTAAATTATTAAACCAAATAATAGAGAGAACGTTTCATCATTTGAACTTAATAAAAATTTTAAAAACAATGGGATTGAGAACATCAATGATGAAATGCTTCACTCAGCCTGTCCCCGGTTCTTAATACCAAAATTCACACATGGAGGAATGGTTGAGAAACGATGAATCGAAAACCCCAAAACCGAGTGAACTACTTTCCCAGTGACGATTAAAAAGTGGGAAAAGTCATACATTTTCCACCAATTAAAAATCGACTCGTTAGAGCCTCCACGAGTCGAGTGGCTTTCCAAAACCTAGAAAACCTCAACAGCAGTAACAATTCTGGTGGAAATAGTTCACTCAATCGATCCAGTTTTTCAACCCTTCCTCCGATAATAATTCGCAGAGTCGAAATTACGCTGGATAGTTTCCGAATTAGTAGGCTACGAGCAATTGAAATTATCCGGGAATCAAATTTCTTTAACCGAGGGCGGTGACTTTTCTTACATTAAGGGATTCGATTATTGTGAAATGTTGTGGAGAGTCTCAAACAAACTTGAAACTTCATTTTCCCAAAATTCGTCAAAAACATTAATAAACCCCAACGAGTGGAAGAAAGTGTTTTCGGGATAGTATATACAATAGCGTTTAGTGAATCTAACTGCTGGCGAGGAAATTACGGATTCACCCAAGGATCTACAGCCAAACGAAAATATTTTCGACAGTTCAACAGATTGAACTGGGAGTAATATACCTTTGTAATAAAAAACTCGATCCTTCAGATCATTCCAGGGGTAGAAATGTCGTATTAATTCTGTTTTGTAAATCAAATACTTGTTTTTGTAAACCTACCAATTCCGAATTTTACAATTAAAATCAATATTATATTCAATTCAACTCTAAATTTCTTGGTTTTCGAAATATTCCCTAATTGAATCCCACCCCTAATATAAAATCCCTTTCCAATTGATATTTTGTAATTGGAAAGCCAGTTGTCATTTTTAATAAGGTAAGAGTATGAACCCAGCGTCGTCCAGTGAATTCAAAATTTAATAATTTTGTAATTATTAATAATGGAAAAGTAAATTCCATGAAAGAAGAAAATTTTTGGGGAAGAAAAATATTCATCCCTTTCCCCACGAACACCCTCACCGTCATCAAAACCATTTTACCCCTCCGTTTTTCCAACACTGGCCTTCTCATCTCCCATCTCAATCCTTTTCGTCCCCCTTTTCCGCCAAACGAACATCTGATATCATTGGGATGTTGGTCGTTGATAATTAGAATTTATATTCGATCAACACCTGAGGGAGTGAGATCCCATTCTAAAAAGAACATAAACTTAAAGATATTTTCAGTTTTTAAATTTTTCCACTAAATTGCATGGAAAAAAATTGAAAAAATTCATCCCCAGTCAGTATTATCTAAATTAAATTTCACAAAATATTGATATTTTTTCAAACATTTTCCTCTTATAAATAAATAGTAAAACTTGTTTGGAAAACGGTAGATTCTTTTTTATGAGGTGTCAAAAAAATTCTTGATTTTTTCGCATCTAATGAAAAACAATTCAGATTTTAATCTTTAATTACAATGGAAATGTTGATTTTCACATAAGACACTGGGTGAAATCCTGATTTTTAAACATTTCTTTGAAAAACCAAAACGATAATTAAACTGAGAAAAAAATTAGAATTCTGAATCTAATCGAGTTTTCTGCAATTTTTTTGCAGTTTTCAATAATCTTTGAATTTATCTAGAGCAGATATGTAATTTTCTTAAAGAATGTGATTTAAAAGTGTAGAATTATTTTTAAAAAAAATGTTATGCTGAAAGGACGAAAAATTAGAATGCTATAAAATATGCCAAACCAATAACTGTTATAGGCGAGGGTCTACACCCAATATTGTTGTAATAAGCGGCAGTGTAAATAATTCAATTCAGAGTTGAACACTTTAAACAATAAAAAAAATCTTTGAATTTACCGTAAGGGTAGAACTACTAAAGTCGATAACTATCGATATCTCGTAAGTCTGTCACGCTCAGTCCTCATTGGTTCCAGTCGTCTGCGGCGGCAAATTTAATTCATGATTAATTTAATTTTGAGATTTTCAATTATGATTGTTACAGATATCATCTTTAGAGACATTTGTCATCTTTAAAGACTTATACACGCCATTTTTCAAGCCGCTCTTTCATTTGAGCCAAAAAAAACATTCATATCTTGTCTGACATCTCTGTTACAAACTCTGGTCATCAACTCTGGTTTTCAGTTGAAATTGGAATTGTTAATTTACACAATAAAATGATTACATTTACGTTTTTTTCGTAACTCGCAAAAATCTTCAAACGATTTGTTATCGATTGGTGATAAAATTTTTTGGAAATAATGAAATAGAGGGGATAACGCCTTTTTTTTCAGAGGTGATTTTTCAAAAATTTATTTTAAAAAAAGTACTAATTAGCAAATGTTTTTTATTAGCTCGCAATATTCTTCAAAACTACTTCAATGCGGAAAAAAATAAAAATTTGTAATATCTATACATGAGGGGCTAATTGATCGGATCTGGCTTTTGCCTCCGAGTTGATGGTGGCGACATCTGCCAGATTTCAGTGGAGCTAAAATTTCCCGAAATTCACAGGTAATCACCTCAGTCACGGGGATACCTATTACGTGCCAAAAAACGCATAACAAAATCCAATATTGGTATCAAACGAAAAAGCAGAATATCCGATAGATCGGTAATTATGTTTCAATTGTGTGTTGGTTTCGTACGAATTATAATTAGTATTTGTTCTAGGGGCAGAATTCTGCTGCCATATTGTGTTGTGAACTTGAAAAATTGGTGAATTTCGGGGTGCATTATATCCTCATAATTCCATGCTAATTATCATTATTCGCCCTCAAGAACTAATTACCGACATGTGACAGGTTGTGACCTTTCATTTGGCCCCTAGATCAGAATTTTACATCCATTTTTCCGCCCGCAATTAGTATCCCCGTAAATGGCTATAATGTACGTGGATTCTGGGCAATCTAGAGATGAAAATAAAAAAAAATTCGCGCAGGCCGGGCCTTGAAGTCTCAAAAGATATCTCCAAAATGAAGAAAAAAAATGTGAATTTTCACTCAGCAGATGTCGAGTTATTGGCGATCGAGTTTTCGATCGATTTGAACTGTTTTCTTTCTCGTTACTGTTTTGAGTTTTGCTTTTGTTGAATTATTTTAGAGTGGAAGGAAGTTGTAAAATTTTTATAAATACATTTTTTGTGGAGAATTATGAGGGCTATAAAAAAGGTTCTTATGAGGATTTCGATATCTCCACTGGATTTGAAAGTATTCGTTAAAAACTGGAGCTGCAGTGGAGTTATCTCGTTTTATGGTGATCACTGTATTTGTATTTCATAAACAGATTGTGTTTTTTATCAGAAGATTTCACAACTTGTGGGAGACACTGAACGATACAGCGTTGATGACGAGAATGTGACGTTAATTAATTGTTGGAACTAGAGGAATTCAGAGGTCTTGAGTGTTTGATGAGAGTTGAAGCACTTGATCAAGGTTTTTAATTGTTCGAGGGACTTTTTGGGGAAGATGACGGCGAAAGGGCGAGTGATCACTGGGAATGACACCCTTGATGGCAAGATTAACGAGTATTTCGAGTGGTACAAGGTAAATTTATCATAAAATTCGATGATCAGATTTTAACGTCCAGTTTTTTTTCTTTGATTTGTTTTTATCTGGAAATGTGGATTTCACTGGATTTTTCTGGACTTTTTTTCTCAGGATCTGAAGCCAGAGGATGAGATTCATGAGATTGTGAAGTCAAAGGACGTGGGGGTGCTGTCAGAACTGTTTTTGAAGAGACTGCAATTCGGCACAGCTGGTCTGCGAGGCCGGATGGGCCCTGGCTACAGTCGGATGAACGATCTGGTGATCATTCAGACTGGCCAGGGACTACTTCAGTACTTGATTAATGGTGGGGAGGGCTTCAAGGAGAAGGGAATTGTCATTGGGTATGATGGGAGGCACAATAGCTACAGGTTAGTCGATTGAATTTCTGAAATTTTTAATGCAGCAAGTGCTAAAATAAATTATAAATTGTAATATTTGTACAGAAATCTCTTGCATATAGTATTGAACAGTTTAAGAATGAGATATCCTTGTGGGAAAGTCCCGCCAATGAAATTAGTTTTAAAAAAATTCAATTTCGTAACTTTTTAATGCAGCAAATATTAAATTCCACTGGCCTAGGATTGATCAAGCCCATTTGAATGCAACCCAACTGAGAATAATCACTAAAGTCAACACTAATTGTCAATCATTGACATTGTTAAATATCACTGATAATTCTGTATAGGGGAGGCTGGGGTAAAACGGACACTTTAGACTTTTTTAAAATTATTCATAACCCAGAAACAAATTGATCAATTGAGCTGAGTTCAGGCTCGTCACAAAGTGAAAGAATTGTTCTTTGTATTGCAAAGAAAAATTATTAAATTTTATCAACATTTCAACTCCTCATTAACATTTTTTAAAAAGTCAAATGTGTCCGTTTTACCCAACCTCCCCTATAAACGTTTTTTCAAGTCACACATTTCATCCGATTTCAATGCACTTGGGCTCAATTTGTTCGTTGGGACATTTTCTATCAAGTTCGGACGATTTATTTTGATAAATACATTGATGAATAATTATGCCAATTTTTTCAAAAGTTGATTGGTTTTGTCATGTGAAAATACAACTGTGAAAATAAAACTACAAAAAATCAATGGAGAATGTTCCAACGAACATCATCAGCCCAATCGGGACTAGACAGAATTTTTAGTAATATTTTGAAATCTTAATGAATGACTCTCGATATTTATTAAATCGATGAATTTCAGTTGTGGTACATTTAACAGAACTTTATAAATCACAGTCAAGTGGCATTTGTATCGATACAAATATCTCCAGATGTAATATTCGAACAGATATCTCATTCTTGGACTCTTCATCATCATCATAAACTTGAAATTCCCAGATTATAAACATCTTTTTGTAGTAATGAAGCATCCAAGAATAAGATATCCTTGTGGGACAGTCCCTCTAATGAAATTAGTTTTAAAAAAATTCAATTTCGTAATTTTTTAATGCAACAAATATTAAATTCTACTGGCCTAGGATTGATCAAGTCCATTTGAATGCAACCCAACTGAAAATAATCGCTAAAGTCAACACTAATTATCAATCATTGACATTGTTAAATATCACTGATTCGGACCATTTATTTTGATAAATACACTGATGAATAATTATGACTATTTGTTCAAAAGTTGATTGGTTTTGTCATGTGAAAATACAACTGTGAAAATAAAACTACAAAAATCAATGGAGAATATTCCAACGAACATTCTCCATAATCAGCCCAATCGGGACTAGACAGAATTTTTAGTAATATTTTGACATCTTAATGAATGACTCTCGATATTTATTAAATCGATGAATTTCCAGATGTAATAGTCATCCAGATATCTCATTCCTGGGCTCTCCATCATCACCATAAACTTGGCATTTCCAGATTTCCCTTCTGAATTTCAGATTTGCTCAGTTGACAGCCACAATATTCATCAACAGTGGCGTCAAAGTCTACATGTACTCAAAAGTCTGTCCAACTCCATTCGTCCCCTTCGCAGTGATGAGGTACAAATGCGCTGCTGGGATCATGATAACAGCCTCCCACAACCCCAAAGAGGACAACGGGTACAAAGTCTACTGGGAGAACGGTGCCCAGATCATCCCCCCACACGACAAAGAGATACAGAAGTCAATTTTAGATAATCTCGAGCCCTCCCTCACCTCCTGGGACGTCTCTGTCCTCAATGCAGCTGGCTCCCTCTGCAAGGATCCCCTCGGGGAGGTCATGGAGGACTACTTCAGAATCATCAAGGACAATACTGTTTATCCAGAGACCAATAGAAGCACAATCTTGAAATTTACTTATACTGCTATGCATGGGGTGGGATTTGAGTACATGAAGGAAGCATTTCGCGTTGCTAATTTCAAGGTAATTTATTATTTCATTAAAAACACATTATTAACACTAGAGACAATTAATTAATTAATTAATTAATTAATTATTGTCTGATCGTTTTAATACTTCAATAATTCAATAATTGATAAATAAATTAATCAATTTATTTATTTATTTATTTTACTTAATTAATTAATCAATCAATTATTGAAGTATGGAGACCGATCAATTAATTGATTAATCAAAGGACTTAATCATTATCAGCCCTCAAGACAGTTAAATAATTAGGTGAATTAATTAATTGATCAATTGATTCCCTAAAATAGTCAAATAAAATAATTAAAAGCAACGAATGAAAAACTGCATTCCCGAAAATTAAAAATAATAATTAATCAATCATTTCAATTAACTTCCAGCCATTTGTAGTTGTCGAACAGCAGAGAGACCCAGACCCGGACTTTCCCACAGTGAAATTTCCGAATCCAGAGGAAGGGAAAAGTGCTCTTGACCTCAGCATCAAGACAGCTGACGCCAGCAAATCGTCAATTATCCTGGCTAACGATCCTGATGCTGACAGACTGGGCTGTGCAGTCAGGACTAAAGAAGGCGACTGGAGGATTCTCAATGGAAATGAGATCGGGGCCCTGCTGGCTTGGTGGATGCTGCACGTACATCGAGTCATTCATCCTGATGCTGATCCTGCTGATGCCTATATGCTTGCTTCCACAGTCTCCAGTAAGATTCTGGCCTCCATGGCGAAAAGGGAGGGATTCCAGTTTGAGGTACAGACAAAATTTCGGGTTAAAATTGTCTGTTAAAATTCGTTTTTTAAATATTATTTCAATTTTAATACTTAAATAATCAAATAAAACAATAAAACAACGAAAGGAAACAAAATGAAAAAATGAAACAGTAAAAACAGAAATTTCACTTGAAATTTTCGTATTTCAAGAATTTTTTTTATTTAAAAAAATGAAAAAATGCCGTTGCTTTAGTGAAATACTCAGACATTTTTAATCTTGATTTAACAGCAACTATCATCAAATCTTTTTTTACTCAGGAAACATTAACTGGATTCAAATGGATGGGAAACAGATGTGTCAAATTGTTGGAAGAAAAGAAACACATTCTTTTTGCTTATGAAGAAGCCATCGGTTTCATGTGTGGGTCGAGTGTCCTCGATAAGGATGGAATAAGTGCGGGGATTAGGCTCGCCGAGATGGCGGCGTACTTAGAGACTATGGGCCTGACTCTTCTAGATAAACTCGAGGACATCTACAAAGTGTAAGATTTTTCTTTATTCATAAATTTATGAAATTCAGTATTTCAAATTTTGGTAAAGGTCTCTCAATCCAATTAAGGCACTAAAATTCTTATCAATTCCTCTTATGCATCTTCCAATTTGCCTCCTAAAAAAATTTCTCTTGAATAAAAAAAAATCTCCCTTTAATTCTGCGATTTTTCTCAAAAATTGATTCAGAAAGAAAATTAAATTCGAAGAGATTGAATAAAACTACCCGGTTTTGATCCAAAATATCTCGAGATTGGCAGAGTGAAATTGAAAAAGCCAGGGCTCATTCGAGAGATATTCTCACAAGCTTCAAAATGAGCCCTGATTTATTCAAATCGCTCCATCAGGTCACAAGGTATGAAAGAACCACGATTTTCTATTTTCCTTTTTCCCGTTTTTTTATTTGCCCTTCACTTTTTATCAATTCTTTGAATGCATTTGTTGAAAAAAATTCTTCACTCCACAACTTTCCTCAACAGTTACGGCCACCACATCAGCGACAACTCCTACTGGATCTGTCACAACCAAGAGACAATAAAGAAAATTTTCGAGAGATTGAGAAATTTCGCTGGTCAGCCAAATACAGTAAGTTTGAGTCATCGTTTGCTCATTAATGCATTTAGACGCATGTGTGTTTGTTTTTTGCAACGAGCGAGTTAATTATCGCATGGCACGAGGTCGACTGGTGTCTAGTGGAGCATGAGCTGGCATTAAAAGTTGGAAAAAGGAGAGGATAGCAACAAACTAAAGACGATAGAGTTGTAACTGTGATGTCATTTCCCAATAGTTAATAAATTATTCTGTGATTTTAGTCTGGACAAACATTGAATCGAATTTCAATGGGCTGTTATCAGTCGACTGCATGGAACAAACAAATTAAGGCATAAGTAATAATTACGTGACTGTGGTGGAATAGTCGGGTGTTATCTCTCTATCGAGGAACAGACGTAGTTGTGACGTTTAGTCCGAGGTTTCTAGAGTTGTTGAGCAGTTTTCAATCTACTCTGGGAGAAATATCGAGTCATGCTCGTTGGGGGTTTCAGTGGTCTTTAGGGTTTTGGAGTTTTGTTTATGATGCATGCCATGTCGGTGGGCAAAAGGAGAAAGGAGGAGGTCAGTTGGATGACGAGGGTTGCGATGAATGTGGTTTTAACGTCAGTGGCACTTGTTCCCACTCTGTTGTTTGGAATTCTGGCGGTGCCCATTGTGCAGTCCATGTACTCGTTATCACCGTTCTTCACGTAGATCTCAGGAGGAATTTTGTAAGGTTTCAGATGGTTTGTGGACACTTCATCTGGAGATATTTGTATTGATATAAATGCCACTTGACTGTGATTCATAAAGTTCTGTTGAATGTACCACAACTGAAATTCATCGATTTAATAAATATCGAGAGTCATTCATTAAGAAGTCAAAATATTACTAAAAATTATGTCTAGTCCCAATTGGGCTGATTATGTTTGTTGGAACGTTCTCCATTGATTTTTTGTAGTTTTATTTTCACAGTTGTATTTTCACATGACGAAACCAATCAAACTTTGAACAAATAGTCATAATTATTCATCAGTGTATTTATCAAAATAAATCGTCCGAACTTGATAGAAAATGTCTCAACGAACAAATTGAGCCCAAGTGCATTGCAATCGGATGAAATGTGTGACTTGGAAAAACGTTTATATACAGAATTATGAGTGATATTTAACAATGTCAATGATTGACAATTAGTGTTGATTTTAGCGATTATTTTCAGTTGGGTTGCATTCAAATGGACTTGGTCAATCCTAGGCCAGTGGAATTTAATATTTGTTGCATTAAAAAATTACGAAATTGAATTTTTTAAAAACTAATTTCATTAGAGGGACTGTTCCACAAGGATATCTTATTCTTGGATGCTTCATTACTACAAAAAGATGTTTATAATCTGGGAATTTCAAGTTTATGATGATGATGAAGAGTCCAAGAATGAGATATCTGTTCGAATATTACATCTGGAGATATTTGTATCGATACAAATGCCACTTGACTGTGATTCATAAAGTTCTGTTGAATGTACCACAACTGAAATTCATCGATTTAGTAAATATCGAGAGTCATTCATTAAGAAGTCAAAATATTACTAAAAATTATGTCTAGTCCCAATTGGGCTGATTATGTTCGTTGGTACGTTCTCCATTGATTTTTTGTAGTTTTATTTTCACAGTTGTATTTTCACATGACGAAACCAATCAACTTTGAACAAATAGTCATAATTATTCATCAGTGTATTTATCAAAATAGATCGTCCGAACTTGATAGAAAATGTCTCAACGAACAAATTGAGCCCAAGTGCATTGAAATCGATCGAAATCTGTGACTTGAAAAAACGTTTATAGATAGAATTATCAGTGATATTTAACAACGTCAATGATTGACAATTAGTGTTGATTTTAGCGATTATTTTCAATTGTGTTGCATTCAAATGGACTTGATCAATCGTAGTCAAGAGGAATTTGACATTTGTTGCATTCAAAAGTTGCAAAATTACCAAATTTGGCACGAAAAATGCAAAATTTCACTTGACAGTGATTTCGAACACCTCAAATAAGCAAATAAAAAAATTTTAGTCCAAAAAATGAGACAAAATTCCTATAAATAAATTTGGCCTGAAAAAATTGAATTTTCCCAACCCAGTTCTCATTAAAAAAAAACGGTTTACCTTGGGCATGACCCCTAATTACTCCTGTTACTATATTCCAGTACCCAACAAGCATCGCCGGTGGAAAATATTCGATAATTGCCGTTCGCGATTTGACGACTGGCTATGATAGCACAAAACCCGACAACAAGGCTGTATTACCCTCTTCAAAGTCCAGTCAAATGATAACATTTACCTTTGATAACGGGCTCGTCAGTACCCTGAGAACCAGTGGAACAGAACCAAAAATTAAATACTATACTGAACTGTGTGCTTCCCCCGAACATCAGTAAGTTTTTAGCATTAAAAACACAAAAAATCCTCAACAAAAAATCCTTTCTACTTAATGATCGTCATTTAATTGGCAAACTGATCACGCAAAATAACAGAAATTCATTGATAAATAACATTTTTTTTATTTTCTTCAACAGGAACATCGATACCCTAAAGAACACTCTCGCCGAGATGGTCTCAGCAATAGTCGAAGAATTCCTGATGCCTAAAGCAAATTCATTGATCCCACGTTCACCATAAATTCTTATACACATATTCCCCTGATTTTTTCATACAAAAATTAGTTCCTTATCGAGGCATTCATAATCAACGACGAGAGACAATATCCGTAAAGGAGTAAAACCTAATAAAAAAGCTCAATATGTTACACTAATTACATTCAAAAGACATCAGTTCTTCCTCATCCAAAATAGTATTTTTTAAAGTTTCAATATTTTATCATCAAACAATACAATTTTAAATAAATGAAGAAACTAAATAATTAAAAAAACCTAGATTTCACTTTTGAGAACGAAAAAATACCTTGAAGATCACGAAATTTTGTTTTACTAATACGAAGACCACTTTGCCCCACCTCTCCATTCCCAACAACCCTAATTGTCTTCATAACCCTTTTGTTTTTGAATCTTCAATATTCAATTCAATTCATCAAACAAAGAATTTCCTTTTTTTGTCCAGTTTTCATTTATATAATGGGAAGCAATTTTTTCTAATTATTTCCTTAAGACGCAATGGAACTTACCATCGGAATAGAAATTGGATTCCAAGTTATTTCGTTGTCAGAGGACCATTCAACAAAACCCAAATTCTTACATTATAGATACCAAGATTATTGATAATGTAAGAATTTCGGTTTTGCTAAATAGTCCTCTGACAACGAAAAAACTTGGAATCTAATTTCTACTCTGATGGTAAGTTCCATTGCCCCTTAAGACGGAATCCCTTTGTCAATATCAAATCTTAGAATTGTGTTTTCTCCTACAATTATTAATTTTTATCTATGAAATTACTTTATCGACTCGATTATCGCATTGTTGAGTCAATGAAGTAGTTTAATGAATAAAAAATAAGAATTGCGCGAGAAAACACAATTCTAAAGATTCATAAAAACGCAGGGGTTCCGTTTCCCCTTAATCCTCGTTAATTGAAAATGAATTATTTCCACATTGATTTTGTGATTGAACATTGATTTTTTTCCACAAAAAAAAACCCAGAGGCTTGAAAGCAAGTTCCTCCCATATTTTAATCATTCCCAGCCTTGTTCTTCCCCAAATTGAATTGAAATCGTGAAATTCCTCCAAAACGATTGAAAAAAGCTCCCCCCTGAAGATCTAAAAAAACCTTGAAGACCACCAAACCCTCTCCCCTCAGCAGCCGTCACTTCCCCCCAGTCTTCGTATTTTTCCCGTTCCTAATCCTCTTATTCCTCCTCTGCATCTGCACTTGGAAGGTGATGCACTCGTCATCGAGGAAGTCCATGACGTCATTGACCTTTCCAGAGAACCCCTCAGCCTTCAGTCTCTCGCACAAGGACTCCAGGGGGAGGGGTTCGTACGCCAAGACCTTGCCATAGAGTCCCCCATCGTTTTTCAAGAGCTGGTGGAAGGCCTCTTGGACACTGACGGCGCCCTCAGGGCGATCAGACCCCTCCACCTCCTGGAACTCCATCTCTTCAGCGACGATTTTTCCCTTCGGTGACTTCTTGGGGTTCAGGTGGCGCCTCTTGGCGACGGGCTCTTCGTTCTCGCTGTCGGTGAGGGCCGTCTCCTGGGGGAGGGACTCCAGGGGGACGAGGGGGTGCAGCTCGTTGTAGATGTGCTCCAGGAGTTGAATTGCCCTGGGCCTCTTCTGGGGCTTGAGACCGAATTTGCTGAGCTCCTCGTGGAGGTCTGGGGAGGCCATCCTGGGGTAGTCCAGGGGGGGAGTTATGGTGTAGGAAATCTGGAGGGATGAGGGGGCTCGAGCCCTCTTGAGGGGGTTCTCAGGGGGCGAGGGCAGACGGTTGAGGTGCTGGGAGGTGTCTCTCAGGGGGGTTTTCGGGGGGGTTTGCTGGTGGGGCGGGGTTGGGGGGTCGAGACTGCGGGCGTCGGGGGAGTCGTTCCAGTTTTCGTCTGGAGGAGGGTCCGAGAGGGCTGGGGATGATCTCTGCGAGTTCCATCCGGCGACTGGTATCTGGGGGTGGGAAACAAAGATGTCTGGTGATATAATAGATGTTTGGGGGAGTAATAGTCAGTTATATTTGATGGAGTTCTTCAGATTATGGAGACTCGCAGCAATGAAGAGACGAAAATAAGGTTTCCTTAAGGGATTAGTTTAGGAATAATTCAATTTTTGGGATTTTTTAATGGTGCTAATGGCAAACTTCAGTTGACTAGGATTGATCGAGTCCATTTGAATCCAATCCAACTGAAAATAATTGATGGTAGACCTGTGAAGTCACAGATTTCGACCGATTTCAATGCACTTGGGCTCAATTTGTTCGTTCGAACATTTTCTATCCAGTTCAGATGATTTATTTTGATGAATACACTGATGAATAATTATGACTATTTGTTCAAAAGTTGATTGGTTTCGTCGTGTGAAAATACAACTGTGAAAATAAAACTACAAAAAATCAATGGAGAATATTCCAACGAACATTATCAGCCCAATTACATTGAAATCGAGTGAAAACTGTCACTTGGAAGGTCTAGACAGAATTTTTAGTAGGTTTTGACAAAAATGAGGCTTCCTTGTGGAATTAGTTTTCGAAAAATTCAATTTTTGGGATTTTTTAATGCAACTAATGGCAAACTCTACTTGACTGGGATTGATCAAGCCCATTTGAATCCAATCCAACTGAAAATAATTGATAAAATCACTACTAATTGTCAATCGTTGACATTGTTAACTATCACTGATAATTCTGTCTATAAATGTTTTTTCAAGTCACAGATTTCGACCGATTTCAATGCACTTGGGCTCAATTTGTTCGTTGGAACATTTTCTATCAAGTTCAGATGATTTATTTTGATGAATACACTGATGAATAATTATGACAATTTGTTCAAAAGTTGATTGGTTTCGTCGTGTGAAAATACAACTGTGAAAATAAAACTACAAAAAATCAATGGAGAATGTTCAACGAACATAATCAGCCCAATTGGGACTAGACAGAATTTCCAGTAATATTTTGACATCTCAATGAATGATTCTTGATATTTATTAAATCGATGGATTTCACTTGTGGTACATTCAACAGAACATTATGAATCACAGTCAAGTGGAATTCGTATCGATACAAATATCTACAGATGTAACATTCGTACAGATCCCTCATTCTTCTTCTCTTCATCATCACCATAAACTAGAATGTTCCCAAATTATAAAAATCCGGAACATAAAATTACCTTTGAAAACCCCCAATTTTTGAATTTTTTTAACGCAACAGATATCACGAAAAAAAATACCTGCGAAAAATTCTCCATCACCTTGGCAACCTCCTCATCCGACGAAGACAGCACAATCGGACTGGGCGGAGGTTCCTCTCCCAGAGGCCCTCCAAAATCGTCTCCTTCCGCTGAATTCCCCAGGAGCTCCTCCTCATCCTCATCATCACTCAAATTATGAGCTGATTTGAACGAAGCCCTCTCCCTCCCTCCCAAAGCCCCCCCGAGGCCCGCCCCCCGCTCTCCCTCCCTCCCCTCGCCCCCACCATCACCAGGATCGATCCCCTGAGTGAAAACACAGTCAGAACTCCTCGAGTTCTCCCCCTCCCAGGTATCGAACTCCAAATCTCCCGAGAAATTCGCCCCTTCAGGGTCATTATCCTCGAAATCCCGAGCACCTCGACAACTCCTGAACTGAGAGCACTCATCCCTGGTGATTTCCCCCCTGTTTTCATCCTGAAAGCTCACCCCAGGAGAATTCCCCCTGCTGTTTCCTCTCCAGTCGTCCGGTCCTGGAGTGTTCGCAGCCATCAGAGCCTTTCTGTACTCCTCAATACTGTTTTGCCTCCCCAGCTTCTTGTACCTGCTGTACCTGGACTCCTCAAGCGCTTCATTCTCCGAAATTCCAGTCGAGTCCACGCAATCATCATCATCCCTATCTCCTCTCCCCTCTTCTCCAGCCCCTCGATCCTGAATCCTCCCAACATCATCAACTGGACGAGCTCGAATGTCACTCTCCAACATGCTCAGGGGTCCCACCCTGTCCCCAGGCGATCCCCCAGTCTCACTCGACTTCCTCTTCCCCCAGGGATCTGAATCATCGATCTGGTGAGCCCTGACTCTGAAAGGATTTCTTCTGGAATTCTTCGGGATCTTCACTGGAGTCTCTACATCGGTATCAGACTCCAGGATGCCTCTGGCCTGCGGCCCCTGGGGCTTATCGAGGAACACTCTGCTGTACCTGGACTCCTCCAGCCCTTCATTCTCCGAAATTCCAGTCGAGTCCACGCAATCATCATCATCCCTATCTTCTCTCCCCTCTTCTCCAGCCCCTCGATCATGAATCCTCCCAACATCATCAACTGGACGAGCTCGAATGTCACTCTCCAACATGCTCAGGGGTCCCACCCTGTCCCCAGGCGATCCCCCAGTCTCACTCGACTTCCTCTTCCCCCAGGGATCTGAATCATCGATCTGGTGAGCCCTGACTCTGAAAGGATTTCTTCTGGAATTCTTCGGGATCTTCACTGGAGTCTCTACATCGGTATCAGACTCCAGGATGCCTCTGGCCTGTTGCCTCTGGATCTTATCGATGAACACACTGAGATCACTCTTTTGTTTGGGCTCTGGATTTTTATTTGATGGAGAAGTTGATTCCGAAACGTTAGAGACCATTGGACAACTGGGAGATTTCAGGGAATTCTCGCAGACATCATCGAACAGCTCGGAGTCGTCAAACATGTCAGGGGACGTTGTATTCAGTCGACTGTTGAATGATCTTTCAGTTTTTTCGATTATTTTTTCCTCGTTTGGGTGAGTTTCTTCGGCTATTGATCCATCCAGTGAAGAATCAATTTCAATTGCAGTTGGTAATGATTTTTCTGAAGTTTCCGTGATATTTGGTGCTGTTTTCTTCGAGTTTCTGGTGATTTTTTCGGAACTCGAGAAATTGTCTTCAGGAATTGATTTACTAAACGATGATTTTTGAGAAAATGATCTTGATGGGGATTTTTCAACATTTTCGAAGGCACTTGATCCTGCTCCAGTCGTCTGAGAATTCTCTAATCTCTTGTGAATGTTTCTATTATTTAAATCATCATCTTCATCACTGGATTCATCAAACGTTGATTTTTGCTCAGGAACTGGAGATGGTGATAACGAATTCCTCCGAGGATTTTCGGAGGAATTCGTTCTTCCAGCCATCATACGTTTCCCCAAATTCTCCTGAATTTCTTCTTCATTCGGATGATTTTCTTCGGCTATTGATCCATCGAGTGAAGAATCAATTTCAATTACAGTTGGTAATGATTTTTCAGAAGTTTCCGTGATATTTGGTGCTGTTTTCTTTGCGTTTCTGGTAATCTTTTCGGAAATTGAGAAATTGTCTTCAGGAATTAATTTACTAAACGATGATTTTTGAGAAAATGATCTTGATGGGGATTTTTTAACATTTTCGAAGGCACTTGATCCTGCTCCAGTCGTCTGAGAATTCTCTAATCTCTTGTCAATGTTCCTACTATTTAAATCATCATCTTCATCACTGGATTCATCAAACGATAATTTCTGTTCAGGAACTGGAGATGATGATAAACTCCGAGGATTTTCGGAGGAATTTGTTCTTCCAGTTATCAGACGTTTCACTGAATTCTCCTTCATTTCTTCTTCAATCATATAATCATCTTCACCAATGACTCCATGAAATGAAGATTTCTGTTCAGAAAATGTTCCTGATAACTTCTTCTTTAAATCTCCGGAGACATCTGATGCAATTCCATTCATTTTGCACTCAACGTTCCTCTCTTTTTTCAAATTCCCCACAAATTTTAATAACCCCGCTATTTTGTATTTTTTCCCTAAGAAGATCAACTGCTCCAAGATATTCCGTGCCTTCAAATCCTCCGGAGATATCTGCCCAGAGTAAACGTATTTCAAGAAGACCAATGCAGCCTCATGATCGATATTCGACCAATGGATTTTATTTTTTATTGGATAGCACTTCCTGTCATTTCTATCTTCAAAATTACAAGTTTCGTAATCCTTCGTGAGGGGATGACAACGAGTCCAAAATACGAGATTATGAGCGTGAATGAAGCTGGTGTCCTTGACGAAGATCGCGATGTCGCTGAGATAACTACTGGCCACCATTTTGCTCCAGTCGTTTGATAAGGACGTGATGTTATCAATATTTACAGTATCAAGACATTTTACAATCTTTGTTTCTGGAGTTTTTATTGCACTCATGTCTGCACGTTCTTTACGATTTTTTCTTCTTGCGTTGTCATCGATATTTTCAGCTGTCTTATGAATATTTGAAGTTTCATTTTCAGCATTGTTGATCTTCTTCTGGTCTTCAAAAGTGTTTTGAAGATCTGAATTATTATTTTTACTCTTTTCCATCGTTTTGGGGTCTTTAATCTTCCGAAGATCAGATTTTTTACTTTTCTTATAGATAATAGTTTTTAGATCTTCAGTGATCTTCAGAAGATCTAAGGTTGGATTTCTGGGATCTTCAATGGTCATTGGGATATCAGAATTTTTAATTTTATTTTTTTTAATGATTTTGTGATCTTCAATTTTCTGAAGATCTGAATTTTGACGTAGAGTCTTTTTGATTATTCTATGATCTTTGATCTTCTGAGCATCGAAATTTTCCTTTCCACCCGCTTCGATCATCTCATGATCTTGAATGGTCTGCGGAAGATCCAAATGTCTTCTTTTACGGTTTTTAGTTTTTTTATGATCTTCAATTGTCCCCTGAAGGTCTGCAATTTGACTTTTACTCTTTGTAATCATCGTAAGATCTTCAGAAGACTTTTGAGCATTTAAATTTCTCTCTTCTACCTCTTCAACCCCCTCATGATCTTCAATAGTTTTTTGAATATCTAAATTTTTACTTTGACTTCTTTCAATCATTTTATGATCTTTAATACTCTTCTGAAGATTTGAATTTCTACTTTTCCTCTTTTCAATCACCCTATGATCTTCACTAGCCTTCTGACCACCTGAACTCTCTCTCCCAGTATCTTCAATCATCTCATGATCTGCAATCATCTCCCTCAAACCCAAATTTCCCTTTTCACCTTCTCCAATAATTTCATGATCTTCACCAATCATCGTACCACTAAAATCTTCACTCCAAAAATCTTCAATCCCCTCATGATCTTCAATGATCTTTTGAATATCTAAATTTTTACTTTCACTCCTTTCAATAATTTTATCACTAATATTTTTCTGAAGATTTCCATTTTTACTTTCACTCCTTTTAATCATCCCATGATCTTCAATAGTCTTTTGACGATCTGAATTCCCCCTCTCAGTATCTTCAATCAGTTCACAATCCTCATTCGTCTCCTTCACCTCTAAATTTCCCTCTTCACTTTCTGCAGTCACTCCATGATCTTCACCAGTCTTCTTCTTTACTTCTGAATCTTCATTTATGCTATCTCCAATCACTCTACGATCTTCACCACTCTTCATTCCCCTCAAATCTTTATTCCTACTATCGCCAATCACTCCATGATCTTCATCAGTCCTCTTCTTTCCCCCAAAATCTTCATTCCCACTATCTTCAATCTCTCTACGATCTTCACCATTCGTCTTTCCCCACAAATCTTCATTCCTACTATCGCCAATCACTCCACGATCTTCATCAGTCCTCTTCTTTCCCCCAAAATCTTCATTCCCACTATCTTCAATCTCTCTACGATCTTCACCATTCGTCTTTCCCCACAAATCTTCATTCCTACTATCGCCAATCACTCCACGATCTTCATAAGTCTTCCTCTTTCCCCTCAAATCTTCATTCCTATTATCGCCAATCACTCCACGATCTTCATCAGTCCTCTTCTTTCCCCCAAAATCTTCATTCCCACTATCTTCAATCTCTCTACGATCTTCACCACTCGTCTTTCCCCTCAAATCTTCATTCCTACTATCGCCAATCACTCCACGATCTTCATAAGTCTTCCTCTTTCCCCTCAAATCTTCATTCCTATTATCGCCAATCACTCCACGATCTTCATCAGTCCTCTTCTTTCCCCCAAAATCTTCATTCCCACTATCTTCAATCTCTCTACGATCTTCACCACTCGTCTTTCCCCTCAAATCTTCATTCCTACTATCGCCAATCACTCCACGATCTTCATAAGTCTTCCTCTTTCCCCTCAAATCTTCATTCCTATTATCGCCAATCACTCCACGATCTTCATCAGTCCTCTTCTTTCCCCCAAAATCTTCATTCCCACTATCTTCAATCTCTCTACGATCTTCACCACTCGTCTTTCCCCTCAAATCTTCATTCCTACTATCGCCAATCACTCCACGATCTTCATAAGTCTTCCTCTTTCCCCTCAAATCTTCATTCCTATTATCGCCAATCACTCCACGATCTTCATCAGTCCTCTTCTTTCCCCCAAAATCTTCATTCCCACTACCTCCAATCACTCCACGATCTTCACCACTCCCCTTCCCATCCAAACCCTTCCCCTCTCTCCCACCCCCCTCACTCCCTTTTATAAACCCCTTCAGTTCCTCAACATAGTACTCCCCATGCTCAGTCCCAACAGACAATCTCCACAACTTTGCAGACTCATCCCACCACTTCTTCAACTCCCTATTCCGTCTCATCGCTACAGTCTCCTCCCTCACGATCTTCTCCCCCTCCTGCTGCTGAGTGATCGAATCAGATCCCACGAGCACCTCAGCGATCTTCTCAGTGAGGAGTTGCTCCCTGACTTGTTGCGTTCGACACTGCAAAACCGTTGGCCCCAGGGGCTTCTTAACTCTCCTCGGTCGTTCAATTCCACTCACCGGTTTATTCGTGGAGAAGCCAAAAGACACCAGGGTCGATTTTCTCTGGGACGATGTCATCTCCAGGACTTTGTCGTCTTGCTCTGCCGCCAGGGCAATCGCCTCGTCCATTTGCTCGAGCCTCTCCACTTCGTTCAGGGACATGGAGAGGGCGAGGGCCAGCTGAATGTCAGGATCGTCTACAGGGGGTGATCTTCTCGAGGATGAGGGCTTCCTCTTGGGGTTGGGGAGGGGCTTTGAGGGCAGGCCGATGGCTTTTCGCTCCTTCGACTGCTTCTCCTGGAGCTCGGCTGCTGCCAGGAGCCTCTCGGTGGAGACATTGTTTCGACGTGCGCAGTTCTTCGTGTGGATCAGCTGAATGTCGGAAGAGCTGAAGGGCTTCAGACACAGGGGGCAGACGAAGGTCGAATTTTCAGCCTCGGTTTTTGCGAAGAGCGAGGTAATCGACTGCTGATTTCGACGGGGGTCTTTCGACCGGGAGCGGGGTGCCACTTTTCGGGTGGAGGGGTTTTTCTTGGGCTTTAGGATTTGGATGGTGGACTTTGGCAGGACTTTGGAGGATTGCTTTGGGGACTTGAAGTCCGCGAGACTGTCGTCGGTCGAGGAGTTCAGGCTCTCGGGGGGGTGGACCGTTGCTGGTGGCTTTGACGATGATTCGCTGTGGAGAGAAGAGAAGAGTGGAGTGAAGTGATTGTAAGAGGTGGAAGCAACGGAGGGGGATTGGAGGATGGTGTGGGGATGAATTGGGGTTCGATGAGGAGAGGTGGAGGGAAGGAGTTGAGCAATTGGGAGCATTATCGATGCACAAGATCTAGGGGAGTTTTATCCCTGTCATTTTATATTTTAGGGTGTTGTGGTTTCAATGAAGTTTGAAACGTACGTATTTTTCATCAATCCTGATCGAGTCATGACAATGATACTACATTAATGAATTAAGAAAACCTGTGGAAAACTTTTTAACGCAAGAAAATTCAAATCCTACGGGGAACTATTATTATTATTATTATTACAATGATAATAATAATAATAACAAAAAATTGTAACAATAAAAAACAATAAAAACTTCGTGTTATTTTTGTTATTATAATATAATAATAACATATAATAGTTATAAAACTGAAGAATCAATTATTTGAAATAATAATATATTTTTTCAGTAAAATATAATAATCGTTTTTTTACTCCCTGAATGTTTGGAAAATGAGAATGTTTATGCGAGATGGAGGTTTTAGTGGATGGAATTGAAAAGATTATTGTGGGGGACAAATAGGATGAGAATGAGGGGAGGTGCGAGGGAGAGAGGGATTGGTAACGAAGAGAGAAATTAGAGGGCGATGAGATGAGAGAGTTTGGGGATGAGTCAGTGTTCGATGAGGAGAGATAGAGGGAAGATCTAGAGCAATTGGGATCATTATCGATGGACAAAGTCTAGGGGACTTTGATCCCTGTAATTTTATATTTTAGGGTGTTGTATTTTCAATGAAGTTTGACTGTAATTGTCATCAATCCGGACTCTTGAAGTCTTATTTGATTTTGATCAACAATTTAATGAGTTATTGAAATTTAAGAAAAGTTAATAGTGGTTATTCTACTCGATTGACCTCTGATTAATAATAAGACGTTTTTTCAGTAGCTAAAGTGTTTAATTCAGATTTTTACAGGTTCTGGGTTTTTTTTCTGGTCAGATACCTTCTTGTGGAGGTCTTGAGCCGAAGTCTGCCCTCGGGCTTCGGTTTGTCGGTTTTTTTCGACATTTTCGGTTGAGGTGAGACTTAGGCCTCGGGCTGGACTGGGGGCATAAGCTCTCCGGCTTGTTTCTTCTTGAGGTTCTTGACAGACGAGTTCCATAACGCGTCTTGCATCATTAGGCGGTACAACCTCTGCTCGTCGGTTACGGTCGCGAGCTGAGCGATTTTTTTCTTAATTGGATCGGACCAAGATGATTCCCTAGATTGGAGAAATGTGATTGGATTAAAGGTGTTGAAACTGTCTCATCATCAGAACATTTCATCTTCATTCTTGGACTCTTCATCATTACGAAATGATCTTTATAATTTGGAAAATCTTCACTTCAAGATAATGATGAGGACGGTGAAGAGTCCACGAATGAGATATCTGTACGAATATTACATCTGCAAATATTTGTAGCGATAGGAATTCCACTTGATTGGCATTAATAAAATTCTGTTAACTGTGCCATAACTATAATTCATCGATTTAATGAATATTAAGAGTCTAGATATTCTGTCTAGTCCTTCCAAGTCACAGTTTTCGTTCGATTTCAATGCAATTGGGCTGATTATGTTCGTTGGAACATTCTCCATTGATTTTTTGTAGTTTCATTTCCACAGTTGTATTTTCACGTGACGAAACCAATCAATTTTGAACAAATGGTCACAATTATTCGTCAGTGTATTTATCAAAATTAATTGTCCGAACTTGATAGAAAATGTTCCAACGAACAAATTGAGACCAAGTGCATTGAAATCGGATGAAATGTGTGACTTGAAAAATGTTTATATACAGAATTGTCAGTGATATTTAACAATGTCAATGATTGCCAATTAGTGTTGATTTTAGCGATTATTTTCAGTTGTGTTGCATTCAACTGAACTTGATCAATCCTAGGCCAGGGGAATTCAATATTTGTTGCATTAAAAAATTACGAAATTGAATTTTGAAAAAACTAATTTCATTAGGGGGACTGTCCCACAAGGATATCTTATTCTTGGATGCTTCATTACTACAAAAAGATGTTTATAATCTGGGAATTTCAAGTTTATGATGATGAAGAGTCCAAGAATGAGATATCTGTTCGAATATTACATCTGGAGATATTTGTATCGATACAAATGCCACTTGACTGTGATTTATAAAGTCCTGTTAAATGTACCACAACTGAAATTCATCGATTTACTAAATATCGAGAGTCATTCATTACGAAGTCAAAATATTACTAAAAATTCTGTCTAGTCCCAATTGGGCTGATTATGTTCGTTGGAACATTCTTCATTGATTTTTTGTAGTTTTATTTTCACAGTTGTATTTTCACATGACGAAACCAATCAACTTTGGAACAAATTGTCATAATTATTCATCAGTGTATTTATCAAAATAAATCGTCCGAACTTGATAGAAAATGTCCCAACGAACAAATTGAGCCCAAGTGCATGGAAATCATCAGACAATCGGACATAATTATGAGTGTTATTTAACAATGTCAACGATTGACAATTAATGTTGATTTTATCGGTTATTTTCAGTTGTGTTGCATTCAACTGGACTCCAGCATCTCCAGCCCTAAAAAATCACAAAAAATTCCATTTTTCACAGGCTCAAATCCCTGAAATATTCTGAAAAACCTCAAAAAATCCCAATTAACGTCTTACGAGTAGCAATAACCGGAGACAGCGAATATCGCGACGATTGCAAAGCTCAGGCCAGCGCTCCACTTGTTAGCTGGAGTTCCCCTCAGACGTCTGGGCCTTCGTTTCGAGATGTCCGTGGGGTCTTCATGGAAAGTCTCATGCATCCCACCGACTTGTCACCAAAATCCTCCAGCCAAATTCTACCTCTCAACCCCACTTCGATCAACTTCACCCAGATTCAACTCCAATCCCCCGATTCTCCTTACGTTCTGCTATTTTTCTTCTCTTCACCTCTCAATTCTAACCTCCAACCGCAAAAAAAAATTAAAGAACACGGTGATCAGCTGGGTGCCGGGGGGTGGAGAGGGAAGGCACACTCCCGCCCTCTACTCAACCCGTTTTGAATTTAAAAACCCCCGGGGCAATTTTTTACTCCTTTTTTCGCGCACAAAACTCATGTATTTCATCAAAATTCTCTCTAATTCGTCAACGCAACAATTATTGATTGATAATTAAACATTTCTCGAGCATCTTCAACGGTTATTGTGCATAAAAAATATTACTGTTCATGAACAAATGGGAATTTAGTTGGAGAGAACGTTTCATTCCTTTCTTTTTGTATTTTTTTTCCTTTTCTTCTTGTTTATTGCGTCTGGGAGTCATTGATGCGTTGATATAAACGCGTGATGACATCAGTCTTCTCGCGATCCTCGGATGATGGTGACTGTTGATTCACATCGAATGATGAAAATGATTCAAACACTCGGCCTTCGGCGTTTCCTCTCCACTGCGAGGCAAATCCTTGATACGGCATGAGCCACGTCACGTCATGAGCCAACAATTCTTTTTGCTTCGGGTGTGCCAGATGCGCACGGGCCTGTTCTTTGCGGTTTATACAGTTGCGGAGGTGGTGTTCAGTCAGTGTCAGTGGTGACTCGCGAGTAACAACATTAGAAGAGGAATAGCGGGTTTTGGAGATAATTATTCGTGAGTTTTTTCAAGCAATTGCCAGTGGATTATTGAAATGAGAAGGACTTTCCCAGGGATTCGGGTCTTTATTTCATTGATTTTGTGCCGACGATTTTGGAGAATGTTCGGTACCTTGGGAGAACGCACACTCTCGAGAATGAGTTCATGGGCTTGGGCGTTGGTTTTATGAATTTCTCTGGAAGCTATTACGACAGAATCGTTATTCACAGTCTGTTGCGAAGACGTGAATTGAATAATTCAGTGAATCTTGGGACCGGCGTTCAGTTTTTGGTGGATATCTTGAGATCTAACGCAGATAGCGAAATTTTTGTTGATAAGTTTTTTGTGGGGAATTTCGAGAGCTAGAAAAAAGGTTTTAACGGAATTTTTGGTATCTCCGTTAGATCCGGAGATTTTTCCAAAAAACTAAAATTATTTTTTTTAGTTTTTAGAATAATTTCATTTTGATTGAGTTTCAGTTTTCGTTGAATATCTCAAAACCTAAGCGAGATAGCGAAATTTTTGTAATAATCTTTTTTGTAGCTTGTGAAATTCTCTCCAAAAAATGTAGGACCAAAATTTTTGCATCTCCCTTGGATTCCAAGATATTCACAAAAAACGAAAGCTGAAATTTTCAATTTTTATTTTTTTTAGGTTCAACACGATTTCACTTCTTCCAATTAATTAATCAATTTTTTCTTCTTTGGTAGAATTAAAGAGCATTATCATGGCAGCCCATCAGTACTACCACGTGCAGGTAAAAAAACCGTTAAAACAATCCTCCGATTATTGAATAATTTAGAGTGGAAATGACGTTTAATTTTTTAATTTCGGGTATACAGTGCACCCCAACGGTCTACCCAGCCGAGCCATTTGACCCAGAAAATGACGCTCAGATGCTGCGTAACGCCATGAAAGGTTTCGGAACCGATGAACAGACAATTATCGACGTGTTGGCGCATCGCGGTATTGTCCAGCGTCTCGAGATTGCCGATAAATTCAAGACAATGTTCGGGAAGGATTTGATCTCCGACCTGAAGTCTGAACTGGGGGGCAACTTCGAGAATGCTATCGTCGCCTTGATGACACCCCTCCCCGAGTTTTACGCTCGCGAACTGAATAATGCGATTTCTGGGATGGGAACTGACGAGGAGACGATCATCGAGGTTCTTGCGTCCTTGAGTAATTACGGGATCAAGACGATTTCAGCTGTTTACAAAGATTGTGAGTGTCTTAATGGATTTTAATACTCCGCTGGTCCGTTATAAGCATTTTTTAAATTACACTACAGTGAAGCCTCAAAAAAATTTCATTTCATTTCATTTCATAAAGACCCAACAGACTGAGAGAAAAATATAATTCTTCTGACTAGAAATGGAGGAAGATACTGTGATATAATAGAGAAAGAAAGGGAGAAAGAATTAGATATGGAAATAATGTGTTAAAAGAAACTATCTGAGTTGTTAGTTAAAATTTCAAAGTTTAAAATATCTATATAAGCATGTAATAAATAATATAAGGAGAGGTGGAGAAAGAGGGGCTGGTGGTGATGTAAAACAAGGAAAGAACTCTTGTAACATCAAGGAAAATAAATTGAATAATTCTTCTGACTGTATTCCATCACCATCGAATTACAGTCAAAAAGTCCTCAACTATTTTTCATGGGTTACGGTAATTATGGCCGGAAAAGTAATTACTACAATGGAATGCAGTCATTGCAACTATTTTATAGTTCTCCTCACGATAGATTTGTCGTGATTACTTTTGAACTTCGGTTAGTTTAACTGCATTTTTATTTGCCAAAATTACGCTTGTGAAGTTAATATCATTAAAACTATCATTATATTTTACTGAAAAGAATTCTTATTATTTCAAATAATTGATTTTTCAGTTTTATAACTATAACATTTTACTATTATTATTATCATTATTATTCTTATTATTACAGGTGTATATATACACTACTGTATATCGCCACCGTCCTTCTAACGGCAAATATTATTAAAAACTATCATTATATTTTACTGAAAAGAATTCTTATTATTTCAAATAATTGATTTTTCAGTTTTATAACTATAACTATAATGTTATGTGCCGTATACAAAAAAAATCGTATCGTTCACCAAAATGCCTCAACTATTTTCTTATTGTCAATCGAACTTCAGATTTTTCTCTCAGTGCAGCACGAGGCCAATTACAGGATCAAACTACAGTCTACATACAACATAAAAATGAAATCATTAATCGATAAAATTTGACAAAGCTATCAGGACGGAGAGCATCACTAAGATCAAACAATCTAGAAAGTTATACAATTTAGATCACTTGAGTTTTTTCAGATTTTTTCTAGACCTTTCACGTTTATTGTTATGTCGATTTCGATGGTGCGGTGCGGCGCCTGCACGGCGCGACTAACGGCGTTCGTAACTCTCTCGCGACCAACGGAGTGTTAAATTATCTCGAGAGAGACTTCTTGTGTCGCACATTTCGGGGGGTTTCAACATTTTTTTTCATCATTGCCTATTGAATTTTTTAAAAACTGATGAAAAAATATTTTTTTTATTAAAAAGGGAAAATTTTAGGGATTAGTTGATGGGTTAATTAATTCTGTTTTGATGTAAAAAATTATTTATGAAATAAATTTATAAAATATATTTATTATATAGTTGAGCGGGAAAATATTAAATCAATAAATTAATCGATTTAAAATAATAGTTTTAAAAAATGGATTTTAAAATTATCTCAAGAGACATTATTTTGTTGGAAAATTTCGTGAGCTTTCAACATTTCTTTTCATTTTTAAAAAATTGAAGAAAATATATTTTTTCATTAAAAATGTGAAATTTTAGTGATTAGTTGATGTTTTAATTAATTCAGCATTGATCTAAAAAATAGTCAGTTGATAGAAAATGTTAAATCAATAAATTATTGAATTTTGAATTCTCTCAAGAGACGTGAGCCTTAAACATTTTTTTTCATCATTGCTTTTTTATTTTTTAAAGCTGAAAAAAAAAATTTTCAATTAAAAATGTGAAATTTTAGTGATTAACTGATGTTTTAATCAATTCAGCATTGATCTAAAAAATAATCAGTTGAGGGAGAAATTGTTTAAAGGATAAATTCACAATTATTGCAAATGAGATGTTTTCTCTTTCCAGTATTTGGGAATGAACTCGAAGATGATCTGAAAGGGGACACTTCCGGGCATTTCAAGCGTCTCCTTGTATCGCTCTCAGTCGTAAGAAAAAGGATCCACAAATATTCTATCAATATTTATGTCAAATCGAAAAAGAGAATAAAGAGAATTAAAATCCGGTGTAGGCTAATCGGGATGAAGACCCGGACGTGGACGAGAGAGCAGCAGTGGAGGAAGCGGAGAGACTCTTCCAAGCCGGCGAAGGCCAGTGGGGCACCGACGAGAGCGTCTTCAACTCGATCCTGATAACCAAGAGTTACCCCCAGTTGCGTAGAATCTTCTACGAGTACGAGAGAATCTCCGGAACGAGTCTCGAAGACGCCATCAAACGAGAGTTCTCAGGGTCTCTTGAGGACGGTTACCTCGCAGTTGGTAATTAATTAATTATCTTCACTGTGATTTTGATGATTAATGTAGGATCATCGTCAAGAGTCAACAAACAAATTGATGAAAAATATCGCCAAACTTCATTAAGGGTGCCAAGTGAATTTGAAAAAAGATTCAAAAAAAATTTTTTCTTTCCCTCCATCATTGGAGAAATATGTATTCATCCATCCGACGAAATTTCAAACCCGCAACCGGAACTAGACATCGAGAAAATAAATGCGGAAAATCCTCTATTTCGCGTGACGAACCTCGAGAAAGGATGGGATCAAATGGGTACGGCGGGTTGAAATATCTCTCTCATTCACCCCGGTACCCCATTGTTTATTGTCGCCATCACATTGAACACATCATTCCTCATATCTTCAAATTTTTTCAAATTTTTCTCGAGTTCCTAGGGGGTGAAACGTTCAATTTAATCAAAACTCCATAAGAGGCCGTGTATAAGACTGATTTTGTTTATTTAATTTCTCAATATCCATAAGTTCTAAAATTTCAAAATTGTCACCGATGTTCACCATCTGTCTAATACTATTAATTAAAAAAATTATAACTTTGTTGGTGAATGTCAATTTCCAAGGTCATCGCCAAATTCACTTGGCACCCTTAATAACACAGCACTCTAAAATATAAAATCACAGGGATAAAAGTCCCCTAGATCTTGTGCATCGATAATGTTTTCTATTGAATATGTCAATAGAATCAGCCAAAACTATTAGAAAGTTTAATAGAAATTCAATAGAATTTTCTAACGAATTCGGTAGGTTTTTCTATTAAATTTTTTCGTGCGTGTCTCAGTATGATCACTGTCAAGAGTCAGGATTGATAACAAATATGGTTAAACTTCATTGAAACAACAGCAGTCTAAAACATAAAATCACAGGGTAATGTCCCCAATCACCCCTCATTTTCACGTAGGAGAAAATCGTATAGAATCTTTCTATACGGACTGTGTATAGCATTTCTATAGGTTTTTCGTATATGATATTCGGATATTTCTATACGAAAATTTCCTATACGGTTCATTTCTATACGAATTTCTACACGAATTCAAAAAAAAAAAAAGAAAAAACTTAATCAAATAATCAAGTAATGGAGTTTGACCCTCTTGACCCTCGTAATCTATTGTTCCTTGTTGTACCTTGTGACCCGTATGTGAATTTCTACACGAATTCGTATAGAAATAATCCGTATAGGGAATTTTTGTATAGAAATATCCGAATATCATATACGAAAAACCTATAGAAATTCTATACGCAAATCGTATAGAAACTTTCTATACGATTTTTTCATACATGTTACTCCACCAGTGAAATGCGCGCGAGACAAGACCACCTATTTCGCCGAGAGACTCCACAAGGCGATGGCCGGAATGGGCACAACCGATTCCACCCTCATCCGCATCATCGTCTCTCGTTCGGAGATCGATCTCGGGGACATCAAGGAGCTCTACCAGAAGATGTACGGAAATTCCCTCGCTGCTGACATCGATGTAAGTCGGAGCTACCTCTCCCCATGAATTTACTCATTTAAAAAAAAAAACCTCGTAAAAAAACCATCTCGTCACTCTAGCCGATTTATACTCTAAATCTTTCAGAGTGATACGTCCGGTGACTACAAGAGACTCTTGCTTGCTTTGACTGGCCAATAAACATCCACATAACTATTATTTTCATATTCACGTTGTGTCTAATCCTATGAGATATTATTTATTCACGGGTCAGTATGAATTTTTGTTTCTTTTTCATCGGGTGATGTGAGAATTTTGCGCATGCGATAACACTTTTTCGGGGGTCTATTCACCATTCGATGGATTTTGTACGAATGAATCGCATCGTCAATCATTATTAATATTTTGCAGAACGCCTTTCTTCAAAGAACTTTTTTTTTCGATTTCAGAGCGACTGCAGCGATGATTTCAAACGACTTCTTTTAGGGCTGATAAATTAATGGGCAGGCATTGCGTTTTTAATCCGTTTGTGTCATTAAAGAGGAGAGGAAACACTCCGCTAATTGTTCTAATTGGCTGTAATGTAATTACTCACGTTGCATGTTGAATAGATCACCCATTGAGATTAATGATAGTGGCGTTTTTATTTTTTTATTTTTTCTGTACTTAGTTGATTGGGGAGATGACATTCTCAGACATTGGTTGCTTGAAAAGTTTAAAATTGGCAGTTTTCGAATTATTCTTGGAGTTTTGGTTACTGCGATAAGAGCTTTATAATCTGGGAATTTCAAGTTTATAGTGATGATGAAGAGTTGAGGAATGAGATCAGTCGCGATGTGGTAAAAGGAGATAAGTCAGTTTTCAATCAATATCTCGGAATCTAAGGGAGATAACAAAATTTTTATTATGACCTTTTTTGTGGAGCCGATTGACTGCTACAACAAATGTAATTACGAAAATTTCGCTATTTCCCTTAGATTCGGAAATATTCCTCAAAAACTCAACTGGGAGATAAGTCGACTTATCTCCGTTTACCACTTCACTACTGAGTTATCTGTACGAATATTACATCTGTAAATAATCGTATCGATACGAATTTCACTCGATTGTGATTCATAAAGTTCTGTTGAATGTACCACAACTGAAATTCATCGATTTAATAAATATCAAGTCATCCCAACTAAATTATTATTCTCCAGGTCATTTTGCGGTTCTCGGCTATTTTAACGTCCCAACTGAACTAACACAGAAAAAAATCCATTTAACATTGCCAACGTTTCGATTTCTTTATTTCCATTTATTTAAAAAGTTAAAGAATATACGAAACAATATCAGAAATGGCTGTTTTAATGAACTATCAGTGATTCTAATTTTAAATATATCATATAATTCAAGGATTTTTATCCCATTCCGACCTCCTTTTTTAAAAAAACTATTTACTCCAATAAATTTCGTTTTGAAAAATATAGACCACCAGCACGTCGTACGAGAGTCGTTCATTAAGATGTCAAAGTATTACTAAAAATTCTGTCTAGTCCTTCCAAGTGACAGTTGTCATTTGATTTCAACGCATTTGGGCTAATTATGATCGTTGGAACATTCTCCATAGACTTTTTGCAGTTTTATTTTCACATGACGAAACCAATCAACTTTTGAATAAATAGTCATAATTATTCATCAGTGTATTTATCAAAATAAATCCTCCGAACTTGATAGAAAATGTCCCAACGAACAAATTGAGCCCAAGTGCATTGAAATCGGACGAAATATGTGATTTTAAAAAAAGTTTATAGACAGAATTATCAGTGATATTTAACAACGTCAACGATTGATAACTAATGTTATCGATTATTAAATAATAAATAATTTTATCGATTATTTTCAGTTGTGTTGCATTCAAATGAACTCGCTGAAAAAATGTAAAAATGGAATTCTTCGAAAATGAATTTCAACCGAAAGTCGTCGATCAGACGACAATTTATCCATCCGAATGTTTCTTTTTCCAGGACGATTGTAACGCCGCGAGTAAAAAACTCCTTATCGCCCTCCTCAACTGAACGAAGCAAATAAAAAACATTTAACTGAGACTCTCAGAATGCATTTAATCGAGTAAAAAATGTCAATACAAAAATCTTCATTCCTAAACTTATCAATTAGTCCCCGAGGGGAAATGGCGAAAGAAAACGATCAAATCATCTGAACCGAGGGCAGCACTTCCTTCCTGACTCCCTCTCGATCGATGATCTGGTTCAGCGCTCCCGACACATTCCCCATTTTAGCTGAATAAATACTCATCGAATAGTCCAAAGGGATGTTGAAGCATCCGACGTTCACGATCCTGTGAATAACATGATAAACCGAGACTTTGATCGCCACGCAGCCATGATAGTGTTGCTTCCCGAAGGAGAGATCGTACAGTTTCAGGCAGATCTCTGCTGACAACTTTTCCAGCTCTGGAATTCCGATGCAAATGGGCGGAGGATTGCGCGCTGGATCGAATGAATCGTGAGAAAATTAAATAAAAACTTTGAAATGTTGAAAAAAACTCAGCGAATAAAATATAACAAACCGGCGTGAATACAATGTATTTTCAGAATTAAAATATTAAAATATGTAATGAAGAAGAATAAATTCTTATGTGAATACTACTATTTTTCAATTATTTATTTCGCCATGAATATGTATTTTTGCATGTTATGTGCATGTCTCGATAAATAAATAAAAAATGAATAAGTGAATAAGGTCCAGCTGCACCAGCTCTGGGTAACGAAAACGTCTGATAAGAAAAAAGTAAATTTGGATGTTCGATGGATTATTTTACCCCGGAGAGTATCTCAAATTTATCCCAGGAACAAAAAATATCATTTAATCCCAAGGTTAAATCAGCGTTAATTCAAATGGAATTGCAGGATAAATAAAAAATTATTCGTCGAGTCGAATACTGAAAAATTATGACCCCTACGATATAATTGACCTCGAGGATAAATTTTACCCTGGGATTTATTTGGATAACGGGGCTTGGTGCAACCAGGCCTAATGAATAAATGAATAACTGAATAAATAAATAAACAAATGAATAAATAAGAATATAATATATTACCTGATACTGTCTCGTTGTAGAGAACATAATCATTATAAGTGAGAGTCAGGGAAATTCCGTAATCATCAGGTAGATACGTGATATTTGAACAAACTAAAAGGTAAAACATGATGATGAATGAATATAAAATCAAATTGAAGGGACGAGGGCGAGGATTTTTTCTCCACCTGTACCTGTTCCATCGATACCAAATGTTTTCCAAGTGATCGTTTCGCAGCATCCGCAGTCATTTTTAATGCATACACAGCCGTTTCTCAATAAAGGTCTTCGTTCAACTGTTGATTAATGAATAAATTAATTTACATAATACGAATTAATATTGATCAAATTAGTAATTTAGGCATTAACACAATTAATTAATTAATTCTGTTAATTAATTAAATAATTAATTCTGGTAATTAACAGAATTAATTATTTAATTAATTCTTGATGGCTATGAGAATGAATTGTGTCAAGTGTGCGGTAGGAAGAAAGAAATTTTTTCATTATTTCAGTAGATTGAGTGAGTGATAATTCCAAACCTTCGTGGGGGGTGGATTCCCCTTGAAGACAAGTAGAAATGACGACTGAAGTGAAAATAACGAGGGAAATTATGATCAGACGAGTGGAGGCCATATTTTCAATGCTGAAATTGCACTGCACTCGAGACTTTTTCACGAGCGATAAACTATGCGTCAGGCGTTGAACTTATCACCGCTAGCCACAACAAATGAAACGACATACATATTCTCATGTACATATATGTGTTCGTGTATGCGATCACGTGACTAATAGCCGGTGAGCGCGTAAATCCAAAGAGCTCCGAATGTTGAAATTCTTAGATTTTTTTTTAAATTGCGGCACATGTGACCTCGCTTTCCGCCCATCTGTCGATTCAAAATATGCGTTGCGTATCTATTCCACTGTATTACACCGCAAATGAAAATTTAAAAACATTATTCCGTCCATTGTTGAACACAAAAGCCAGTGGTGATAAAATATTCCCAACAATTTGTGTTAACATTTTGAATTCTATTGTCACCAGCGTTACTGTTTTCAATACCCCATCCGTGGACCACTCATTTTCCATCGAGACTGAGGTCGACGCGCTCGCAGATGAAATGAAGGGGAGACCCCCGGATGTCCGCACCCTGGCCCACAAGAAGTGAGGCCGCGCTCAGTGAGACTCGGAGCCGCTGGTAAGCCGGAGGGATACACTATCGCTCCCAGTGGTAACAACAATTCCACGAGAGCATTGCTATTCATTAAAATAATATATAAAGTTTTTTTTTTAAAATAAGAAACCCTCCCACCTGGGGAGATGTCGATACGAGTGCCCTTTTTATTCGGAGTTGAGTGATACATGTTCACCAGCGGAATCTTCAAATTTATTATAATAAAGTTCTTGGGTTATCAAGTTTAACATTAACAATGACGTTAAAGACTGCTGGAGTTGTCATCTTCATTAGTTTAACTCTGACTTGTGGAGTTCGTGGACAGGATGATGATTCGCTGGCGAGCAGTTTCTTCTCAGGTAAAACTATATTCAATTATTTATTTCCGAGTTTTCATTAGGGAAGTGAATAGTCTGCAATGTGTGGAGATCGGTGAAGACGTGATTTAAATTTGTTCAAGAGGAAGAGTTCATTGACACGATGAACTTGATGCCCTTGACCACCGGAATTTCCCGAGATCGTAATTAATGCAGGCATCTCCATCCTTTCTCTCTCCATCATCGAGGGCTAAGTACATACACCCGTCCTCTATTTTTAAATTGAACTCCAGGTCTCTTCAATTCCTTGACCAACACTGCAGAAGCCGCAGACTGTCCCGGGGTGTGTGTCCACGCTCGAGCGACACTGATATGTGACGAGGTCCTCGAGGACTTCCAATGCCCGACGGCGAGCATGCGATGCTGCGTCAATGGACCGTTGAACAGCACCGAGACATCGTCGGAGAACGACATCGAGGGCTCGATGCCCACGAGCACCGAGAAGCCCATCACCGTGAGCTATCCAGCTACCACGACCCTCTCCACGACCACCACCTTCGCCACAACTACCACAAGCCCCAGTGCAACGTCTACTGCTGTCACCACGGTGAGGATTAACTCATCGAACGGTCGTATGTTGCCAGCAAATTGTATTCATATTCCTGTGATATTTTATTTTTTATTCAGGTGATTCAGAGGGAGCCGGAGAAGCCATCGAGTGAGTACAATCGATCAAATTATTAATATATGTAGGATCATTGTCAAGGGTCAGGATTGATGACAAGTGCGGTTGAACTTCATTGGAAATATAACTGGATGAAATATAAAATCACAGGGATCAGAGTCACACAGACATTGGGCATCGATAACGATCCCAATCTCTCTCGATCATCTCTCTAGCTCTCACCGTCGAACACTGACTCACCCCCCAACTCTCTCATCTCATCATCCTCCAATGTCTCTCTTCGTCCTGTTACATCCAGAATAAGTCCCATCTCTCAGGAGAGATTTTTCAATAATTTTCATTCTAAAAATTCAATCGAAGAGTCGAATAAATCGTTGGAATGCAAAATCTGCGACGAACGATAAAAGTCACGTCATCACTCAATTAAATTGACTCCTTCCAGTATCGAAATGTCCTCCTCCTGGCCACATTAACGAACTATTACGAAGCCATTCTCGATATAGAGAACGTAGGATGATTGGTAGGGGTCAAGATTAATGACAAATGCGGTTGAACATCCTTGGAGATATGACTGGATGAATCTCTCAATCATCTCTCTAGCTCTCATCATCCTCTAATTTTTCTTCGTTGCCCAGCTCTCTCTCACTCGCATCACCACTCACTCTCCATCCTAATCCTTTCATGTGATCGATCTATCCGAAGGGACTCGAACGAATGAAGATTCAGGCGGAGATAAGACAACAAAGATCACCGTGACAACTCAGAGACCGGAGCCCCCGCCACAAAAACCGTGCACGGGAGAATGCACCAGTGGGTTCTTCGCTCTATTCTGCGATAATATCGATGGTGAGGCTGATTGCCCCGATGGGGGCTCTTGTTGTATCAGTGATCCATCGATCGATAAAGAGGTGAATACACGATCATTCGAAATGACCGCATTTGGCCCCTGAAAGGTGCTCGATTCCTACCGTGATGAATTCACAATCAACACCAATTTTAATATTTAATTAACGAAAATTTAAATTAATCAGCAGGAGATAATCACAACTACCTCTCGCCCATCGACAGAATCACTGCGGGGCGAGTTACCCCCCTGCAAAGGCGTCTGTCTTCTACCGATGTTCTCCACATTCTGTGAAGGATCCAAAACAATAGTTTCTGGAACTTCTTGCGACGGCGGATCGATCTGCTGTGAGGAGAGTACCTCATCAACACCTGTGAGTCAATCCCCTTTCTTCCTTCTGGAGAACATGTCGGAATCTAGAGGCGATTTCGATATTTTCGTAGAGAAAATTCTTTCATCTCCCTCAGATTCCACAATATGTGGGGATATTTTTTAAAAGATAAAATCGCTGAATTTATTTTGCTTTAATTCACTATATTTACACTTATTTTACAAAGATTATGGATTTCTAAAATAACTCACTAAACCGTCCAATGGCTCTCGCAAAAACTTCGACTGCCGTCTGTGTATAATTTTGACAACCAATGGTCACCAGGTGTACTTGTGGGAAAAACCCGCAATTGGAAAAAACCCATCAGTAAAAGTTCCGAGAGGATTTTTCCCCCATTTTACACTCTCAGGGAAGACCCCATAGCAATATAAAGCAATAAACCTTTCCTTAACATAAAAGAACTTGGGAGGGTGAATTTTGATCTCGGGGAAAACCCCGAAATCCAACACTCCTGAGTTCAAATTCTAATACCGATTTAATGGAAATCGAAATTAATTCGCAGGTGCCACTCATAACAACCCCTCCCCCATCGACAGAATCACCGCAGGGGGAGTTACCCCCTTGCAAAGGCCTCTGCAATATAAAGCACTAAACCTTTCCTTAAGGGTGCCAAGTGAATTTGGCGATGACCTTGAAAATTGACATTCACCAACAAAGTTATAATTTTTTTAATTAATAGTATTAGACAGATGGTGAACATCGGTGACAATTTTAAAATTTTAGAACTTATGGATGTCGAGAAATTAAATAAACAAAATCAGTCTTATACACGGCCTCTTATGGAGTTTTGATTAAATTGAACGTTTCAACCCCCTAGGAACTCAAGAAAAATTTGAAAAAATTTGAAGATATGGGGAATGATGTGTTCAATGTGATGGCGACAAAAAACAATGGGGTACCGGGGTGAATAAGAGAGATATTTCAACCCGCCGTACCCATTTGATCCCATGCTTTCTCGAGGTTCGTCGCGCGAGATAGAGGATTTTCCGCATTTATTTTCTCGATGTCTAGTTCCGGTTGCGGGTTTGAAATTTCGTCGGATGGATGAATACATACTTCTCCAATGATGGAGGGAAAGAAAAAATTTTTTTTGAATTTTTTTCAAATTCACTTGGCACCCTTAAGGGGAAACGGAACCCCTGCGTTTATATGAATCTTTAGAATTGTGTTTTCTCCTGCAATTATTATTTTTTGTTCATTAACCTACTTCATTGACTCAACAATGCGATAATCGAGTCGATAATAGATAGATAGAAATTAATAATTGTAGGAGAAAACACAATTCTAAGATTTGATGTAGACGAAGGGGTTCCGTCTCCCCTTAACATGAAAGAACTTGGGAGAGGGAATTTTCATCTCGAGGAAAACCCCGAAATCCAACACTCCTGAGTTCAAATTCTAATACCGATTTAATGGAAATCGAAATTAATTCGCAGGTGCCACCCACAACAACCCCTCCCCCATCGACAGAATCACCGCAGGGGGAGTTACCCCCTTGCAAAGGCCTCTGCACGGAGCCGCTGTTTTCCATATTTTGTGAAAAACCCAGTGCCATAATTTTCCAAACATCAACTTGTGAAGACGGATTCATCTGCTGCGAGGCGAGTGATTCTTCACTCGAGGGTCAATCTCGTTTTTACAGACGGCTGAAGCACCGAATAAGTGCGGCGAAAGTCAATGTACCCCTGATGCTCGGTTCTTATGCCGGCGAGGGTGATTATTCTATTTCCCCCACTTGCAGTGTGGCACCGTGGCTCCTTGAGTGCAGGGGGATGAACTGAAACCAATATTTTCTGGTCTTGAAATGAGGCAGGAGCAAAACGATTGTATCACGCTGTCAATAAAGAAACGTACACGGGCTATTTGAAATAATTCATTATCAGATGGTGATTTAAACATCTAACGAATTGAATAAAAAATTCTGTTGCATTTCTATGCGATTTTTATTAGTTTTTGGCGGATTCTATTGGAAAATACCGCAGATTATCTGCGTTATTATTATTAATAATTTTATTAATTAATTTTTTTTTCAAATAATTTGAAAATTTTTATCGATAAACAAATTGACTAAATTAATAAACAATATTATTACTAATAATAATAATATTATATATATATAATAATAATATATTATAATAATAATATTATACATAATATATAAATATATATTATATTATTAATTATCATTAATAATTAATAAACCGTTCAAACCGTCCGTTTCGGGGGTATTATTAATTAATATTTATAATTAATTAAATTAATTGAAATGATTTTATGAAAAAATGAAGGCAATTCGATTTTTCTATACAACCTATTCCGTCAGTTCAAATTTTCTCATTTTTTTTGTTCGATTCTTTTAAAGAAAAGGAAAAATGGAGTAGAAAAAATCCGAAAATTTTAAAATCAAAAAATTTCTCAATGGAATAAATTGTATAAAATAGTTTTTATTGGACATTTTCCATTAAAAAAACCACCGCACAGTAAAGTTGTGGAATTCTTCAATAGAATCGGCAAAATATTAATAGAATTTCACTAGAATTTTCTATTATTTTTTGGTTGATTTAATTGAAAAATTTGTGCTTATCTGCATTTTTAAAACAGAAATCTTCAGATAACAGTGGAACCATAAAACCTGCGTGAAATTCAGTGTTCATCGTCTCTACGAGAAGGTGAAAACAATTAAAACAATGAGAACAGTTTTTGAGGAGAACTCGTGAGTGCGCGGTTTCTCCCTCACTTCAGTACGGTATTTCTCGTGGTATTTCCAATTCAGGATACCGGGCGTACCGCTATTTCGATTCACGCATATATTATATCAGCGGGTATGCTCATTCTCAAAAACTCATTTCTTTTCATTCCTGTTATGTTACTCTCAAGTTGACTGCGTCGTACTCCGAAGAGTATTACGTAAGCCTAGGTAAGTGGGAAAAATTTTAAATCCATTTTTTCCCTCAATAAATTTTTTTCACTCATTTCACTCTTGCGTTTTCCCGTCGATCCCTTTCCTCATTTCCCGGTTGGAGAATGGAGAATATGCGTTGCGTATCTATTTCACTGTATTACACCGCAAGTGAAAATTAAAAAAAATTATTCCGTCCATTGTTGAACACAAAAGCCGGTGGTGATAAAATATTCCCAACAATTTGTGTTAACAGTTTGAATTCTATTGTCACCACCGTTACTGTTTTCAATACCCCATCCGTGGACCACCTATTTTCCATCGAGACTAAGGTCGACGCGCTCGCAGATGAAATGAAGGGGAGACCCCCGGATGTCCGCGCCCTGACCCACAAGAAGTGAGGCCGCGCTCAGTGAGACTCGGAGCCGCTGGTAAGCCGGAGGGATACACTATTGCTCCCAGTGGTAACAACAATTCCACGAGAGCATTGCTATTCATTAAAATAATATATAAAGTTTTTTTTAAAAATAGTNGAATTTTCTATTATTTTTTGGTTGATTTAATTGAAAAATTTGTGCTTATCTGCATTTTTAAAACAGAAATCTTCAGATAACAGTGGAACCATAAAACCTGCGTGAAATTCAGTGTTCATCGTCTCTACGAGAAGGTGAAAACAATTAAAACAATGAGAACAGTTTTTGAGGAGAACTCGTGAGTGCGCGGTTTCTCCCTCACTTCAGTACGGTATTTCTCGTGGTATTTCCAATTCAGGATACCGGGCGTACCGCTATTTCGATTCACGCATATATTATATCAGCGGGTATGCTCATTCTCAAAAACTCATTTCTTTTCATTCCTGTTATGTTACTCTCAAGTTGACTGCGTCGTACTCCGAAGAGTATTACGTAAGCCTAGGTAAGTGGGAAAAATTTTAAATCCATTTTTTCCCTCAATAAATTTTTTTCACTCATTTCACTCTTGCGTTTTCCCGTCGATCCCTTTCCTCATTTCCCGGTTGGAGAATGGAGAATATGCGTTGCGTATCTATTTCACTGTATTACACCGCAAGTGAAAATTAAAAAAAATTATTCCGTCCATTGTTGAACACAAAAGCCGGTGGTGATAAAATATTCCCAACAATTTGTGTTAACAGTTTGAATTCTATTGTCACCACCGTTACTGTTTTCAATACCCCATCCGTGGACCACCTATTTTCCATCGAGACTAAGGTCGACGCGCTCGCAGATGAAATGAAGGGGAGACCCCCGGATGTCCGCGCCCTGACCCACAAGAAGTGAGGCCGCGCTCAGTGAGACTCGGAGCCGCTGGTAAGCCGGAGGGATACACTATTGCTCCCAGTGGTAACAACAATTCCACGAGAGCATTGCTATTCATTAAAATAATATATAAAGTTTTTTTTAAAAATAGTAAACCCTCCCACCTGGGGAGATGTCGATACGAGTGCCCTTTTTATTCGGAGTTGAGTGATACATGTTCACCAGCGGAATCTTCAAATTTATTATAATAAAGTTCTTGGGTTATCAAGTTTAACATTAACAATGACGTTAAAGACTGCTGGAGTTGTCATCTTCATTAGTTTAACTCTGACTTGTGGAGTTCGTGGGCAGGATGATGATTCGCTGGCCGGCAGTTTCTTATCAGGTAAAACTATTTTCAATTATTCATTTCAGAGTTTTAATTAGGGAAGTGAATATTTAATCTTCATTTTTCCCTGGGCCCAAAGATATTTCATCGTTCCTCCGAATGAGACCGGATTTATTCAAATTTCGTGGCAATAATTTTGGTGATTTAAAAACCTTCATTTTCAATCAGAAATCATTGTCTCGCGAATTAATTCGGTGATCATCAGCATCGCGCGTTTGGATTTCTTCTCGATTCGTCGATAATCGGTACGTAAACACCCGGATCTATCGAGAAATAGAAACTGAAATACTCGAGAGAATGGGACGACACGGTTTTTTATATAGGTAGTTGAGAATCAGCAAGGAAGGATGCGACTGCGTCCCACTTAGAAAACATGGATCGCGGAAGCTATGCGGATGAGGTTCTGTGATGACCGTAAGAGACCCGGTGGCATTAAAACATCATCGAATTGCCTCATTTAAATTTTCCCAGCGAACCGGTAAAACTCGATTTTGACGCTTCGCTGATGAGTTATCACCGAATATCTCGGAATCCAAGGCAGATAGCGAAATTTTCGTTACGACCTTTTTTGTGGGGCGAGTCGAGAGCTACAGAAAAGGTTCAGACAAAAATTTCGCCATCTCCCTCAGATTCGGGGATATCCCCCGACAACTCAGGTGAGAGCCAAATCGACTTGAATCGTATTGTCGCTTCGCTGATGAATTATCGCCAAATATCTCGGAATCCAAAGCAGCTAGTGAAATTTTCGTTTAAACCTTTTCTGTAGCTCTTGACTCGCCCCACAAAAAAGGTCATTACGAAAATTTCGCTATCTTCCTCAGATTCGGAGATAGCCCCCGAAAACTCGGCTGAGAGCCAAGTCGACTTGAATCATTTTACTGCTTGGTTACTGGAAATCGAGATGTACTAGCCATTGGAAATTAATTGGCTGACCGGGGGGATGGGGATTAGAAGTAATGTGTGGAGAGTATTTTAGGATCGAGATTGTAGGGACCTTCAGGAGGCCTCTGTGCTCGCTTCAAACGTCCACGCACCCGTTCATTATAATTACCGTTATATTTGTTTCGGGCCGTTATGCCTGGGCGAAGTGAAACCACATTGGGTCTCCGTATCGTTACACATATTGTTGTAATACATAACTGCATTCGGAGTAATTTCGATGCTTGCCACTGCATCTTTCACTTTTATTTATTTTTTTCAGAACATTTGAACTGATTTAATGTAATTTAATTTAATTTAATTCAGTTTTTAAAATCCTCATTCCCTCCTTCACGATGAAATTTCATTATGAGTAATAAATGAACTTGCAATTGCTATTTTTTATTCGTACGCGTGTTGTGGATGTGGAGTTCATTGACTCATTGATCTCGATGCCCTTGAATCCATCGGAATTTTCAAAGATCCTAATTAATGCAGGCACGTTCGTTCTACCTGTCTGTCTTTGAATTACTAACGAGTTTTCTGGCTCATCGGATCGCGTTTGAAGTGCGGGGACTGGGGTGGTGAATAAAAGACGGGTTTAACGCGGGGGTTCTGGTGGATGTAATGAATGAAAATGAATGACTCTGGTAGGTGCTATTTTGAAAGAGTCGGCGGAGTTGTTACAGTCATTTTACTCGTTTTACAGTGAACTTCCCGTTCGATGTAACGGCATTCCGGTGATTACGATTGACGCTATGATTACATAATCTTCGTGCCATTGACACTGGCTTGTTTATTCAAATGCGTTGGCCTCGGTGAATTTTGAGTTGACGTATGAAATGACGTTTTTGCGATGGAGTATTGAAGGATTGTTTTACGGATTTTTGGGGTGGAATTTCAGGTCTTCTCGATACAATAGCGAATACAGCTAACAGCGCAGACTGTCCCGGGGTGTGTGTCCACGCTCTGGCGACACTGATATGTGACGAGGTCCTCGAGGACATCCAATGCCCGACGGCGAGCATGCGATGCTGCGTCAATGGACCATTGAACAGCACCGAGACATCGTCGGAGAACGATATCGAGGGCTCGACGCCCACGAGCACCGAGAAGCCCATCACCGTGAGCTATCCAGCTACCACGACCCTCTCGACGACCACCACCTTCGCCACAACTACCACAAGCCCCAGTGCAACGTCTACTGCTGTCACCACGGTGAGGATTAACTCATCGAACGGTCGTATATTGCCAGCAAATTGTATTCATATTCCTGTGATATTTTATTTTTTATTCAGGTGATTCAGAGGGAGCCGGAGAAGACATCGAGTGAGTACAATCGATCAAATTATTAATATATGTAGGATCATTGTCAAGGGTCAGGATTGATGACAAGTGCGGTTGAACTTCATTGGAAATATAACTGGATGAAATATAAAATCACAGGGATCAGAGTCACACAGACATTGGGCATCGATAACGATCCCAATCTCTCTCGATCATCTCTCTAGCTCTCACCGTCGAACACTGACTCACCCCCCAACTCTCTCATCTCATCATCCTCCAATGTCTCTCTTCGTCCTGTTACATCCAGAATAAGTCCCATCTCTCAGGAGAGATTTTTCAATAATTTTCATTCTAAAAATTCAATAGAAGAGTCGAATAAATCGTTGGAATGCAAAATCTGCGACGAACGATTAATGTCACGTCATCGCTCAATTAAATTGACTCCTTCCAGTATCGAAATGCCCTCCTCCCGGGCTCTGCATAGAGGCCCGATTGACCAACTATTGCGAAGCCATTCTCGACATTGCGAACCTTTGCGCCAAGCCTGAACACCGATGCTGCGTCTCCAAGGACGCCTTCGGGGGCAGTCCGCCTCCGGGGTTCTACGTGATCGATCGTTCCAAGGGGAATGCAACCAAGGAAGATAAGGGCGGCGAGAAGGCGGCCAGCACTGCGCGGCCAACAGCCACCAGTCCTACGTCGACGACGACGGTGAGCACCACTACCACCACCACCACTCAGAGACCGAAACCCGTGCAGCGGACACCCTGCAAGGGGGAGTGTGTCAACGGGCTCTTCGCACTCTTCTGCGATAACATCGACAGGGAGGCCGATTGCCCCTCCGGGGAGTCCTGCTGCATCACTGATTCACCGATCAAGGCCGTGAGTTTATGAGGAAGAGATTCAGTTTGTTCACCATTTTTTTTATTGGTTCACTCGTTAATTAATTAGTTAACAATTAATTAATTTTTATTAATTAAAAAAAAATTAACTGATTAATAAAAATAGCTAATAATAAATAATAATAATAATAATAAATTAATACTTAATCATTATTATAATTAATAATTATTTTTGATTTTATTTATTCAGATACCTGCCCTATAGGGAAATCCCTACGGCTAATTATTATTAATTATTAATTGATAATTAATTAATTATCAATTACTGAAAATTTTCATTTAATTTCAATTTCTTAAATAGTTAATTAATTAATAAAGCGATAATTAAAAAATAAAATTCAAAGAAATTAACAATTTTTTTATCAATGAATTATTAATTAATTAATTGATTAATTGAAACTTTAACAAATAATTATTTGGAAATTTAATTAAGGAGGAGAACTCCGGAAGACATTTATGAACTATTTATTCTATCATGATTGAATCTCAATTAATTTTTTAATGTTTCAACTACTTTTAAATTAATAGGACTTTTTTTTTATTTGAAATTTTTAGCGCATTTGAAAGATTTTTGAAATTTTAATATTTTTCATTTTGACATTTAAAAACATAAATTTCAATTGAATGTTAATTTTTAGGAGCCGACAACAACCACCCCTCGCCCAACGACAAAACCACCGCAACCGAAATTATCACCTTGCCGGGGCTTCTGTATGCTCGTGATATTCGCCGCATTCTGCGAACGACCCAATACTATTGTCTCTAAAACATCGACTTGTCAGAGTGGATTCATCTGCTGTGACGACAGTAATTCAGTGTCACCTGTGAGTTCTTGCAATTGTGCTATAAAAAATCGATGCTTCATATTATCTTGTCAATGAATGAATTCGATAAAAAAATTCTATTAATTGTGTTTTAATAGAAAATGTCAAAAACATCTGAACAATTTTTCAGATGATATCGGTAGAATTTCATTTTTCTATACAACTTTTTCTATAGAAACACTCAAAAAGAATTGAAAAATTTTATGATTAAAAATCTCAAAGATGAAATAATTGAAAAAATTGAAATTCAAAATTTTTTAAATGTAAAAATAAAAAAAGTTAAATCGGAAAACAATAAGAAAAACTTCGATAGAAATTCTATGAAATTTCCTGTTAATAATCTGTTCTTTAGATGATTATCTAAAATAAAATATTATTTTACAATCAAATAAATGAGTGAGTGAATGAATGAACCAATTAATTAAACAACTTATAACTCCATTAATTAATCAATGTATTGCATGTTTCAGGCGTCAAAACATCGTCCCAAACCGACACCAACTCGACCACCAGCGACCACGGTCTCTCTACCCCCTGACAATCGTCCCGATTGCATAAGTCAGGGCGGCTCGTGCATCGTCTCGTACATATCCTTCACATGCTTCAGTAATACACAATTAAAAAATCCTGAATATGCAGTTGTTCATTGTAAGACTGGAAATAAATGGTTTCATTTCAGGAAATGCCGAGTTGACGAATCTGTTCAAGTGTAAAAAAGCTGGACAGCAGTGTTGCGCACCCAAATTCCGGATACGAGGGGTCAATAATTCCACTGAGCCGAGTTCAAGCAATCGAAATGATACTATTTCAGCTGGAAATATCAAGCCGCAAACCACAAGTTTTACCCCTTTTTGTAAGATTTTTAAAATGTTTTTTTAATTATTCTATTGAATTTTTATTCGGCATTTTTTCAAGTTTTCTGAATTTTGCATTTTTCAAGCATTTGAAGAATTTTTGAATTTCGTGATTTTTTCATTTTTATATTTATAGACTTTTGGTCTATAATATGGCTTAATTTTTTAATTTAGAGGTGTTTAATGTCTTAATCTTGGGATTTTTTAATTTTTCAACGTTTGGATTTTAATTTTTAACTTTAATTTCTTATTTTCTATTTTTTACATCTTTTAGATTTTTCCTTTTTAAAGCATTTGAAGGATTTCTGAACTTTTCAATTTCTCAATGTTTACATTTTAACACTTTTGAATGTCAAAATTTCAAATTTTAAATCCGATTTCAAATTTCATTTTTATATTTATAGACATTTGCACTATAATATGGCTCAATTTTTTTGATGTAGAGGTGTTTAATGTCTTAATCTTGGGATTTTTTAATTTCTCAACGTTTCGACTTTAATTTTCAACTTTAATTTTTTTATTTTCTATTTTTGACATTTTTTTGATTTTTCCTTTTTAAAGCATTTGAAGGATTTCTGAACTTGTCAATTTCTCAATGTTTACATTTTAACACTTTAGAATGTCAAAATTTCAAATTTGAGTTAAGGAATTTAGATTTTTGCTTCTGCCTTTAATTCTTGTTTTGGTGAATTATATATATATATATATATTTTTTTTTTTCAGACGAAACAACCCTCACGACAACTCCAGTCCCACCAACGACCCCGCTATCAACGACGACAGACCCGACATTCAACAAATACGTGTGCGGAGTGAAGGGCACATCCCGGGGGCCGATTCAGGCCAAGAGTCTGTGGAGGGACCCCCGAGTTGTGGGTGGCGAGGACGCCGACGCCAACGAGTGGTGCTGGCAGGTAGCCCTCATCAATTCCCTGAACCAATACTTGTGTGGAGGTGCTCTCGTGGGGACGCAGTGGATCCTGACTGCAGCCCATTGTGTCACAAAGTAAGACCGTAAAAGTCCATTTTTTCACTATCAATCAACATCAATCTCATCAATATATCAATTAATATATTAATTTTAAAAAACAATTATTTTAAGTCGAGTTACGTAATTAATTAATTAATTAATTAAAGTCGAGTTACATAATTAATTAATTTACATAATTAATTAATTACGTAACTCGACTAAAAACAATTGTTTCTTTTTAATTCATCAATAATTGGCAATTATCAATGAAAACTGAAATAAAAAAATTAAATTCTGGAACTAAATTTGATAAACTTATTGGATAAATGAATCATTAATCAATGATCACAAATAATTAATCATCCATATCATTATCATCACGAATATATGAATTTTACGCTCACCTCAAAGACAAAATAAATTTAAAAAACCTGAGAGTTGAATGATACTGACGAATAATATCAATTACTCATTGAAATAATAAAAAAATAACGATTTATTTTTACTCTAGCATCGTGCGATCAGGGGACGCTATCTACGTGCGAGTGGGCGATCACGATTTAACTAGGAAGTACGGGAGTCCTGGAGCCCAGACCCTGCGAGTGGCGACGACCTACATTCATCACAATCACAACAGCCAAACTCTGGACAACGACATAGCCCTTCTGAAGCTTCACGGCCAGGCAGAGCTGAAGGACGGAGTTTGCCTGGTGTGCCTACCAGCCAGAGGAGTCAGTCATGCTGCTGGGAAGAGGTGCACTGTCACTGGATACGGATACATGGGTGAAGGCAAGCATCAGAATTTTCAGTAAATCAAGTCCTGAATTTTAGTAACTAATTTCACTTTTCCGGCACTGACTGCTCTGTTTTTAGCTGGCCCCATTCCTCTGAGGGTTCGAGAGGCTGAAATTCCAATAGTCAGCGATGCTGAATGCATTCGAAAGGTCAATGCAGTCACTGAGAAGCTGTTTGTTCTACCTGCGAGCAGTTTTTGCGCTGGGGGAGAGCCTGGAAATGATGCTTGCCAGGTAAATATGAATCATCAAATTTCCCTCGTTTTTTTATGTTTATCACAGCTGTTTAAAGTAGCTCTACCCTTACGGTAAATTCGAAGATTATTGAAAACTGCAAAAAAATTGCAGAAAACTCGACTAGATTCGGAATTCTAATTTTTTTCTCAATTTAATTATCGTTTTGGTTTTTCAAAGAAGAAATGTTCAAAAATTTTCTTATGTGAAAATCAACATTTCCATTGTAATAGAAGATTAAAATCTGAATTTTTTTTCATTAGATGTGAAAAAATCAAGAATTTTTTCGGCAACTCATAAAAAATAATCCACCGTTTTGCAAACAAGTTTTATTATTTATTTATAAGAGGGAAATTTTTGAAAAAATATCAATATTTTGCGAAATTTAAATTTTTTTATAAATTTTTCCAAGGGTGACGGTGGTGGACCCCTCGTATGCCAAGACGACGGTTTCTACGAGCTAACAGGTCTAGTGTCCTGGGGCTTCGGATGTGGAAGAGTCGATGTGCCAGGTGTATACGTCAAGGTGTCAGCGTTTATCGGATGGATAAGCCAAATAATAACTGTTAATAATCTTTAGTCGGTCCCTCCACAGGTTCCAAACTGCGTCATGACGATGATACTGTGAGATATTATTAAATTTAATGATGAACTTTGAAGTTGAGTAGAATGATACAATCTCCATTCAATCAATTGCCCAATCCCTCAACAAATGTATCGATATTGTAATTGTTGGGCGATTTTATTAATTGAGTCATTGTTCCACTTGATTGTCAAATTTATCTGCACCATTCGTACAGTCATTTTCACCAAAATTCACGATTTTGTGTCATCAGCGGCTATATTTTTTCAATAAGATGAGATGTTTTCCGTAATTAAGAGTAATCTTCCTCTGTAATTGTGGATTTACTCGTGAGCAAGTGGTTTTAGGGGAAAATGTCAGAAGACAGTTTTTCTGGCTGAAGACATTTCCAACAAAAAATGCTTTATGACTTTTTCCCCTAAACCCATTTCCCTCTGAGGTAATCCAATTTTTAAAAACTTGGAAAATCAATATCGTGAAGAACTACCCTAGAAAAATCACAAAAAATCTCATTATCCTTTCCAATCGCTTTGTAAATTAACGCATCACCCATTAAGGACCCTTTTACTTTAAGCCAATAAGAAAACAATTATTTTTCATCACTTTATTCATATATTTATAGATAAATGCATCCGAGTGCTGACGATAAATGTATATTTCATCCTTAAATCTAGCTCTTAGCAATTCCCTAATTACAAAGTATCTCTAATATTCTTTAAGAAAAAAACTATATATATTTATATAAAAAAATATCCAAGCATTGCAGACTACTGGTACGGCACATCAAAGAGGTATCAGCCCTCACTCCACCCCTGAAAATTTCAATTTTCCCCCGAAAGAGGAGACAAAACGATAAAGTGACAAAATAAAAAACCACAAAAGATAATTAATATGTGTTTTAATAGTATAAAGAGAAATTAAACGTCAATTCACCACATACAGTCGCTAAAAATTGCCTCATTCAATGAAAAATATCCATGAAGTGTTAAATGCACCTCCATTGAAAAAAAATTGAGAATAAAAATACAGAGATAATCACCCCATCTGCCATGAATTCTCTATTCATTATAAGAAGAGAGGATTCTCCTCGTGGGATTCTTGAGTTTCGATGCCCTCCCATTCTTGAAATCCCCAGGCTTCAGGAACCCATCGATGCCATTCTCCTTATTCTCCCTCTTACAAGTGACATCAGACGAGGACCTCATCATCAGGTCCTTCGTCAGATTCTTGGCAACCGAGGCCAGATCAGAAGTGGAGGCAGACTTGATGAGCCCATTTAACTTATCAGAATCACAAATTGAAGAGTCTGAGGGTGTTGAGAACGACGCGAACGAGTCGTTCCCCTGAGAGGTGGCAGGAGACCCCTTCAGGGTCTCATCCTCCTCGAGAAGTGTGTTATCCACCTCCTGAGAGGTCTCGTGCTGATCCTTCATCTCCCTGAACCTCTGGATAATCCTCTCGTGGGGAGAAGTCATGACGAGCTGCTTGGGATAACTGAACTCCCTCTTGGCTGGGGTCGAGCCACTGGGCACGTCCTTCCTCATGTCCTCTACGATGAACTTGTCGACCTGGTGCTGCGTCGTCCTCAGGTACGAGGAGATTCTGCTGTTCCATTCACTCGACTGGACACTCTGATTCTCAAACTTCTTGCAGATCTCCCCAGCTGTCGCCTCGATCTTCCTCCTGTGGTCCTCCATGAGCTCCTCGTGATTGACACTGACGTCAGACACGAGCTTGTGGACCTCCTGGACCGAGGAAAGTACCTCAGACCTGTCAGACATCATTCTCTCCTTAATTCCAGCTGCTCTCGAGGCCACTCCCTCGCTGAACTGCTTCAGCTTCTCGCAGTTCTCCTCAGCATTCCTCTGCAGATCTCCACAGAGACGTTCACCCTGGAGCACAGAGCCCTCCGAGATCTTCCAGTTGACCTCCAGATCACCAGACAAGTCGTCCCTCATCCCTAGGAGAGTTTTGGAAAATTCTCCATTGACTATTCCCTCGATCTCCCTCTGGCTCTTCAAGTTATTCTCCATGTGATCACCAATATTTTTACAGAACTCCAGCCCCTCCTCGGAGACTGTCATCGTCGTGTCGCTCACCATCACCTCCTCCTCGTGGATCCTCTCGTACTCGGTGAAACAATCCTTGAAGAGCTTGAAGAACTTGTCTTTTTTACGCGAGAGACTCTCCTGCGCTGAGATTGTCTCGTTTATTCTGTCGGTATATATGGTGATCTTGTCGTTCAATCGGTTTCTGTCCTCCAGGAGTCGCTCGCACACTGTTGCAATCGTCCTCCTCATGAACTCGTTCAACTCCTCGAACTTCCTGCGGTTCTCCTCGTTGATCTTCCTCAGGTTGTCAGCCACCTTGAAAAATGAGGGAAAAATTGGGGATAAGACACTTGAAATGATTAATGCCATTTTTCTGGATAATTTTCACAATTTGGGAAATTTTTGTTGAAGGGAGATCGCACTGAAAATCTGTCGTGCTGATGAGTTTAAAATTTTTCAGTTTTCATGTATGAAAATAAAGAAAATTGGTTTTTGATTTTTTTAGAGGAATAGTTATTAAAACTGCCCTCAAATTTTGTATTTCAATTTTTTGTGTTTCGAATTTTTGTGAAAAATTTGAAAAATTCCCAGCATTCAACTGCATTATAAATCATTGAAGTAGAACTTTCTTCAGGTTTTCTGAATCACTTATTCAGAACATAAAAATAAAAATGACAAAAATGATGAAAAAAAATCAAGCCCTAATTTGCCAAATTCTTCTTAAAATCAAAATCAAAATAAATGCCCTCGAAAATCCGTCGTGCTGATAAGTTTAAAATTTTTCAGTTTTGATGTATGAAAATAAAGAAAATTGGTTTTTGATTTTTTTTAGAGCAATAGTCATTAAAGCTGCCGTCAAATTTTGTATTTCAATTTTTTGAGTGTTTGGAATTTTTGTGAAAAATTTGAAAAATTCCCAGCATTCAACTGCATCATAAATCATTGAAGTAGGACTTTCTTCAGGTTTTCTGAATCACTTATTCAGAACATAAAAATAAAAATGACAAAAATGATGAAAAAAAATCAAGCCCTAATTTGCCAAATTCTTCTTAAAATCAAAATCAAAATAAATGCCCTCGAAAATCCGTCGTGCTGATAAGTTTAAAATTTTTCAGTTTTGATGTATGAAAATAAAGAAAATTGGTTTTTGATTTTTTTTAGAGCAATAGTCATTAAAGCTGCCGTCAAATTTTGTATTTCAATTTTTTGAGTGTTTGGAATTTTTGTGAAAAATTTGAAAAATTCCCAGCATTCAACTGCATCATAAATCATTGAAGTAGGACTTTCTTCAGGTTTTCTGAATCACTTATTCAGAACATAAAAATAAAAATAATAAAAATTATGAGAAAAATCAAGCCCTAATTTTCCAAATTCTTCTTAAAATCAAAATCAAAATAAATGCCCCTGTAATTTGCCAATTTGACATTGGCAATTGTCACCCCAGGGCTTCCAAAAAAGCGCCTACCTTCGTCCTCACGAGTTCCTCAATCCTCCCCGAAACCACCGAGAGCATCTTCTTCTGAAGTTCAATCTCCCCCACCGAAAACTTGGAGGTGTCCTGGGCGACCTCCTCCATCCACACCTGATAATCCTCATGATTCGACCTAATCCCACTCTCGAGTTTCGCGATCATCCCCTGTTCCCCTTTCAGCAGTTCCCCCGATATCAGTTTAATGGAGTTCTGGATCTCCTTAGAGTTGGTTGCAGTGAGCGCATTGACCTCATCCTTAGCAGACAAGGAGAACTGAATCAACTCCTGTGTGTAATTAGCCAACTGTTCACTAGCCTCATCAAACTGCCTCTCGATATTCTCCCTGAACCTCTCCCCCAGGTGTTCGTTCTCCCTCTCCACCCTGTTCTTCCTCTCGATCTTCTCATGCAGCTTCATAGTGTCTCGTGTCACCGTCTCCACGACATTCAGCAAATGGCTGGCCTGACTGTGAAGTTTCCTCTCGGTGACGACGTGCTTCTCCACCAGATGCTTCTGCTCATTCCTCTCCTGTTCAGTGATCTTTATCTGCTTCTGGGACTTCTCCAGCGACATCTTGAGCTCCTCCAAGATCTTCTCCTTGCTCAGCATCGTCTCCTCCAGGGCCTTGATGTGATTGATCTTCTCCTCGATCTCCTTCCCCTGGAACTCGATGGTCCCCTGGAGCTCGTTGTAGTTGTCGTGGGCCAGGTACACCCCATTGCGATCCCTCGTGGCCTGGAGATCCCTCCTGAGTCGTTCAATCTCCTCCGTGTACTCCTTCAGCAGAGCCTTTTTCGAGAGCTTCTGATTGATCTCAGGCCTGTTCGTTATGTTCTTCGCCCTGTGGGCGTAGTCCAGGGTGGAGAGGGTCTCCTCCAGGTTCAGGGCTGCTGGCGACACTGTGGCTATTATCGAGGTCTTGGTTCTACCCCCCAGGGACTCCTGGAGGAGACGAGTCAGCTTGGACTCGCGGTAGGGAATGTGGGGGGCTCGCTCCACCAGCGCTGTGATCACTCGTCCCAGGGTCAGCAGGGACTGGTTGATGTTGCCAGCCTCGCGCGCTCGACGGTCCACTGCCCCTGAACGACCCACGTTCTCCGAACCTGCCAGGTCCACCAGGTTCAGCTTGCCCGTCTTCAGGAGCTCCTCACCCTCCACTGTGTTCTCCTTTATGTGAATTGTTATCGAGAAGACTGTGTGCGAACGCGAGGAGTGGGCGTTCATCAGCGTTGCCGCTGTCTGACGCTTCTCCGAGCCCTTCTCCAGGATCTTGTAGACCTCGTTCTTGTTGTGGACCGTCACCTCCTCCAGGCCGTGGATTATCACTGCCCCCTTCTTTGTCGTGTCCTCGTAGATCCTGGAAGGGATGAGGGCTTCATTCGGGGGTTTCAAGCGGTGGGAAAATTCATGTGTTGGGGATTTTTTTTAGTATCTGACTGGGTCTTTACTACACTTTTTTTAAATCAGGTTTGAGCATTAGGTGGTCTTGGGGGGATTTTTAGTGGAACATTGAATTATGGGAATTGTTGTTTGAATTGTTGTGATATGGGGTGTTTTTTTTTTCATTTTGATAATCTGGGATGTTCTTCAGTTGGGATTCAGTTTTACGTAGCCCAGGTCTTCAAAAATTGTGATTATACAATCAAAATGATGTTGAGAAAAACTGAACATTTTTAAGGAGCGTTTTTGAATGATGTTGGGGAATAAACCCAATAGGGAGGAAATTGCAAATTGATAATTTACAGTAGGGGAGGTTGGGTGAAACGGACACTTTTAACTTTTTTTTAAATGTTAACGAGGGGCTGAAATGTTGATAAAATTTAATAATTTTTTTTTTCACTACAAAGAACAATTCTTTCCCTTTGTGGCAAGCCTAAACTGAGCTCAATTGATAAATTTGTTTCTGAGTTGTGAATAATTTTTAAAAAGTCTAGTGTCCATTTTACCCCTCCCTCTCCTATTGACGTATTGGGGATTTCCTTTTTTTAGATTTGAGTGGACTTATACTAATGTAGTTTTTTAAAAATTAGTTGTGAGCATTAGTTTGAATTTGTGACGAATTTTGGTGATAAAATTTAGTTTTTGGACATGAATTTATTTATTTTGAATGAGTTTGTGAATTAAAATCGGATTCAGATTATTAAATATTATAAGATGTTGAGTTTTTGCCTCGGATTTGTTGCTTTTTTAAATTTCAAGTGTGTTTTTATCAACTTCAAGTATTGGCTTGAGTGTGTGAAAGTTTTTCCTCAAAAATCGAATAATTGGATTTTTAATTCATTTATTATTTATTTTATATGACTTGCAACCAGAATTGGAGGATAATGTTTCGTTTTTGAGGAAATGTGTTTCATTTAACAAAAAGTCCAGTGTCCATTGTACCCCATCCTCCCCTACATTTTGACTATTGCCCAGTTTTCAATGAATATCTCAAAATCTAAGGAAAATAGCCAAATTTTTGGCTCCAACTTTTTTATGGACCAAATTAAGAGCTACAAAACAGAAAATTACAACAATTTCGCTATTTCTCTTAGATTCCGAGATATTTATTGAAAACTGGCCAATAGTCAAAATCGACTTAGGAGACTGTGGGGTAAAATGGACACTCTAGACTTTTTTAAAATTATTCATAACTCAGAAACAAATTTATCAATTGAGCTCAGTTTAGGCTCGCCACAAAGGGAAAAAATTATTCTTTTTATTGAAAAAAAAATGATTAAATTTTATCAACATTTCAACCCCTCATTAACATTTTTAAAAAAGTCAAAAGTGTCCGTTTTACCCCAACCTCCCCTATACCAGTTTACCACTTCACTACTGTGTGATTATTTGCCTCTCCTACACTTAAATATCCCCTCAATTGACTTTTCCATCGACGAATATTCAGCTAGTTTCAGCTTCACCAGCTGCAGCTGCTACCCGTGCTTGGAGTGTTTGTTTTCACTTATGGATTGGAGTAATTGTTTACCTGATTTTGGAGGCATCGTCGTTGGAGGAGAGTAGATCGAAGAGTTCTTCGTTGTAGAGCTCGAGGAAGCTGACTTTAACAGTGTACTCCTGCGCTTCGAGGGTCCGGAGCTCGTCAAAGAGGTGGTTCAGGGAGCGTGGGATGATCCCAGCTGCTGTATCACTCTGCCAATGGACCGTGGGGTCATTGCAGACCCCCTCCATCGTGAACGTCTTCCCCGTGCCAGTCTGTCCATAAGCGAATACAGTGCAGTTGTATCCCGCCAGGACCTCGTCCAACAACGGACTGACAACAGCATTATAAACATCCACCTGCTTTGAGCTGGGGCCAAAGACCCTGTCGAAACTGAATTTCTTCGTCAACTTGCTGTCCTGTGGCCTCTCTCGCACCACCACGTCCTTCGAGGACGCCACGTCCACGACAGTCGACGACTTGCCGTGGATCTCATCCTTATTCGCCGGCCTCACTCTCACGAAAACCTGTATGTGTTGATTTTTATCCTTCTTCCTGGAGACTTCACTCATTTTCCTGTTCGTCATCAAAGCCCTATTCCAATAATCACTTGACACTCCACTATTGTTTCATACGAAAGCCCAAACCAACGGGCCAGGGAAAGTAACACAGTATTTGGGGTTTTGATGCGCTTTGGGGGTGCTGATGCAGACCAGAAACAACTCGGGATTGACCGTTACAGTCCGTTCAGCTTGAACTGGCAGTTGACGGCTTGTCCGTTTGAATTTCAAGAGCTGCCGAAATTTCTCGCTGGCGGCGCTGAACGGTGCGCGCACGTCCACGCTGCGATTGGACGATTCAGCCACGCATTTTATAAGTAATATTTTTTCTGTGAATTTTTGGGAAATTTGTTGGTGAAGTCTTTGGAATAACTTTCTTTATTACCGCCTTTTCATTTTTTGGAAGAATTTTTTTTAAATACATTTTTTGGAAATAACAGAACCGATCATTAAATTTAAAAAATAATGATAGGGTTAATAATATTATTTTATTATTTAATAGTATTTTTTCAATACATTTTTAGGCAATTTGTTGACGAATTCTTTGGAATAATTTTCTTCACTTTTATCATTTCAATGAAAAAAAAAAGATTTTTATCACAGTCTGTAAAAAGGAATTTTACGGACATGTCATGTCCTTCGAATTCTATTTACGATAATAATTTTGGGCGATATCTTCCATCTTATCCGTATATTCGTAATTTAGTAAAAAAAAACATTCAGCTCAAATTTTGATCTTTTCTGAAACGCAGAAGATGCATTTTTTGCATCTGCTGAATGACATTAACGATTAAATGACGAAAACAAGTCATCTTGTTTTTAACATATGAAAAAAAATTATGAAAAAAAATTGAAATTGTACTACTACTGCCCTCTGCCAGGCACATGTTAAACTACTCACGCGCCTTAATGTTCTCTGCTGCTCAACCGAAAACACCAGTCATGGCAGATTCAGCAGGAAATTGGTGTCTCATCGAGAGTGATCCGGGTGTTTTTACTGAATTAATTCGCGAATTCGGTGAGTATCAATCAATGTTCCCATCCCACGACGAAACTCCTTCCTGCAGTGAATCAAAAACCCTTTTTCTCCCCGAAATTTCGTGAATATCTCCCTGAAATTGAAGTGCAACTGACAGCTCTCCACAGCACAACCCAATAACACTGATATTAAATGGTTATCTCCAGGTGCAACGGGAGCACAAGTCGAGGAGCTGTGGAGCCTAGACGACGATCAGTTCGAAAACCTCAAGTTAGTGTCCAAAAGCCATTATTTTTATTATTCCAATGCGCCACATAACCTCAATGTTTTCTATTCTTTCTCCCTACACTGAGAGAAAAACAATCACGTTGTCAAACAAGTCTTGTTTGTGCGAACAAAATCGCTAGCTGAAAATTGCCAAAAAGAATTTGTTTGGTTCGAATTTGAAAGTCTCAAACATGAATAATTGTTCTGCTTTCGACAGCAACTAAATATTTGGCTCAAGAGGCGGATAATTCACCCCAGACGAGCTGGGTGAAATTCGAGTTGAAGTTTGATAAATCGATTTTTTTTCTTATAGTATCGATTGTACTCAGTAAGTACCTGAATGTACCACATGCATTTTCGTTTGTACCGCGCACCCGTAGACGTAAGGGGTGCGGGAAAAATCGTGCAGCGTCGGAAATGAAAGCACGGAAAAAATTTTCATGAGCAAGGATTTAGCATGAATAGTACTTGTGTGTACTATATTTTACCATTTCATTTATCAACCCCTTCAATACTTTACCCCCTTCTAAAATCTTAAATGTATGAGGGACGTCAGGAAAACATACAGATATCTTCTAAATCGTTAGTACTTGTTTGTACCAACGAAAATTATTCACTTCCTACACCCTATACAAGATAAATTCAGTAGCGAAGCGGTAAACCGGGTCAAGTCGTTTTTTACTATT